TCATGTGCTGAAGGCAAAACAAATCCTTTAGCCACAAACAATATTGAGGAAGGACAGTCGGATGGTAGTAATAGTGAGACGAGACAAATTTATTTAGCGAAAAACAAGCGGCGCTTTATTTGATAATTTTTGTCAACAATCATTATTATTGTTCCTATCGCTAAATTCCGGTTTAGCGTTAAACTTCTCGACCCACGGTCATTTTAATGTAGTATGTATTTTCAAACTTTTTTCAGTTTTCTCCAGAACTGAGCTAATCGCATAAGCGGAAACGTCTCGTTTACTCATTACATAACGTCGGCAATTAATTCATTTTCTTCAGGGCGTGTCAGATTTTCTAGAATTACCTTAAATTTGGCAGGCGGGTATTGGGATGACATGTGAACAAAGCAGCCGGGAGAAAATGAAGCACTTAACCTTTAAATGCTGGTTTGCTGTGTCCCTTAATAATATTTTAAAGAGAAATGATAAATCCGACAAGTAACAACGGATTTGACTGTCATGATTTGTGACAAAGAACTGACTCGTTGACTAAGCCAGAATGCACCAGTTTTACAACAAGGTATGAACGCTTTGAAAGATTTTCGTTTTGTTTGACTGGCTTGAACTGAAGATGATTGTAGAATTTCCCTTCATACTAACCTATTGTCCTAACTGTGCCGCTATATTGATGAACACTTCAGGGCTCATTGAGAATTTCCTATTGCCGGATACTAGTTTTATTTCCCTGCACTCTTCATTTTCGGCGACGCTTTGTCTAAAATCTCCGGCTGTTACCTGTTTATTTGACATGCAACTTTAAAGCATGGGTGTTAAGTAAAAGTCCTTCTTAAAAAAGATCTTCAATTTTGTATCCCCAAACATTTAAACATTCCTAGTTTTCATCTCTCTTCACCACTCGACTAGCGTGTCTACCGTTGAATACCATGGGGTGTCAAGGAACCTGTTTCCTTTTTTGTTAATGGCAAGCCTGTCTCTTGGCCTACATTGCTGCAAAATTTTCCCCAAGCTCAAAGAATAAATGCACATAACTTATCTAGTCGAAGGGAAATTTATATCTTGAAAGGAGCAAGGAGAATCTGAAATGTCGCTTCAATGTTTGGCTAAAATATTACTTCAATTCTTGGTTGTATCGTAATAGTAAATTCCTGTTTGTTTCTATCTCACCTCCATTTTAAAAAGTCCGATTCTGGAAAGGCTATAATTCTTTTTGACAACAAATGATGCAGTAATCGTATTTTACAATTACAGACGTTTTCCTTTCTTTTTCCATTTGCTTTTTCATTGCGAGACAAATAAAACGTCGCTCAACTTGATCTGAAGAAGCCGACAGCGAAAGGTTTGCTGGACAAATAGTTTATTAATATTGAATCGGAATTCACTCAGCTGAAACATTGTTGTATCCGGCTTTGGAGTTCGATTGAATTAACAGTCAATGCAAAAGAGTGTTATTCATTTTCTATCTCTAAATAAATGACTGATAACCTCTGCATGTTAAGTATCAATAAAAAAAATAACGACGTATATCTAAATGACGCTTTTAGTACGTTTTTTGTCTTAGAAAGAAAGCTCTAGAGTGGAAGAAGCCATAGATGAAGTTAGATACTTAATCGGGTTAAATCAAAAGAGACGTCTGGCCTGATTTGTTAAAACTAAGGAACCTTTCATATATCATCTCTTACATAAAACATAAAATATCGTGGCTGATATCCACGATTCAAACATGATGTAGATTATTCGTGTGTTACTTGCATAGTCTCTTTGTCCGAAACAATAAGATGTGAGAGTGAATTTATCTCATACCAAACGGAAAAAAAGAAAAACCAATTGTTTATTTTGGAGACGCTTAAATCTTATCCGATTTACTGCGCAACAATCCACATCTTATCTTCGTCGGTTGAATTTCTGGAGTTTCAGTTCGTATTGCTAAAAATAGCAGATGAACTGAACTTCATACAAAATAGCTAAATAGTTGGAATGACAGAGTGGTTAAAAGTTGCGAGGCTCTGTTGCGATGATAAGAAGGATGGATCCGTCGCAAGCGACTGATAATTAATTTAGTATCTTTAGTTTCTGGTCCTAAACAGCAGAAAATCTGCAAATTCAAACCAACGTAAGTAGGAAACGGAATTAGACAATGAATTAACGCTAGGACCTCTTTTAATTAAGCCCACTGTTCTTACAGTTAGATATAAATATTTCAATTGCTCGCCAACGATTTTTCGTTATTGTCAATCGGTTTCCATCGCTGATGAAGGTTGAATAATCTCAAGCGGTGCAATGACGTAGTTTAATTCTCAGACAGTTCACCTGCTGTACCCAGCTCCCACGAGAAACAAAAGTAAACCAAATTATAGGGCTAAATTTAGACTTTAAAGGCTGCGTTATGCTGCTGAATAAAGGCTGAGCTAAGATTAGAATGAAGGGTTACGAACTTTGCAACAAAAATGACCACCCGTCAGGACTTTGCGTCGAGGAGAAGCCATAACTAAGTTAGCAATCAATAGGAGGGGACTGTTAGAGATAGATAACTTCAACAAGGACAAAGGATCCCTTGATCTTGGCTTACAATGCCAGTGTGATTCCAATCAAGTTAATCAGTTCGCGTTTAATGTCACGCTGTGTATGTGGATTCGTTTAGTTCTACGAGTGACGCACAAACTATGAAAACAACGGTGACTAACTTCATTAATAGTACTCTTGCGAAATACCCATCTTTAACAAAATGGAATAATTTTTTTGCCGCATTCTAAATTGCTATGACAGATATGTCATGACACTTATGACACCTTCTAAAAGGAAATAAAAGATTGTTTTATGAAACATTTACAACTGGAAGGAAATACATACATACACTAATATTTCAACAGTTTAATTCTTCCTCAAATGGAAATCTAGAATACAACCTATTACCGCATTATTTATATCTGAACACAGCTGATATGCTCTTGATACAATGTATCAGCAGATTTTTACCAGAGTCTACTTCAATGCCATTGACAAGGTTAATGAAGTTTTTTCAGCGCATAATACAACAAACCGTTCTTTGTCATATGAACCCGTTAGGGGGGCCACGTGGAAATGTTTCAAACTTTATGAAGATCAGCTATCTCATGAATATGTGGCAGTGCCCCGCAGTGCCACAAGAGGTTTATATAAGATATTCATTTATAACTTTTCTTTGTAGCTTCACTGTTGACCTTTGTGAGGTATTATTTACCTTTCACGAGCTGATAAATTTTGTATTATATCAGTGTGGTAAAGACATTGTTTCCAATAACTTGAGTAATCGCAGTTAAGCCATGTTGAGAAATTCAATTCAATTATCAAAGTTGCGCAATTTCTGTTGTCTACCTACCCTCAGTTTAATGAGCAAATAAACTTCGCACCTTTCCATCGGTTATCCTGCTAGCTTTTAGCCAGTTTTCCTGAAGTATTGATATATATATTTTGCAATGCAATACATAACATTTTAAAATTATTTTTCCGCCTCGAGCAAACACCCTGCCCTTGTTTTGATTTGACTTCAGGTCGAAAAGTTTAACATAACTTCAAAATAAGATAAAATAACAACTTGCATTTATCCACCTATAAAAACGTCAGGACTTGCTATCCACGAATTGTTTCACTTGTACCTTGACAGGTTGTCTGAATTGTCATAGCAACAATGAGCAGTAAACCTGTTTTGTTTAGACTGAGGAATGTGCTAGAATGGTTGAGCCACAACCTTGACCCCAGATGATTAACTGACGTATCTAGTGTAGTTATTAGTAACATTTAGTAGATTAGTCAAAGCATTACAAAGAAAGGTCCAAACTTGACTACCTCAAAAGTAAGTTCTCTTCATTGCTCGGTAAAGTTGTTCTTGTTAGTGATCTTCTATGAATTTAGTTTGCTTCTTGTGTTGCTGATATCAGTTTGTTGTTCTGCTCCATTGGTGCTCTGTGTCTCATTCTTTTCATGCTGTTTGAAAGAGACAAGTTTCATCCAAACCCTCTTCTTTCTCCTTAATGAAGCAAGAACTTGATTTGATATGGAAGAGTGGAAATTCAACGTCATCTTTGAACTTTTTTTCAGAGCTTGTACATATATTTTCTTTCTGACAAAGTAATTCAAATCTGTCATTTTCGTTATTAATAAGTAATTGTAAAGCGCTAAGATTTGTAACATTTCGATTTGTTCACAAAGCTCTCCACAGATCCTTCAAAACTCAAAAACCTGTAGAGCGATGAATGTAGCGAAACTTTTAACTGTTACTTTAATACGTTGAAGAATAAACTCGTTTGTTATCAGCTTATTCATTTCACTGAAAAGAATGTGATGATTTATGGATAATTCTAAATTGTCACGTTCAGAGCATGACCAGAAATTTCGGTCAAGAGTGTAGATTAGGTTACAATTTCACGTTAGCCGTGTAGATAAGTTACTCTAGAAATTTCTATTTTTATACTTAATCAATTAAACTAAGCGGAGACAATTTTTGTGGAAATTGTTTTACGCACAGTGACTGTGAACAATGATGAGCAAATTTCTCACCAATTCATCGTAATATATTCATTTGAAGTGGCTAAATTTAGAGGGCCACTGAGACCGAAATAGACCAGTTTGTTGTCTCACGCTTAGAAGTGTCTCTCACAGTTTACAATAGGTATTACTAGTAGTGCCTGAAGGACGGATGATCTGGTCACAAAAACTGCTCCTTTTCGGGTCGAATACTAAAATTTTAGAGTCCAAAATTTCGCTGCGAGACAACTACTGCAAAGGACTAAGGTATAGGAGAGAAAATTGGTAGTGTTTCTTGTTTTATATTGAAGTCAGGGAATTCGTGCAGTCATTACAATTCGCGGTATTTTGGCTTTAATGGGGTCTTCTGCTTTTTAGCTGGAGGCCAGTCGTATATATAAAAATATTTAAAATTATTGTTGGTTCCCTATTCCACTTCAACTACTTTGTCTGGTGTACTGATTGCCTTAGTTCTTTAGCCGGCTTACGCGTTGTTGTTCTTATTTCAGCCGAGTTCAACCGAGATAAAGTCAACTCCGATGCCTCCAATGGGTTCCATAGCTCAGCGTTCACCAAAGTGTGCTCGGTGCCGAAATCACGGGGTGATATCCATACTCAAAGGACACAAACGGTTCTGTAAATGGCGAGATTGTGCATGCGCGGATTGCAATCTCATAGCTGAAAGACAAAGAGTAATGGCCGCACAAGTGGCGCTCAGAAGACAACAAGAGAGTGAGGAGGTTGGACATCTTTCCTACGGCACAGTACAGTTGTGTTTTAATCAAAATCTACAAAAGACACCAAGAATCATTCCACCCTCACCAACGTCCCCAAAGGATGCTCAACTGCCAAGAACCGCAAGTTTGTCTTCTCGATCAAGCTCGCCAAACATTGACGATACCAACAATGAGCTGGGGTCTCCCGCAAGCAGCGCAAACGATGGTGAGTTGAGTACAATTCTTGTTGCAAAATTTTCCTTCTACAATAAAACGAGCAAACATCATCCGATTCCAAGGTCGGGGTAGTCTTCCAGCTGATTTCATTACTTTTGAATTGATTACGCAACCGTCTGATTGGCTGCCAAAATTTACAAACCCATCGGATGATTTTATAGCAAAAATCGGTCCCTTTTTCTTATCTCGCTTCGTTACCGTTGCTAAACTAACCATAGCCTTTTGAGATATATGAAAAAACGTGCTGTTTAAATCACAGCTCAATTCTTCCCATGAAAGGGTAACCTCAGAGCCAGCCTCAGAGCTACCCAGCGTAGCGTTAACAAAGTTTCACACATCGAACTTTTGAATGAAATGGATATGAACAAGACGTGGGTTTGTTTTTGGAGGATATCGTAACATGCACGCCTAGTTCATTCAGATTTAGCCATTGTTGTATAGATAACCTAAGAACTATGACATAAGAGGCGGTTAATTCATCGCACGCGGTTTCAAGCGCGCTAGTATGGACAGAGTTTTATTGAGTTGCTAACTTATCTTGTTTGTCTGTATTTAACAAAGTTGCAGTCAGACGGTTGTTGAAAATTTTGCCCGCGATATACACGATCAACATTCTCTTTTCTAAATTTACCCCTGTGTTTCCTTTTAAAGAAAAAGAATACAGCACCTGGGTTATGTGAAGTAATTTGCTTCTGTTTAATCGTTTTTTTACTGGTCCTCGAGTCGTGGATCATCATTTCTGGTGATAAATTTTGGGAGGTTTTCAGTTCAGGGATACAGTTTTGGTCTATAATGACTGAGACACGGAATTTGACTAAAACCTGTATTATACTGTATTGAAATGACTCTGAGCAAAGCAACACCCTAAATTATAACTTTCTTTAAAAAAAGGCGATGCATTGAAATGAAAGGCATCTAGGCTTTGTCCTTGCTACTGAATACCTGGCTCTGTTCCATCCATGCTAAATACTTTATTTTAAGAAATTTCCAAGCAGTTCCGTGCTGGAAAAACATTCAGAACCTCTCTCTAAAAGCTGCATATTCTTCGCGAATTATGTTACGGTATGACTTAATCCTTATTTGAAAGTTTGATCTAAAGACCTCAAGTAACACAAAAATACTTAGTCGAGTAAAGTGTTGATGAAACCAGCAAAATTTGAAGCTTGTATAATCCCCCCAATAAATTATGTCACTGTTTCTGCTTTAGAATTGCATGTTCGCCCAGAAAAGGAACACCTCTCGCTGATTTTCAATAACGAACTTGAAATTGCAACATAATTAGGTCTGATTTATTTGTGGCTGTGGCCTCTGGTTAGGTGCTAATGTGCGCTCGTTAGTCTGAGAGCAAGTTGAAGTGGCTTCTCCCAGCCAAATTGAGTGATTTAAAACTAAAGTGGATTTAATTAGGGCCAGCATAATTATGACATTATCAAAGAAACACTGCCGAAAAAAGTATCATGTCTAAAAAATGCAACAAAATATTTGTAACATTCTGGAACGCGAACAATCTGGAAAGTCTCAGTGCGGTTATTCTGTAATAAAATCTGTATGTTTATTCTGGTCACTGGGAATCAAACCAGTGTTTATAATGTCATCAGGATGTTTGTATTTGATTTATTTTACAGTTTGTTTATAATCAACGCAAGTGTTGTGTTTATTTCTGAGCGAGCTCAGACTCTTTGTCTATTTTTAGCGGACTGTGCCTTTATGAATAAAATTGGCACCAGCTTTCTTTGCCCTCGGGGCTGCAATTTACAACCCCCTCCCTTACAATAGTTGTTGATTAAATTTTTTTGGACTTCTTATCTTCAATGAAGATAGATATTTTCCCCATATTCCCATGAGGAACTGTACGAAATCGAGTCCATATTTGACTTTGCACATCAAGAGCTAAAACTGACTATATTTTGACATGCTCCTATTGTCTCATGAAGACGTTCAAAAGCACAAATTTAAAATAAAAACATTTTTTACTTTCCATTTCAGCTGGCAAGGAATTAGGTAAAAAGTAACAGCTTGAGCAATATTTTTACAGCTTTAACAATAGCACAGTGCAAATAACCATGATTCCGACACGTGTTACAAAGTCTTTATTTCTGAACACGTGTTTTTTATTAACACTAGTAAAATTCGAACGCTGCTATGTAAAGAAACACAAGATTAGCCCGAGTTATGTGAACTGACATAATACACAGTTGAGGCTCTAAAATGATTCAAAACTCCGGTGAAACCGATATTGGAGTATACCGTTGGGCCATGTGGTTCATCTAAAACAGGAAAACAGTGCTCTACTGTTATAAGAAATTAATGCCACTACATGTCGATGCTTTTGTCCAGCCAATCAGGAAGCCAGGATTTTCTAAGGCACGGGTGGTTCATATCTCCCAGCTGTGATATTGTGTAAAGGCAACAACTAGTCAGAACGCGCTATGTTTATTGTAACCTTGCTTCCCTAGAGAGTAAAACCTGCCCGCTATGCTTAGAAGAAATCTTGGCTGATCGTGTTTACCTACTGACTTTGACTCATCACAGACACACTGTTTGAGCTCAACAGTCGGAACAACGAAAGCATTTTGCGTTCGGTGAGTTTGTTCACATTTGAGTAACACCTTCCTTCTCATCGTAAATTTTCAACGTCATCTGAATATACAACTCATTATATAGTTCTATTGAGAGTTAACTATAATATGTCAAAATAAGCGACAAGTATTCAAACTGAATATCAACAAGTGGCATGGGAATCTTCTCTTAGTAATTCCTGTTTGTACGTGTTCTTAAGAAGTTGATTAATTCAAAGTTAGGTTTTATTAAAATGATTTGAAACTTTGTCACTGCATTACCAAATACCCTTAGTCTTGTAATCACGAGTGTGATTTGAAACCAGCTTGATAAATAGCGGTTGGTTGCCAAATGATGAAAGGGTGAAATACATTATTCCAGTGAGACAAAAAATGGAACTTTGTAGAGCTAAACTATGTTTGTGACATGTTCACAGTCACTGACTTCAGAGCTGGCTAGTTGCTGTAACAGTAAAAGTCACAGGTCATTTCCTGTTTGAACGATACTCTCTCTTTTATTACTAATATTCTATCTTAAGATTTTAAGCTATTCACTGATTGTCTTAAATTGATGAATCGTTTTTCAAGTAAGGGAGATATGTTGTGTGCATTTCTAGATGTCGAGCTAACGCGTTTGTTAACACAGTAGGGAAGAACATTGAATAATAAAACACCTATTTACTTGTAGCGGTTGCCCAGGTGACGTACCACTTTTATGTACTTGTTCTGTCGTGCGGAAAATGAAGCAGCCATTTATGTTTGGAGTGATAATCAACGACATTATGATAATACGCTACAAATAATGGGACGTTTGCGGCTAACTCTGTCTTTTTAGAGCGTATAGTGCAATTGTTATTCAAAAATAGTGATTTTGTGTTAGCATTTACCTTTCAAAATTTACTATTCCAACCGTAATTTTCTTATAAATTTCATCATTAATTGCTCCAGCGGTTTGAGAGCATATTTATTTAAGTATGATTGAGAGGTATATAAACTGTGTTCAAGTAACTGAAAACTTTTGGTGCACTGTTATGTAAAAGTCCAATTAAATTTTTACTTAAAACACACAAAAGATATGCACAATTTTTATTCTCGCCCGAGTATTCTATATTAATTTGCTTCCCGCCAGCATATTTCACTTAAATGATTTTCTTATCACCACAAAATTTTCTGAGGATGATATTGAACCTGCCAATTTCATGTTCTTCTTTCGTGATTTTTTTTCGTTTAGCCTGCAATCACTGGACATTTTACATTTTCAGTTGTTAACAAGTTTCTTTTAAATAGTCTGAAAGCACCCCTCAGTGTAGTGTATCAATCTTAGCGGAAAAGGCCACAGTTTTTTATAGTTTGATGTGGCATGTCTTTCTATAAACGCCGTTAGTGGTCTTATACGATCTTTCCATTTCATAGGTGCTTTGGCACATTATTTCTTTGGAACAAGGAAGTTCTAGCTGGGAAGTTTCCCCAGCTGTGTGTACAAAAAAATTAAACAGCACCTTTCCCCACATAAGCACAGGTAATTTAGGGTTTTGCCAACTTCCAGTTGAAAGGAAAAATTATGCAGCCATTTCTTGGTTGTGCTGGCGAAGGATTTTCGTCTTTTCTTGACAGCAAAATTGAAGAAAATTGAAGCGCTGTGAAGTTCAACATGAAAAAATTTGCGCCCCTCGAATATGAAATAATTGAACAGTTTTTCCCGTGGTCAATGGAAATTGCTGTCTGCGTCAAGCTGGTAAAAAATTGACATTGATGACAGTGGAAAAACAACAAGGTCTTACATAGAAAAAAAGAAATGACCTCAAACTGTTAGCTGCTTGCATTTTAAGGCATTGCAAAAATAAATAATGATTACCAGGCGTTTGGCTTGCTTTTAAAAGATTTTTTGCGTGGTCATTTGCATAATTTAAATTATAAACGAAGTCATCACTTTTGAACGGATCACTTGCAGTCACGAACATAACTGAAGCAAGCTCCTCTAACCACCGACTGCACGAAACCAAAGCGAAACTTGTGGCTTAAGGTAATCTGAAGTGATGGCTTTATACATCGCTGTTTTTTCCATGATTTTCAGAAATCGATCAGTGACCTGTGTGAATTTCTTTTTTCTTTTTTTTTTTTTCATGATTTCCATTTTTTATCTGCATTGTTGATATCTAATCAGAGATTTACTGATGGATAAGAGAGCCAACAGATGAAGCTTGATATAAAAAGTTTATTTAAACGCTTAACAACTCATTTCTTTGTTCTGACTTTTGCGCACAGCTTTCACTGCATTAAGACTTCTTTAATACTGAGGACATAAAACTGATTTCCCTACTCTATCGTTAGCAAAAGAGTATTTAGAACTCTTCTAGGTTCAGTGAACAGTCCGTTTGGTCTCCCCGAAAAGGTGCCGTGATTTTAAAAAAAAATTTTTGATTTGTCTACAAAAAAAATTGTTATGTGCGATCCCTCAGTAGCAGAGAACTGCGGTATAAACTCGCGCGGTGGTCAGACAGGTTAACAGTCCAACGAACATTTAGATAGTGTTTCTTCTCTCCCGTTTGGTTCATTCATTGAAATAAATCAAATCTTAGAGCGGCGATGAGCAAATTTTATACGAATATGATTGTATAGCGCCCATTGTTATTTAAGTCAATGTTTTTACTTTTCAGAATTTCCAATGGATAACAACACTGAAGGTTTCTCCACGAGATGGAAACGTGAACGAGACGACGATGAAGATGAGCGGCGCCTGAGAATGTCACCAGAATCAAAAAGACAGAGACACGACAAGATATCTCTACAAAATGGTGAGAGCAAAGTCATGTCAAGCTCTGATCATTCCAGGTTCATGAACATCCTTACACGGCTCTTTCCAGAGCAAAAAAGAAACGTTCTGGAGTTAATTCTAAAGGGTTGTGGAGGTGACGTTATCCAGACAATAGAGACCGTTCTTCCAAGTCACGAGGAAGCCCTTGCTCGGGGCCAGTTACTTGCCACTGTACCCAGGGGTCTCTTTCCCGGGCCTCCCCCGCCATCTGGCTATTCAGCCTTCCCGCCCATGTCTCCCACTCTTCCTCACAATATTCCATTGAGCGCTGTAGAGTACCACGCAGCTTCCAAATGTGCGAGTGGCCAATGTCCCGGGTGTGTGTATTACCCAGGAGCCGGTCCTATGCCAGTACTCAAGGATCCGACTAAGCGTCAGACCGCGGACGTACAGTCTAAGCTGATACCGTCCATCTCCGAGCACAACTCTTTGCCGATTTCAACTATGCCTGGTTTGACTAAAATTCCGCATCTTGAAGATACGCGGTATAGCCAAAGTATGCGGTCAGCAACTGCTGCATTAATAACCATGAGCTCGGCTGGAAGAGTGTTTCCTGGGGACCGACTACCACAAAGGAATGATCGTAGCCCTCCGAACCATTCTCCCCGCGCCTCTCCCAAAAGTGAGGCCAACGAAAAGCCCTAAAATCAATGATTTTATTTCAGAAGATGAGAAATTAAAATAACGTGAATATATTCGTAATAGTTAATTAAAAATGAGCCAGTAAAACTGGAACAAATAGAGTAGATATTTCTGTTTGTAAGAATTGAGTTTGAACTTTGTACCTACTTATGAGTGATGGATTGGCGAATGATAACAGAATGATAAAAGAGCTTCTCACTCGGTAGTTTATAAAACGAAAATTGTCCTAGTAGAGATTATTATTAGTGTTGATCTGAGTCATACGAGCCAGGTTACGTGGATTAATTGAGAAGTTGTAAATATGTACATGGGGAGAGCTACTACCGGCTGCTGAAAGTTCTACAGCTTTTTATCATGTTTTCTAAGCTATTTTGTTAGTTCATACAACAAAGGAATAATCTTAGAAATAGTCTGGTATAGTTGTAGAAAAATAGGCAAGTTATTCAATAATTATCAGTTAGAATGTATAAATGACGAGAAATTCTCGCTAACGAGGGCTTCAAGTCATCCTAAGCACAGTCAATGATGGATAATCAGTGAGGTGCTACAGGCAGAGCTATAGAAAAGTAGTAGTTTTTTTGTAATGTACATATACAGCGATGTGGGATGGTTTATTTCATTTTCCCATTCTTTTAATTATTCAATCTTTTAATATTTGTTAAAATAAACTTGTTCCAAAGCCTTTTCCCAGAGAAAGCAAAGTTGTATAAAGCAATAATGTAATTGAAACCAAATGTAAGCTTGTATCATAAAACTATTTTCGTACCAACTTAGAATAGTCCGAATTAATAACGTAGGATACATGTGCTGCACCTTAAGCAGCAGCGCCGGTAGTTAGAATGACTAGTTAAATATGATGCATCGGCTTACTGTTGTTTAGGTAGTCAATTAATGTTGTTTTTCTATAGCTTCAGTCAACGCTATCGTGGAGAGCAGGGCTCAGTTATAGCAAGTTGACTTTAAACTAAGGTTTTTCTAATTTGTCCAGTTTTGTGAAAGTTTTAACTTTGCTCGTAAATCTTATATTCTTCTCTTGTAGGAAAACGTAATGATAATTTGCAAATCGTTTTATCTCCTCTTTAGAATGAAGGATTAGTTAGTTCGTCTGTGATAAAGATCGTAATGCAATACAAACAAGCACACTGATGTTGACGTCTGCTGTTTGGCGATGAATGCTTGAAACTTTCAGATCATTTCGCTAAATTTTTCAGTTTAAAATGCGTATCATAACCTCGGCCAAATAGGATGTTATTAATGTTCTTATCACGGCAGATGCAATACCTTAAGTATTTAACACTTGGGAACAAACCACAGCCTTCCAAACTGATACACAGTGAGAAAATTATAAGAGATAAATAGCAGTAGGCTCAGTTTAATCTTTATCTTTGATCAACTTGAAAAAAGCCTGTTCGCTGGAAGTGTAATGTTCCAACTGTTTTAGTGGAGATATGTTGGTGTCAACTTCGCCAGACAATTCTGACTGATTCAGTCGAGGTTGAAGCTGATTGACTCAATATCTCAACTTTTAGAACAGCATGAACACAGACAACTTCTATCTGTCAGATGCCTAAGAGCCAGTGGGCTGCAAGAAAAGACCGGATACTATGACATTAAACTAAACTGAATGTCTACAGCTCACAGACATAATTGTATTACAAAACTCTATCCTGAAACAATTAGTACTTGTCTAGAAATGAGCAGCCGAATAGTGTTTGTGGACCTCTTGTATTTGAATAACAATACCTAATGTTAAATTTTTCCTCTCAAATCATCCAATAAATATATTACTTCCCTTTCAATTCGAGTCCTTTACTTAGTTCCACGCGTGGATTCCTCGTTTCTTACTCGACGCTGCGGCACCAAATATGTAAGCCGTCGTGATTCATATTGAGTGTTGGCTGAGTGAATAAGGTTCTTCTAGATTCTTTCGAAGTCTGTGCCGGTTTTTCAAGGATTAAACAGAAGGGCTTGAAGAAACTTACACAAGGTGTCCTAGTTAATTGTGGATCCCGTGTTTTTGCCAGAGCGTGATGCTGTTCGATTAAGTCAACTTGTAGCTCAAATTGTTCATGTTGACCATTGAACGGAAATTAAACAAAGTATAACTGACAGCTTTTGAATAAGAACTAAGTGAAGTTCAATTTTCATTGAAACCCAAGCAGTGAGAAGCAAAGGCGGGTCTCTATAGATTCAAACAAAGCGACTAGAGCAGACAAAAGCCACTCATTCATTATGCTGACCACAAAGTCTCCGGCTGAAAGCTGTCGTATTTTTTTTGAATGAAAATGTATTTTGAATAGAAAAGCAATACCCAGAGGAAGCGCTATTTACATTCAAATTGAAGGAAAGCCTACAGCAAACACTGAATGACAAGAAAATGAACCAATTTAAGTCTGGAAAGTTTTTCATGTTTTATGTGCATACATTCGTAAAAATGTCTGTCTGTTGAAACGTTGAGACTGCCGTAACCAAGACATTAAATGCAAGATGTCATTAGTTTCAAAAGAAAAAAAGATGAAAGAATAACCTTCTCAGGTCGTTTACAAATTACCATGAAAATGGAGGTGTTCTGACTAACACGGTCTGCTGGCTAATAAAAAGGTTCAAACCGATGTTGTGAGAAGATGGCGCTTAATCCTGCATCAGCCAATGAGAGCTCGAATCAAACTTAACCCAAACAATAGAACTCATTAAGAACAGAAATACCGTAGGTGATATATCAACTGTTTGACGGTAATTAATTGGAAAAGCGTAAATTGCAAAACTAACAATTTCGTCCAGAACTGTGGATGTCGCAGAGTGTGTCGAAAACGAAAACCGTACTGTATCAACCAACAATGTCTGAAGATGCTCGAGGCGATGACAGTGTACCTCGGTATCCTCGCTGTGCAAGATGTCGGAATCATGGCGTAGAATCAATTTTGAAAGGACATAAGCGATTCTGTCAATGGAAAGACTGCTCCTGTTCAAAATGCAGCTTAATAATTGAGCGACAGCGCCTGATGGCGGCGCAAGTGGCGCTAAAACGGGAGGAGGACGAGGCAACACCGCCAGCGCCCACGGTGGTAGGCCAGTTTCGGAACACTGCTGTCAGCGTGGACCCCGGCTGTGTAATGTACAGGTCAGAAGCGACGGGTTCGAATGAGGCATTACCGAGTATCATATGTTCAGCAACTGTACAGTTCGATGCAAACAATAACACAGCTTTGAGTGATGTTGATCCAGCTATAACTGAGGAGGCGAGAATCACCAAACACTCTTCGCTTTCATCGGCGCCAGGTGAGAAAAAAATCGGTTACACTTTTTTTTTATATACAAAATGTGTTCGCTCATTTAAAAAAAGAGAACTTCGAATCGCTGTAAAGTTGTTTAGCTTCGTGTATATCACAACCGCTGAGAAGATACAAGACAATATTTAGAAGACAAGAAAGTGTTCCTTTTGTGGGTGACCTTGACCATTATTTTGATAAAACTGTTTGATTGGTCAGGAGAAGTCGACGCTTTACGCTGAATAAAAGCAAAACATTCGCCTTCTGATAAGGACTTTTGATCAACAGAAAGACTCCATGGTAATTTTTATAATTGCATCTTTTGGAATAGAGGTCTGTACTGTATTTCCCTACGGTTGGTTTGGTAGTTACGAGTGCTTTTTTTTTTCTTTACTCTCAGTGGCCATTCATATCGAAAATTCCTGGCATCGGTACAAGTTTAGTTTGCTTTCCTTCCCTGAGCCAATTTAAAAATATTTTACGGTGTCACGTTTGTCAAAAGCATATCTTATGCACTCTCTTTTATGAGCCGAATGCAATTAAATAACAGAGAAACGATTTCCGGTCGATTGATAAGAGCACAAAATTGAAAACTATCACTACCTTCGAGAGTAAAAGCTTGTCAAAAAATTTCACGAAGATTTGAGACAATTTGAGTTTCAGTGGAAGGTAAATAAACATATTTCGATTTTAATTAGGAACGCTTTTACAAGTTTCTTCTTAAGTTGTCGAATTTTACAAGACAGTGTAAATGTCGGGCGGGAGAAAAGATTGATAACAGACATCACTTTGCAGCTGTCCGGACCAAATATTAGAGTCTTTTAATGAAAAAGCTCGCTCAAACCCTGGATCAAAGCCCCAAGATTAATTACGGAAACAGAGACAACATCTTCTTCTGTCTTCTTTTTCTTCAAGTCTTTGAACTGTTTTCCCAGATTTCAGCTATCACTTCCGGTTTGTCGATGAATGTTTGTATCTCATTCCTAACTGAACGCCTTCAATTCCCCCAGTCTTCAGAAATAGTTTATCACGCATTTACACGGAGAAAACTGTGTGCTCGTGGTGCGGCCATTTCTTTCCTTCATTAATTTTGTTTCTAGCGAGAATAGTAGATGATATAAAATTCTTTTTTTTTCGGTTGTAGGCCTAAAGCGTAAGTTCTCGGAAATGGAATCCTCGTATCCCTCCCCCCCTGAGGCAGGAGATGACAGTGTATTTTATGACAGTGATGACACAAACGGCGAAACAAATGATTACATCCGGGAATACAAAGAGCCAGCCAATCACCCTACAGAACGAGCTTTGACTCATACGGATGACAGCACCAATGAGAATCTGAGGAGTCCTGGAAACCAGAATCAAAGCTATCAAGGAAGACTGCATCCGCTAGAGCTCCTTACCAGACTCTTCCCAACTCAGAAGCGGAGTGTGCTGGAGCTCATTTGGAAAGGTTGTCATGGAGACGTATTGAGAGCAATAGAATGTGTACTTCCGAGTCATGAAAAAGCAATGGCTTCTCTTAACGCACCTGAAAATCCTGTGATGCACTACACTGCAGGAATGCATCCAGGCTTTATTACTCGCCAAACCCGACCTCCTTACCAAGGCCCTGTGGGACCTGCACCCGCACGCTATCATGTCTATGGTTCGGCACCAGGATTCTCATACCCCATGGTCGAGTATCTACATCATCAAAAGCGCAGCCTGGGACAAAACTGTACAGTAAATGACAATGAGCTTGCATATAGTATGGTTCAGGGTAGTGAACAAACCAATATTGTGGGAAAAGTTTGTCCGGAATGTTCAACTAAGTGTCAGCCGAGCAGTAACTTTTGCAGTTCGTGTGGCAAGTGTTTTAAAGAGACATAGTTACTAAAAATTGTTTGAATTTAAGAAAATTTTCCAAATGACGGTGTATCTGCGCACAGACTTGTATTGAAATTTAGCTTGATGTACCACGACTAGCTTAAGGACAAAGCTTAATTCTTTGGTTCTAATTCACTAATAAAACGTTTTGATGCCTGTGAGAAAACCTGAAGAGTGTCCCCGCGAAGTCGGCAAGACAGGGGGGGGAGTTCTCTGAGTTGTTATGCGTGAATTTTTCCCTCGGCCCCTTAATGGAGGAGCCATGCAACTTAAGTGAGTTTTTGTTACTTGTGTTGATTAAAAGATCATTATATTTATCTATCTATTTGGTGTCAATAAGAGTCACTGAGAAAATTCTTAAAAGACCTGTTTGCCACTCAAAAAATATCAATTTTTGACAACTATCCGACATATTTTAAGTTTTGCTCCACTGTTGTCCAATCGCAATCCATAACACAACACTTAAGTGAAAGGACTTGGCTTGTGGCTTCCTATATTTTTTAAGTGTTATGTCGTGACTTACCTCAAATATAAGAGAAAAAATAAATAAACTGTAACATTTAAAACTTAAAAATGGCTCAGATGAAACAGAGAAATGTGTGAGTTTGAAGTGAGATGTTTTTGGTTTTCTGAGTAGAGGAGAATTTACACGTTGATCTTTTCTTGATAGAATGATGTGTTATTCCACCCGTTGTCTGGGTCAGCGGATCAGGACAACGACAAGTTCCAGGAAAAAATATGACCTCTATTTTCGACAGCAAAATGGCGATTGTTTTAGCATTTAGTGACAGTAGACGGTGAAATCATCACTTATCGCTTTAAAAAATCTAAAAAGTCTTCAAGGAAAGAGAATCTCTGTGTACATCTGAAGCGATGGTTGCACAATTTGTTAAGACGTGTTTTGTGCTTATGAATTTAGCTGGTGGTTTTAGTTTCCTAGTGGCTGATTCTGTGAAAAGGAGTCATTTACAAGGTAAGACAAGAGTTACACGCTCGTGGTCCTCTATTTGAACTTGATTCATGAACCAAATCACTTTCACCGGAACCCGTTGCTTCTAGCTATTAGAGAAAATATATTTGAGGAAGAGACATAAGAGCTTTTATACATGTTTCCTTAAAGATATTTTATTAGACCACGATGTATCTTTTTGTTATAAATAATTAGGAATACGTCAAAACAGTCAATATAATCAACTCAATCGTAAAATGTCGCAATTTCATGATGGCTTTTTTTTGTCAAATTTGTTTTCAGTTGTTTGGTCGAAGTTTTGAAGAAGGAAATGAATATGATTTACTTTTGCTGTTTATCAACTCAGTTTGAAAAGGATCGAGTTTATTGAAAGGTGATCGAGAGCGTAAAAGTAGAGGAAATAAGATTCATCTGGAATTTTGGTTAAATCAAAGTTATTTCAGTGTAAAAAAAAGTCGTCAGCAGAGTATGAGTCAAGATGAAGGTGGTGTCTACTCGAAACGCAAAATGCGTGCGCGACAATGCCGAAAGGTTTCCTGGGTAAAGTTACCGGTACACACGTTTATGGCCTAAAGAAGGTGTAATTGATCTACACTATCTCCCCGTCTAGTGTTGATAGACAGACAAAAAAAAATAAGATATTTTCAATGCTTCAACTCCATTCGGAATTGTCGAGTAGGCTTTCAAATTTTCATAAATTAACCTTTCTGAAAACATCTCTCTCAGATCACTTGCGCGTGCGAAGAGGATTTCGCTCATATTTTTACAACTATTTGGACGAAATTGCCATGGCAACGTGTGCAGCCATTCCTAGTAACGGACCAGGCCTGATATATGCTGTCAGACGGTAATTAACTGTGTAATGTATCATAAAAAAGTAATTTGCATTTAATTGAGAAATACAAAGTTCTGCAATTATTCTACTTCGAATCGAGTTAGTATTGAGACCGAGAATATAAGTTTACATTTGAAGCTCATTTTTACGATCCATTTTATTCGTGAAATATTTATTGAGTTTAGAGACACAAAGAGGGTCTGGCCTCGGTCAGACTAGTCAGTAAAGGCTATTAAATCTCAAAAGCACAACGATGGTAGAGAACGGTCATTACCTAACTCAGGAGGAAGGGGAAGGAGCGGTCCGGAGGAAAATGTACCTGATCCCTGACCTCTGTAATATTCTTATTACCCCCTTTCCCCATCCCCCCCTCATCGGCAATCAATTAGCGGTTAAGCTTTTATGGCCCCTCTTTTATACTCTGTTGGCAACAACTGACCTTCCTCTGTTCCACCTGGAAGCTTCTGGTTTTTTCAGTGATAATGATGACGATATGATGATGGTTGTATTTAACGGTCGGTCAAGCAAATCCACTTTATTGACGGGATTAATTGATGTTGTGGTATTTTGAAGACAGATTTTTAATGAATTGACGAATTATTGCCATAGAACTATAAGAAATTTAAGCCCTGCTTCTGCAGATATGATTTGCACCGTCATTGCTGACCAAATACCATAGCTGCTACCTAAATGTGATTTAAATGTGTTCATTTAGGACCTGTGGAGAGAAACCCGACTGCAAGCACATCTGTACCGACAAAAAGTTACGAGAACAAGGACCAAAGGAAGTACATAACCTTACCTGGGATTGTACTGAGTCTTTACACGTCTACAAAAGGCAACCTGCCCTAGCGGACAATTATGATGAATATACAGATTCTCACAAACTAGGCTTGGCTGTGTTTCGCCATCATTCTTGCACTGTGGCTGATTGTGGTCCAAACTACTGCTGCTGTAGAGCTGTTGCACTATGAATGTGCCCTGACCTCATTACATTCTCTATTTGTTAACTGGAGAGATCATTTACTATGCAGCTTTTCTGAACCCCTAATTTCCTACCTGGAAAAGGACGTCGAGGAAGTGAACAGATACCAGATTAAATCCTAAAAATGACTCAGAGTTAGATAATGGCCACACCGTAATAAAATAATTTACTATCTACGACCCTCGATAATTTAATGTACTGTGCTGTTTTTAACAGCACAGAGAGTTTTCCTTAGCGCGCCACGTCAGTTACATTTAAAAGGAACTATACTTCACTTTGTGTTAAATGAAGTTCCAACCGAGTCGGTATTTTGTAAAGTCGAATTTTAAGAAATGCCCCATTTTTTTCCCGTCCTTATTGTGTATCAATCTGTGTCCGGCTCATAAATTGCTACTTCCCATTACCAATCAGTAAAATTTAAGTGTCCTTCGATCCAACTGGCTGACAAATGTAATTGCCATTTAATTGTAGAACACTACAGTGAAGCAGGTGATTTTTTTCAGTTCTTTATCATCGATAGCGGCGAGCGATCAGCAGTAAGACACTTACATCAATCAGAACATGTGAATGCGAGAAAAGAACGCTCATAATTTCACGTTTTGGTCTCCAAAGGTATCCTTCGTGTTCTACCAAGCATCTCTATTTCGCTGCATTATGGTTGAAGAGTAAATTTCTAGTCAAGATAAAAAAAATACTTATCATAAAAAATCTAAATTAAAACTAAGCCAAATTATTTAGTGATATTGCTTCCACTCGGCGCGATAAGCGGTAAAGTTAAAAATTGAGCAATTTGTTCTTAAAGAAACGAAAATCTTCTATCCTGGCAGTTGACACAATTTCCATGATATGCAAATAGCCGGCAACAGAAAACAATAAGTAGACACCATTATCATTTCCTCTGCGTTTTCTTTTTAATCATGATTTGACACCAAAGAAAAACACGTTCTTTTCTCGTTGGCAGAATAACCACGACGTCATTGATTCAATGATTGGGTGTCCTGGGTTTACAAGAAATGTTATTAAAGATGAAAATCCAAAGCTCTTGACAAACAACTTAAACAAACACGGCTGCCGCGCTGAAAAGAGTAATTACTTGTAAATGAAATTTTTTTTGAGCAGAGATACAGTACGAATGCAAATTTGACGTTCGGTAAACACATTTTTCACTTACAGCAAAACTAAGCTATGCGAATTTGAACGCGCTAAAAATAATGTTTGAACTGGTCTGAAAACGAATACAGTGGGAAGTGGAAAAAATGGCGCCTACCAGCGAAGACGAAAATCAAAGAACTGCCTCAAAGAAACATAATGTGAAGCCATTGCTTCTTACGCAAAATAGTCTTCATGTACCGAGTCATGTTCTGTTACCCCGTGGGTCGCTTTTCGCTCATCCGTATCCCGAGTCAGTTCATCCATTTGAAACTCATGAGCAGCTAAGTCTCGCTGAGCTGCGAACTCAAACAATTGTTGGCGGGAATCATTTGCTAGACACCAGCACCTCACAGCGGTCCACAGAGTCTAATAAACAAGACCATAGAAATGTAAAGAACTCTTACGGCTCTCGCGACGAAAAAATTACGACAAGTTTTGTTCTAAGGAATCTTCCAGTTTTACCTTTCAAAGCTGCCGTGGTTTGTTTGATTCTTAACTGCATTGTACCAGGCGCTGGTAAGTAAAATATGTTTATCTACAGAATGTTTAGTTCAGTTCTGGCGGCAAAGCCATGTTTTAACTATTTTGGTATTCAATTGAAGCGAAAAATATCTTCATTAAAGCAGTTTCCGCACGTTCAAAATCATTTCCAAGACAAAAGAGTTTGAACCTTAAAATATTTCACCTTTTTTATCCAGACACATTCAAATTGTGTACAGCTACCATGGTAGTCCTCAGGCCGTATGATGAGAATGTTTTTATTTTCAAGGGTGGAACTGAGGGGATATTGTAAGTTACAGAAACGACATATAATGTTTGTTACTCTAATTACATATCTCCTTTAAAACTTGTTAGCGTCTTCCTGGCAAATTTTTAGAGTCACCACAAGGGGCGGTCCGTAGACTGCGTTGCAAATTTTTTTTGTCATAAGAATTCTGAATAATAATTTCAGGACTAAATATTAAGAATCTAAAGTGCGTTTGCGAGAAGGAGTCACCCAGTCGATCACACACTTCATTTCATGTTTGTGTTTAGGTTTTGAAATGGCTGAAATGATCAAAACTGGCATATGTGGTTTATATCGTTTCTCGCGCGACAAACGTAAATAAAGAAATTTGAAGGACGGAGAGATATACATAGCGAGCTACTCGGGATATTTCAAACCACTCGGACCAATATCTAATAATGAAACTGTACAGGCGATTTTTTTTTCGTTACATAATGAACTCCGTAGACTTATCTTCCTCAAATGAAAACTGATCGACCGTTAAGAGATTCGACAAAGGAAGATCTCAGTAGTGCTCCAAAACTAAAGGCATCTTCATAAAACCTATTTTATTTATGTGACAGATGACCTGTTTAAGATCAGCAAAATGTCTCCTGTACCGTCTTTAAACCTCTGATCGTACAGTCACACCCTAATTGTGGAATTACTCTTCTGTTTAGTGTTCTTAGATTGAAACGTGTTTTGTACAGCGGTAACTCCTCATAGAATATATGGCATGGCATGTTTCAGGAGTAGTCCCCGACTCCACTCCCGCAAGTGTAATGTATTCCTGACGAAAGAGTCTTACACGTTTAATTGATTTTACAATTCAAATTAAACCTTTCGTTGTCTTCCCTTATCCATGATGCGATTTTCATAGCACAGTGAAAACTTATCAGATCTGTTTATATCACTTTCCGGCGCAGAATACATTCTACAAATCTTGACATATTTTCTTTGCATAAATTTCCGGCGTTTTACAATTTTAATCTACCCAGATGTAGACATTAGAATATCGGCATCACTTTAAAATGAAACATTTTTCCTTCTATGAATTTTTTTCTGGTTGAAAATTAATTTTAGTTTTTCGTAAGCACTTTTAATTATCAGTTATTGGTAATTTCATCGGTAATTTCATTGCTATTTGTTATTATTGATTCAGAAACCTGTAAACTCTGAAGAAAGGCTTTCAGCAAACAGCTCTTTTACACCTCACAACAATATCACAAGCTATGTTCCCAAAATCAGAATTTCTTAATTAGTTGAGAAATTAGAATTGGGATATACAAAAATGTTCCCCGAATGTTAAGAATATATCCGAAGTCATTTGCAAGCGTGTAAATGAACCAAAAATACACAAGTCTGTATTGTGGACGACAACATTAATTCTCGAGCGGTTTATTTATTTCCTTTTCAATGCAAATGTACTAAATTGTTCTTAACCGCTAATCTCCTTATTTTATAGAATTGAAAAGAATATCTGCTATGTTCCAAGTCTCTCATAAGATGGATATAAAACTCGAAGACATATTTTCAATAGGTTGCAAGCAAAATTGGATCCAATACAAACAACATGAAACATGTGCAAACAGGCTGGAAACTGAGATACCTGTTTTATTCTGCACTTCAAAAAATTTGTGTTTAGCTCTCGCTACAGCTAGCAATGCATTAACGAACAAAAGATCCAATACAAAAGTGTTTAACGCAATATTGTACCTCATTGCCGATAAGAACACGACGCTCTGTTTTATTGCGCGTGATTAAAGCTGAAAACCTTTAAAGCATCGATCAGACATATGGTACTCATATATAAATGCCTTCAGGGCTTTGACGAGCTAAGGACAATTAGGCGTTGATAGATGTGGAATGTAAATTGATCTTCAGGTTGAGTCTATTGTGATGTCAAAGTTTTAATCCATAACAACATCTCGCAGCTTTCTGCTTTCGCTCAGTTCTCTCTCGAGTTCAGTAACGAATCGCTAGAAGCTGACAGAGAATCTTGGGAAATTCATAGCTTCAAAATTTATGTAACTGCGGTGAAACATAATGGAGGAGACATCCATTGCTGAGGAATAATCGTTGATTACCTGAAGATGTCTCTTGCCCACAAACAGCGCGGGAGCAGTTCAACACAATTTTTAGTCACTGACGGGGACAACGAAAGTCAGGGCCGAAATACTAAGGAAAATTTGCCAGCTTTGGGATTAAATGCACCAGTTCTTACTGGTGAGAATAATTCTCAAGCTGCGGGCGACTTGAGTGCGGGTCTACCTCAAGTGAAACCCTTAGAAAATGGCAACTATCAACGAAGTTTCAGTCTTGAAAGTTCTCGAGTTACACCACGTTCGGCAAGAGTGTCGAGTTCATCTTCCGCAACAGCTGGCTTGTACACTCCATTTCCTGGATTTCAAATTCCTAATGAAACAATAATACCAAAGGAAGACCCGGCAACAGTAGTGAAGCGAAAACAGACAATCTCAGCGAAGGATGCCATTCCAGTATTACCGCGTCCCGTCGCCATTGTTTGTCTCATTTTTAACATTCTCATCCCCGGATCAGGTAAGATCAGCTCCATAGTATTGGACTGATTAAACATTTATTCACGGCTGGGTTTTGAAGCAAGAAACTTCTGATGGTATTTCGCTTTATAATTAACATTTTCCAATAATTTGACCATTAAGATGTATTTTTAACTATCGGACGATCGAGAATTTATTCTTTCCATTTAATCTTACACTCTTTTAAGCTGACGCAATTATGTTTTTAAAGGAAGTCTTAGCCACAAGACTTAAGCCACAAGGATATCACACGGTCTTTCAAACAGAAAATAGAAAGCGAAATCTTTTCCCGAGTCATTTTCATGATACATCAAAAAGTTATTATTCTCTCACTTTGGCCCTCGCTATGATGTATATGATGCTATAATATGTTTCTGAGGAGCCCAGCACGACGAAGTCTTCGAATTGCGTGCAAAGTAGGAAAACATAAAAAGAAAAGCAAAAACAAAAATCTGGGAATAGATTTAGTTAAACGGAAATTTCCCAAAAGCATTTTAATTTTCATAACGTAAAACATAGCAAATAGCAAAAGTATACAAAAAAAGAGAAAAACGGAAGAGAAACCAATTATTAGAAAAATGTTTATTATCATAACAGTTTTTTTTGACACATGACTTTGTAGAATTCGTTATTTGCCCATTAACTCATCGTTATCAACATGCGATTTGTGTATCATATCTCGAGAATCATTTTTCCGAGCAGCCTGTTAAGATTAAGATTGGAAAAATCGTTTCCGTTGAATACTAGATACAACAAAGACCAACCGTAGAAACGCTTCCTCAAACTGTTCTTCTATTTCTTGCCTATTATCAATTACAAAATGCTCAAACATTTATGCGTAAAAATACTGTCCGTGATGAATTTCGTGATTATTTTACAATTCATTTGTACTAATCCTCAAGTGCTAATCCGAAAGGCCTGATTACTTATTGTCTTTGACGAAGAGATAATTGAAGAAAACAAATTTCTTTTTACCGTGGGCTGTCATTTGCAGAGTTTCTCGCCTTCTTGTCACTTCATATTGGATGGCCAGAGGGCGCGTGCGATTATGAACTCACCACGAAGAAATAATCACTATAGTGTGGTAATGTCAGAACAAAGAGACGATGTGGCAGAGTTAATCAAAGTGGAATCGATAAAGTCGGGCATTTGATTTAAGGAAGAAGACAACAAAATTGTCAGCAAAGTAACGAATCATTAGTGTTTTCAAGCTCGGTTAACAACACTACTCTGAACAAAATAGTTTGACAGATACTATTAGTCCTATCAACATTGCGATTCTTAGGAAAACTATGACACAATAAACCGATGGATGTGTTAAATGTCAACTATAGCATATTAACGCATTTCTACAATCATTTCTGTTCAAACTCTTTCCTTCTCATCCGTCTCCCCTGAATAAAAAAAAACTTCAGGATGTTACATTAATTTTTTGGCAGTATCGCCTCCTTTTTCCAACCATTTCCTTTCCCATTATGAGTAACATTGGAGGAAACATTTCAATCCAGTTGTTATGGGACCTCATCTTTAAATTTTTTCAATTTGGTCTGTCTTCCTTTTACTACGTGTTTCGGTAAAATCTTAGCTTGATAGAATTCGTGCGACACGCGGTTTTACCGCCGGTAAATGAAATGCGTGGGAAAGTATACTTTACCTAGCTTGTATTATATTGAAAATGAATACTCACTAATCATAAGTCTGTTGTTAACTGTAATTTGTGTGAACAGTCAGTAAGAAGCGAGAGCAGGGAAAGGACAATAGACAGTCTGGTATAGTATTGCTTAGAATTACATTTCCAACGAAAACAGGGGCGGTCATTTCTCCGAACAACCACTCGTTAAAAGTGCTTTGTTGATAAAGGTTACTTAAAAAATGATGCTTAGTATACGATGTGGTGTTAAATTCAAGAAGCCTCGAAAAAATATTTTGCCAGGGTGGACAAACACTGATCCACAAATATGGAAACAACTGACACAAACTGCAAACAAAAACTTTGAGATTTGAGAAGTGAGTGGCTGTTTTCTCAAAGACTGAATGACAGTATAAGCATTGGATCAATGATGGAATGTTCTGACTTGACTGTGCATTTTCTGTACAGGGACAGTCATATCTGGCCTGATCGCCTTCTTCCTGACACGGAAGAACATACCGCTGATCAGCCGCACTTCCATTCTGTTCGTCAATTGTTTTGTAGGCTTCATGCAGCTGGCAACAATTGTCTTCCTCATGATTGGCTGGTTCTGGAGTATAGCCTGGGGCTGTGCATTCGTAGGATTTTCTGGTAGGTGTATAACATACTTTTAGATCGTGATTCACGTAATAGGTTGCAGTAGATGAGTCCATGTTTGATTTGTTTAGAAGCCAGACAAGAGAACTGACTCTAGTCAATAAATTAGTCTGCCTTGGAAACTATCATGATTCTCTGACAACTTATCCTGTCTTTTTGGACCTTTGTTTTTACAAGGTCAAAACAGCAAAGATTACAGTTTCTGTTTAGAGATTTTGCTGCGTATGCCCTCCCAAATGACTAATATTATGTTTATTGTATCAAGTGTCCCAATTGAGGAACGCAAAGTCTCTTTCGTAACGTCTCACAGTACTTTCCTCGCGTTGGGAGGAGAAAGAATCGCGTGACGAGATCGGACTATGATTGTGGTGAAGGATGTAATTTGAACACTGCTCTTCTAGTTCTCTATGAAGATATTTAAAAGGTAGAGCTTACTCTAATTTTACCAAATTGAATACGTTTTAGTAAATTTATCATCGTAATTTGCAGAGCGTTACGGTAAAGATCTTGAAAAGGTGGAAGGAAGAGAAGTTGTCCCCGCGTAACTCCCGACCTCACAGTTCACCTTACCCGTTTGGAGGTGGGCTGACTGTGCCAAACGGATAGATGTTGAGACTCATCGTTAGGTTTCGAGGTGAACACGTCTCGTGGGCCCTACGGAGATCTACGGTAGCGAACATTTCACTGAAGCAGTTGGAACTAAACCGACTAATGCGCCTTTCCTGAGACTTCGCCGAAAAGGGGAACCTTACTTGAGGTCTTGAAGTTATTCACTCACATGGCAAACGAAGAAGTTACCTTTTCACCGAGGCTGGTACATCCAACACGAAATTGTACCATAAAAATAACTCTATTTTGTTTGCAGGCATGCAGGGTGATTTTACACTTCTTTCTACTACGGAACGAACTTTTTTTTGTTTCAGCAAACATATTCCACAATAGGACGCTGTAATATTAGATGTATGTTGATAGACTTTTTCTTTCCTGCGTTGGGTTGTGCTTTATCACTCTCATACTGTGTCTTGAGGTAGACAAGAAGAGTTATGGGTTGGGAGGTTTGGTAATTTTACTGAAAGCTGCGTCACAATCCGGATGCTGGGGGACGAAACTTTAAGATACATAGAACAACAAATTGTTTATCACTCGCATTTATAACAGATATTTCTAGAAACTTGCAGACTAGTTACGTTAAAGTTACATTAGAATACATACAGAATACTAAATTCTCATAACCTGCTAGAAAATTATTAATTGTAATCGGACAGAACAATTTTTTTTCACGGCTTTTAAATAAATACATCCACAAATCCACACATTCCCCTGGTGTTTCATTTGTATAAGAGGCTTTTTTTTTAATCAGCTGGGCCATTTCATTATTTCATGATTAATATCACCTTCAGTTACCAGAAATGTACTAGTTTAAAAGCTTCTTCTTTGCAAAATTATTACAAATAATACAATGTAAGAATATCTGAAGTAACTTGTGTCATATTGTGCGGTCAGCGTAGTGTTCATCAGGCAAAGCGTGGAATCCTATCAACAACGTTACTTGCTAGAAACTTCTTGCTCTGTTTGTTTCTTTTACCATTGAAATACCTGTAAAATTTCAACACTCATATTTTGCGTATTCGTTTACAATACAATTAAACAGCATATCAATAATAAAACAGTTAATGGGAACAAAATTGCATTCACAAACACATAAGCCTCTTCATATCTCTAAAACAGAGATACCATGGCATCTCTGGATTTCCCAACTCCAACCCATTGAACTACAAAAAAGAAACGTACAATGTTAGCATACAGCCTTAACATGCCTTCTACCATGGACTTAAAAAATTCATTATTTTCAGCTTAGAACCTCGCACCTGTGTGTACAGGAATAAAATTCTAGATCACTTTGACACCAATTTTATATGAATCCACCCCATGATAGCCAGCATTATGAGGATGTTCCTTTCTGGTTTAAAAACCTTACCCTATCAGTGCTCCTACTTAAAGTCAAGAAATTCCTAGGTATATTTTGCAAATCACGGCTATATTTATTCACATTTCACTCAGTCTATAAATCTCACCTGGAATTTGTGTAATTTGTTCAATTTTCCTAATATACGCTTGTGCATTAGCTGGTAACTCATCAAATGTTCTACATTGTTCAATACTGGTCATCCAACCAGGTAGGGTAATGTACTCCACTTCAACTTCATCCAAGACTTCCACACAAGCTGTAACGAACATCAAAGTAAACAAAAACATCTGCCATAAGTACATTCCATAACACATGTCAAAGTGAAACTTTGTTGTCCTATTCCAATTAATAACTGATGGACATAAGGCAACAAAACCAACAATCATACCAGGGAAAGATTTCATGAATTGTCCTCTGTACTTGTATGCAATCCCAATTTTCACCTCCTCAAAAGTGTCCAAAACATCAAGCTTGGCAATCACAAGACTGTGAAATACGAACAGCATTAACCATCAAATACAGAAATTCAAGCATAATATATATATTTTTTCATTTGTAAATGATTGCAAATGAAAAACATGGCCAAAACATTTCTTCTTAATCTGTCTCAATAACCAAACCTATGCTCTGAGCTCACTTTTACTGATCCATAATTAGTAATACAATCCCATTAAACGAAAGTCATATTAAAAATTGTAATTTACCAACACAGTTCAAACCAATAGCTATCAAATCTAAATCTTCATCTTCAAAGTATATTTTAGAAAAATTATTTCCTGTAACTAATTAAAAAAAATGACTTGTTTGATTTTTAACAAACATCAAAACAAAAACAGGAAAAAAAGGGGAGGTAAAGTGGCTGCCATGGTAAATCACTATAAATAATCATGAGTTGAACATTGATATGTACCTTGTAAAATTGTTGATCATGTGTGAATATTTGATCATTACAAGATCAAGCCATCCACAGCGACGTTTTCTGCCTGTTGTTACACCAAATTCCCTTCCTATCTGCTGCATCTTCTCTCCAAGTTCCTGAAAATGCAATTGGGGAGATAAGCAAAATATTTTATGTTTGAATAGATGGTCAGCATTCACAAGAGTAGTCTTCAAAACCCTAATTCTTTTGGTAGAAGTACAGCACTGCAAGTTTGCATCTGACATCTATCAGCATGGAATTAACTCTAGGATCATGATAAAGTTATAACCTTATGGAAAAATTGCCTTTTTTTATCAAAATCAAGACACTATGTACAACTGTTGTTCAGACTAATCTAGGTAGGTCAGTCAAGTATTATGATATTGCATATATCTGATATATGATATAAAGAACCAGGAATAAGGAGCAAAGAGAGCAAGAGTTGAGAGAGGTGACAGTAACACGTCCTAGATAACCTTGACAATTACATCCCCATAATTCGATAGAAATTCACAGCTGTTTCTTTAGCTAGCTTCTGTTTTATTGTCTTGTTGAAAAAAGAGGAAAACACTACAAAAGTAGTAATGGATACCATGTTCACTCAATCTATAATAAATACGTGATGTAACAGTCTCTAAATGCAAAATGAAGAGATCATTAGTTGTTAAGTAAAAAGAAACAAGTTACATTTTTAAGCTCTGTTGGGAATCCTCCAAGACCAACCCTTGTTGTGTAAGCTTTGGTAACTCCATGCACATTGCCGATTGCTGCTGGTGGAATGCCAAGACCTGTGCAAACTGCACCCACAGCACAGTTAGAAGATGTAACAAATGGATATGTACCTGGAAAAAAATATTCAAACATTCTTTGAAATTAAAGACGTTCTTTTGCAATTTGCTTACAAAGTGTTCTGTTTGTGCCACCTAAGCTCCAGCTGTGAGATGATCATCTTACAGAATAAGAGTCGTGGCAAAATTGTGAGAGTTTGTATGGGAATATTTATGACCACTCATAGTAATAAAAAATAGTCAAATTCTCAATAAAAATACCTCTATTTTGCAAGATGATGATCTCACAGCTGGAGCTTGGGCTGCCTGTGGTTTGTATAGATTTGATACACAACATTGTTGTGTTTATAGCAAATTGGTATCCCAAGGGTAGAAGCCATTTATATAAATTTTAAACCTTAAACCAAACAAACTAAACCCATTTCATATCAGCCTGGAGAAATTTGACATGGACTATTGATAATGATAAATTTGTTCCATAAGTTACAATGTACTCCTGCCATTGGTCTTAGGTCTATTTCCTACGGTTTGTATGGAAAGGGGAATAAAATACATTGTTTAGCTCATGCCAGTTCACAATGAATAGAGCTATTTCAATTGGGAGAGGTTTTGCTATGATACTTACATATTTTACAACAAACTAATCTTCAGATAATTCAATGCGGTAAAGGTCTTCAAGTGGTAATTATAATACAAAAAGGAAGTTTTCTTTATCTATCTTATACCCAAAGGTTAATCACATTAGATAATGTCTGGACCATATCTGGGCGTGTAAATACAGTTACAGCAGAAATTCAGCTGAAATGAGATGGAGTGTTATGAACAAAATACAGAGAGATGACACACAAATGGAGAGATTGAACAAAATAACTCAAAATGTGGTTTTGTATTTCAAGATGTAATCTTTGTACGAATTATTTGGTACTATTGACTCAATTCAACTAGGTTAACAACTCAAAAATTAAATCAAAATGCATATTTCAAAGCAACACTTGTACTAAAAATTACCAAAGTCAATATCCAGCATGAGTGCATTGGCTCCCTCCACAACAATTTTGGCTGATTCATTCTGAAGTGCGTTGTTCATGTAGCTTACTGTGTCACACACCAAAGGACGGATCTTTTCTGCATAGTGCTATAATTAAACCATAAGAAAAAATTTATAAAATTATGAATACTATTTATCCTAAACATAAGTAAACTAATTATTTTGTTTGTTAAAAGTGATAAATAGTTACAAACATATCCAGGATTACTAAAGTATGAGAACATAAATGGAAAAATTTCTTTAACATCGTTACCTTGTACTTTGTTATCTCTTCCTCAATGTTTGTACTAAGACCTGGATATCTGAGAAAAAGTGAAATGCACAGTCTGAAGTTTAAACTTAGAATTAGTAATCACATGTACTCCACAAGATGGTTAATTTAAAACTGGCCAGGTAGAGTTAGCACAACATTCTATTTAGGTTAAGTAAGTAAAGAAAACATTTACAAAAATAAATTTAAAGATAAGCAGTGAGTAAAAACAATTGTCTCTTTTCAATACTTACAGCCTCTGAAAATGTGACACCAGTCCTCTGAATCTATTACAACAAAGAATTAACATAGTATCATAATCAATTTGCATGGCTAACACTGATCAAAGCATTCTTTACCACAGGGCAGCTGCTTACCTTCTCTCAAAAGCCTCAAAGTCTCCAACTAAGTCACATATTCTGAGGCCTATCCTTTGTGCCTGTACATGTAAAGGCAACAAAATTAACTCTGAGCTAAGTGTATGAAATGAAGATGTAATAAAATGGAGTATGTCTACACATAAACCATAAGACAGGGACAGCTCCAATATGCAGTCACCTCTAGTAATTAAACACATGTTTACAACTACCCTATGGCACTCATCAAGATGCCATAACATAACATTTTAAAAAGCGAACCTTTGAGAAGACAGCCACAATCAGAACTGTGCACTTATGTACACAACTGTGCACTTGTTATGTGAGCATGTAATGATGAAGTTTTATTCTACAATGACTGAAAGATTTCTACTTCCAAACAATGCAAGTAACAGTACCTTTGAGGCATATGTTGGACCAATTCCCTTCTTTGTGGTCCCCAACCTAACAAAAGACAAAAGTTTACAGCTTTACTCACTGGAGGTAATAGACATTACACCAGAAGGTGTGAATAAATGTACTCTGTATCAGTTAAAATATCATTCAGTCAGTTATATTTACATCAGATGGGATCATTCTATTGCAAATAATATACTTTTGATAGTTACAGACATACTGAATCACCTCAGACAGTCTTTTCTCCTACTCACCCTCCCTTTCCACCTTCACGTAATTTGTCAGATTCTTGGTGCAAGTCAAATACTAAAAGGGAAAAACATCATTCAAATATCCGTTAGCATAACCACCAGGTATAATTGAATTACCAATGGATAAAATTACACTGCCATGTTGTTCACACAACCATTTGTACATTTCAACAATAAATTTAAAAAAGATCTGTTATATTACCATTTTAAATGTTAAACATGTTTCTCACCTATATGAGCTCTGTCAGAGACAAGAAGTCTTTTCTCCCAATCAGTAACCCCTGCAAAGCCAGGAAACAAATATAATTTATTTTGATTGATTTCTCAAAACTGCAAATTGAAAGCAATATGCTATTGACAATATAAATTATATGATCACTGTCTTGTCTTTGTAGATAAACTGAACATAACAGTAATTTCATGAAAATAAGCTCTAACGCAGTACATAGAGTATGTAATATAAAGGCCTCTATAATTAAGTACAGTTTCCTGCAACCAATACTAAAGTACCATAATAATACTAATACTAATAATAAAAATAATAATAATAAAATAATTTATTGTAATAACATGAGGTAAAGAAAGTGGAAGAGAAGGGATCACCTTTAGCTTCAAGTTCTTTCAACTCTTCAAAGAACTGTGGAATGTGCATAACAACACCATTTCCTAACAGAAAAAGAGAAGTAAAAATACATGCATGCATCAAATAAAATTTATTGACAAGGATCTGTATATAATGATCATATAATTCTGAAAAAGACAAAATTGCTCACCAATAATGCTAACAGCTTTTGGTTGAATCAACCCACTGAAACCACAAAAAGAGTATAATTTATTTTATGGTTATCAAACAATGACGAAATGTAGAAAAGAGCTTTTTTTCATACTTAAGAGTTCTTACCTTGGAACCATATGAAAAAAATATTCTTTTGAGTCAACCACAACTGTATGACCAGCATTGTTTCCACCCTTAAATAGACAGCACAGGTAAATTACATGTTTCTCTGATGACTTTTTATAAGGTGCAGAGAGATCAATGGTTTGGGTTCTGGACTCCCAGATATTACCAGCCATTCTTTTTTCTTAGTTAATATGACCTCAGATTGTCGTCAATTCTGTTGCCTTACAATATAATAGCAGTTACTGAGAGAATTTTAAACTAAAAGTTCACCCTTGGGTACGTAAAGATTATACTTTACAATAATTTACTGAGTAACTGGCAAAAAAACGCATTGCAGCCAAGCCCATCCTTCCGCATTTCACCTCAATTCAAGGCAAGTTTATGCCATGAGCTGACCTTCCACTCAGAGTCAATAAATTGTTCCATTTCTTATGTTTGAACATGAACAATACTTGTGTATTGGAAGGATATCTGTCATCACCTTCCTAGTAATGGTACTTCTCCATGGGAAAAGGTAGAGACAAATTCATGAGAATACCAAAAAGTGTCCCATTTTGATCTGATCTCGTAAAAAATTCAGTTTGATCATGCCCACCGACTCCCCTCCAAGCCAAGCCAAGCCAACCAGAAAAAAGGTGCTGTGGCCACTGTACAAAGCTCAGGTCAGGGCAAAGTAAATATCGCGAGGGACCCTAACTTACAAATTCATAAGGTCTGTTTGATAAATATTTTGCTCTACTTCAAGATACTAGCAAGATAAGCAACAGACCAACACAATTGAAATCCACATTCATCCTGTTATGACAAACAAACAATAAGCAAAAAATTAAGCAAACAATAAACCATGACCGACTCGCATGCAAATTAATCATGTATACGTAGAGCAAGTTATGTCCTCGTTAACCTTAATTGACATCTAAGGCGATCATTCTAACATATATGTAATACACAGTTTTGAAACTTCCCTTCTATTTATGGACACATTTATCATGGAAACACAGATCTTACCTGACACCGGCAAACAAGATCGGCATCTGTAGCTAAGATGTCAACCAACTTTCCTTTTCCTTCATCGCCCCACTGTGCGCCCAAAACAACTGTCACTTTGGCTTTAGGGCCCACAGCTTTTTTTACCGATGTCCCTAGTCCATTAGTAATGGATGACATCGTAAAAGAATTGAAAAAATCCCAAAACTAAATTTCAACGTAACTTCTATTGTTGTTTCTGATCATCCCTTTCCGCGCCAAACGTGCCCGGGTCAGCTTGGTAACCAGGTCCTGAGTGTTTCATCCGGCCTGGGGCAAGCCTGGGGACTGGAGAAGATACCTCCCTAAAGGAAAAATGCTTCTAAAGTTTTAAATCTAATAGACTATTAGTACTACCGATATTATCTAAAAAGGAAACAACTTAAAATCCCGTATCTGACCAGCTAGACCTGCAAATGTAATGATCCCAACCCTGGAAAAAGAGACAGGCAGAAGTTGTGGTTGTTCAGGAAGAGTTTACGAAATGAAATCCTCATGAATCCTGACCTACCAACTCCTTAACTACAACAGAATTCGATAGTTTTGACAGTTTTCTTAAACATTCCCTTATTTTGCCTGATCTGTCCCATTTTTGGTGTGTGCACTCCATGCTCATGTCTAAAGAGTAAGGGTTAACACAGGTTAAGGGGGTTGTGTGCAAACAGTACCTTGTCTACCTTGTTTTTACTAATTTTTTGCACTTTGAAAACAAAACCAAAAAAAAAAAAAGGTGCAAACCTTAAATCTTGCAAAAGGCACAACCATGAAATTTCTTTCTTACTTTGATCAGTTTTCTTTTGCAAAAAAGAAAATTCAGCTTTATTGGAGCACATGTGCCTAACTAACCATATAATTAGGTGGGATAAATCTAAAATTATCACCACTAATCAGTGTTACCACCAGTGCCTTTGTTTGGAAGCCTGGCATATTAGCTCCACCCATGCTCCTTTAAATCATAATGATGGTGACTTACTTCCTGACACCTATTTACACCTTGTCAGAAAAAAAGGCAGCTAATTGGTGATTGTATAAAAGGACCTCTTGTAGCAGTGTTTGGATCACCACTGATGAAGATACTAGACAGGAGTGTCAAAAAATTGGGTCTATGAATTGTAACTTCTTCAGTTAAATTCATTAAACCAGAGTAGCATCAAACCATGTCTGATTGTCCACCTGGTTGCCATGTGAACTTTAACATATAAAGCTGTCAATTTGCCACCCTACAGATTTCACAAAGGTGATATTTTTATGGCTTGGCCATTTGAACATTCTGTTTATGCATGGTAAATAATTACATCATAACATTGCACCAGTAACAGGCAAATAGTTTTATGACCAGAGGAGCACAAGAGTTTGAAACTGTTTAATTAAGTGGTAAGAGAAGATATATGGTCAGGTTAATATATGAGAAGGATCCAGAAATACCATCCTTGGATAAATAAAGTTTAAATTGATGCAAACTAACCCACATAGTTTTTATTAACTCTCACTTTGCTTTTTAAGTTATCACCACATCAATTAAAAGTGATCTCTTTGGCTAAAGTTAACATATTCTATAACAAATTTTTGTCACCTTTGCAAAAAACAAGTACAAATCAACCTGGTTTATTGGATTTTATATAAAGGTTTTCTAAGAGCAAATGCTTTTTCATCTCTTCCTTTTAAGCTCAATTGCAATTGATTTGTAAATATATCATACTATTTAAAAGTTGACTCTAACTATTTAGCTGCAGCGTGTAGAATGAGTGACACATTGGAACCTAGTAATAGCCTGGTGGTAGAGTATTGGAGTGGGAAAGCTGTAGGTCTGAGGTTTGATTTCTCATGGGGACTCAGAATTTTGCTTTAGTCCCACACTCATGATACATTGAAAACATTTTCCCACTTACATTTTATGATACTGTAAATCAGTGTTTATTGCAAGCATCACTGCAAGCACTTGCCATAAGTCAAAATTGAAGAAGCATTCTTGTAAGAGTTTCCTTTTAAACTTATATCTACTCCATCAGGTTGAGGAATACACACTTTTAGAATCAACTTATTAAGCTGAAACATTCTGATCAACAACACAAACAAACTAAAGTTATGAATGGACCAGTCTACCTGAGAAGATTTAATGTAGGATCCCTCATACTTTCCACTCATCATAATCATATTAGAGACATCTAAATGCAACAATTTCTTCTCCTTAATAAACATTTAAGAGAATTAGTTAAGTGCATGGGGAATGAGATGGATGACAGGGGGGTAGAGGAGGGGAGATATGGCAGAATAATATGATGGGTGGTCACAAAATCTGATGAAGGTCTAAGCAGCTGTGTCCCTGCTACCCATGTCATTGTTTGTAGCTGCTTTTCTCACCAAAGGCTTACTCAGGATGTCGTAAAAATAATCCTCAGAGTTCATTGGATCCCAGATGCCTGGTGAAGTCTCATCTGCTTGGAACCTAACAATGTAAAGAAGCAAACAAGTCTTTTTCTTTTTCTTGCTAGTTCACTCCCCCTCCCAAAAAAAAACATCACATGTCAAAAATTCCTGTTATCTACCCTCCTCTGTCAAAAGAGTCAAGTATAAGAAATTAGAATTACTGTAAGCCTAATGTGTGCTATTTCTTTGGTTCTTAATTATCAAAATTGTACAGCCATTTAAAACATTTCCACCCATGCAAACTAATCAAACAATGAAATATCCCTGCAGTAATGTAAGGTGTTGACATGGCTGCGGCGATAAAAGGTTCTCTTTACAATTGTATCAAATGCATATACCAATACAAGGTATATTTCATCACTTAATTTAAGTTCCTTAATCCAAATGAAAAGAACACTCATTAGAGATAATTTTCTTTTTTTTTTCACATAACTTAGATGAGATTTCTATCAACCTACTTCATAATCTTGATGAAAAAATTTTGAGCTCTCTCATTCTCTAGAATTAAAAAAACAACAAGTCAGTAACTACTGAGTCTTAAATGGTTCTATGTATTCACTTTGATTATCATAAAATGTCCATTAGATACATGTATTGAGTGAAGTCTTGCACTTTCCATAATTTTTATGCATTTCTCTGAATCTGTCCATGCATAACATAAAGGTTCAAACAAATCACATGATTAACAGGTTTCAAAAGCCAGGAAAGAGGGGCAAAAGAGTAAAACAAAATACATACGTTGAGATATTTATTGCCAAGCTGAGTCTGGGGGAATTATTAACACTCTTCACAGGAAAATATTAATATACCTTAATCACTTTGATTAATATTAATGAAAAGAGCCAAATGATTTTCACTACAGATCTTCCACAGTACACCAATAATAACTTTATTGTTTCAGTCATATTGGAAATAAGTTTCACGAAATAAGAATTAATATTTCCTGTATACACACCCTTAAACACTGTTAACATGATTTTCTTCATCTGGGCTCTAAAATAATAAAATGTTTGGAAAATTAAACCAGGCTATGCACATGTAATATATGATATACCCACCTAACATCCTTGATAGTTAATAAAAATTGTTCATGCCAACAATGGTGCGATGAATTACTTATAATAACAAATTAATACACCTAAAACCAACCTGTGGGCAATCATCTCTAAAATCAGCATTAGGAACTTTCCAAGTCCTTTGCCACGGGCCTCAGATTCCACTTGGATCTCATAGCTGAGAAACAAAGAAGAACTAAGTTGTCAGTACTTACATCAACACATACTTCAAATATTTTATAACATAAATACATAAAAAAATTAATTTCTATGAAATATTGCAGCCCTAATTACCAACTTTATGTTGGCAATTATCTGGATGAGCCAGACCTGTTGCTACACAATGTAATCACTTTTGGTGGATCAAAACATTTTGCCTGTATACTGCTAGCCATTTTTAAACCAATAAGTTTGACTAGATATGTGGCCCCTTTTGAACCATTATGTTCAGCTGTGATTGGCTTGTATTCAAAAACTGTGATCATGCATTTCCAAGATATGTTAATGATCTGGATGATGATGATGTATATTTGGTCAAAATTATTGCATCAAGAAGAATGACAGAATGCAGTCAAATATTGTAATCTATAATGCAAGTGACCACATTACAAGACAAAGGACAAATGATACTGCATATCCACAAAAATGAATAATCGACTTGTTTTCAAATTCATGTTTTTAAGGGCATTCTTCATCAATTATATCAAAGTTAAACTTACCAGTAAAGCACTTCGTCTCCCTCCTCCAAGTCAAACCTAAAATGTGAGAATGCCACAGCTTTTCCAGATTCTTCTCTGGCAATCAAATATCTAGAGACCAAAAGAACATTCAGCCAAAATCATGGGTAGCTGTATCTATCAAATACATGGCTAAGGATGAACAACACTCAAGGGCTTTGTCTATAGTTACCGAGCTTTATCTTCTGTCATTTCATCTCTCTTCCTTTTGTCATTCCATCCCCAGCTGCTATTCTCATAACTGTAGTTTTCAGAAGAATCAAAATGATTACAAGATCTATGAAAGATAACAATTTTCAAGCAATAGACCCACATTAATGAATAACCTGAGTTTCAAAATTTGTAAAAACACTTACAGTAACTGCATGTTGTGTTTTGTGAGGTCAAATGCCCAGTTGATATCCTCAGTAGACATGTCTTGTAGTCGCTTGCACTCAAGGCAGAGATCCAACCTAACAAAATGTATAAGAAAGTTAAAACACTTTTTCAATATTGGTTTTTCCCCCTCTAAAAGTGTGGGATGTCACCCAAAGCATATTAAACTTGTCAACAATACAAGAACATAGGGTGGTGTTTGGTGTTGAAGAAGAGAAAACTGTATCAAGGTTCAGCAGGAGACTATGAAAACCACATGAAAGGCATCCAGCCAGCCAGGATTGTTGGACTGCAAACCAAAAGAAGACTACACCTTCTTATCCCACACTCACCAGAGGGTTGGAAGGTAAGTGGAATAGCAACAAACCAGCATGCCCATCAAGAAAAAAACACATTGACAAAAAATGACTTGATGTGTGTAGGGAAGCTATAAAACCCCACAGTCCTGTCATATCATAAGATTTTCCTAGCTGTGCCTATAACATGACACCTCACTGTCTTGATTCTTACCCAGACTTACATTTAGCCATGTCTAATTTTCAATGCAATGCAAATCAATATTTTCTGAGCCCTTGTCTTCCCCCATATTTAATGAAGTTTAAATGTTCCATTTTTCCATGTCATATCCACATAGAGCTCACCCATTTCGTTTGAATGTCTTGAAGGCAGTTAGAGATGCCAAAGGATCTTTCACCTGAACAAATAAAAACGTTATATACCTTCATTTATAAGAATTCAACCCATGATTCAAGTAAATCAGGTGATCACTTCTTTCAAAATGGTACGATTCTTATCTAATATTTTTATGTTGTTGTTCAGTTAATTTCACTTAATTCCTTACAATTACTTCTTCACAAATATCACAATTACCTCATTAGCAACATCAATAACAGCTTGGGCAGCATTAACTTTGGCCATTTCCTTAAAACAAAATGCAAAATGTCTTTCTTAACAGGATTATCTAATTATTTAGTATATTGTGCTTAGTCACAAGATATAATTTAATCTAATTAAGTGGACAACATGCATTTCCTGTAAAACCCAAATCAAAGATACTTAAAGTTGTTCATCGCTCCCCGCCACAACGATAAAACCATGTGACAACCTTAATATGAAGTAATGCAGTGTTGATGAAGAAGAAGAAAACCCCAACTGTAAACACTATTACCGGTATTAAAACCTTCCCCATGAGCTAAAAAAAACATTTTGTCTGGATAAAGACGATGTTGCATTCTATAATAGTAGTTAACTATGTCCTTGATGGGTTTCTCGATCGCAGGTTAAAGAGGGTTTAAAGTGGATCCTGATTATGAGGTTCGACTTGCAAAGAAATATTTCTGAACTTACCTCCTTCCTTTTTAGCTTCTTCTCTTTACCTTTGCTAGATTTCTTCTGCGGACATGAAACACAGTAAGAAAAAAATATGCAACACGATGTGGCATAAAGGTTTAAAAATAAAAAAGCCTTCCGATTGCTGAGCACATACTTCAGCCTTAGAAACTCTGATCTCAGAAATTTCTGAGGCATAACCTACCCCCATTTTGTCAATAATAATGAAATTAACTGTTAATTATGCCTGACGCTGACTTCTATCGCTTTGAAATATAAATATACGCCAAAATATCTCTCTCAAAAAATTATCGTTTCCCGCGCGATTTTATCCGCCATCTTGAATTTTATAAGTTTTAGGATGCATGCTGGGAAATACTCTCTCTCTCCCCAGTGTTTTCCGGACGAAGAATGCTAGTGACGTCAACTAGAAAGGCGACGATCACGGGAAGTGGGAAGTTAGTGAGTTTTTCACAGAGAACTTTGTGGATAGATGTCTTTATCTTACCAACGTACTACTTAAAAAACTCTCAGTGACAGTATGTCTAACGAAGAGAAAGCAATCGAGCTTATTACTCAGGCTGAGAAGAAAGTGAAATCGTCACAGGGTTTTTTGGGTGGATTATTTGGGTAAGTTTTAGTGAGTAACTGCCGAATTCAGTTGCATCTAGACACATAATTTGACGATCTCAGGTAGAGATTTGAAGTTACATGTCAGCTGAACGAACGAGATTTTTCTCGGTTGCGTTAGGGGTACTTCAAAGCTCGAAGACGCCACGGAGATGTATATTAGCGCTGGCAACATGTTTAAAATGGCACAAAAATGGAGTGGTATGTATCTTGCCAGTTAATCAAATGATTGATACAACTGTTACAGTTAATGAACGTAGCTGAATAGAATTGATTGTAGATTTTTTGAATGTATACCACGAGTGACAGTATATTTAGTCAACCTACACCACCAAGGGTGTGTAGTTATCCCTCCCCTCCCATGATCTGAATAATAAGGGGGTGGGATGAAGGCATTGCATGCTCTGTACAAAGCCTCAGTCAACAGTCAATTGCTCGTGAGAGTGGATGGAAAGTCCATTTATGGGGGCTTTTTTTCAACAGACGCTTGCATGGTATGGTATGGTTTGTGAATGTTTTGGTGGAGTTGTCAAGTGGCTGATGGAACATAATGACAGTCACTGTCTAACAGTTAGAGTTAGTTGACCATCATTTCACTTTCTGTCCTCCATTGCCAGCCCATCACCTTAATAGCTGAATTACAAAAATATGTTAAAAACAGAAATTAACTAATAAAGTAGAAGGGAAAGAGACAGTATTGAATAACAACAAGGAAAACCATTACATTGACCTAATTTAAAATATTAAAGGTACAGTTACTGTTTATAAAATAGTCAGGAAAGATCAGGAGAAGTATTTTACTTTTTGTATAATTTCAGATGAATCTATATAAGAGTCTTGTGAACCTAATATGTTGAATAAAATTTGTTTGAGTTTTCTTTTAAATGCATTTTTGGAAAGATTTCTTAATGCTTGAGGTATTGCATTCCACACTTTTACTCCTATTTGAGAGAAGGAATTCACTTGAATAGATAGCCTAGAAGGTTTGGTATAGAAGTCATTAGAGGCAGAAGAACGTGTATTGTAAGAATGAACATTAGATATATCTTGAAATAGATCTTGAATATTAGATGGGGCTGTTCTGTTTCAAACGTCAAACATCAAATTAGCTATAGATTCATAATAAACAAATTTTAGCTGTAAGATGTGAGTGTCAACAAATAAAGGAATTGCATGCTCATTATGATCAGAAAAGTAGATAAAGCAAAGAGCTCATTTCTGTAACTTTAGGAGCTTGTCAAGGTAAGATTTACAAGCCTGACCCCGTACTGTCAGACTGTATGTTAAGTAAGGAACTATAAGAGCTTGGTATATATTTAAGAAGGTATGTGCTGGCAGGTAGTATTGTAATTTTACGATTAATCCTACGGTTCTTCTTACTTTAATGATTATATGGTCAATATGGTGTTTCCAAAACAAATTTTTATCAATTAAAATCCCGAGATATTTGTCATAATCTTTATGCTCCAGAGCCACCTTCTTGTTGTGTTTGTTATCAAATATCACGATTTAAGGTTGATAAGAAAGTTTCCTTTGGGCAGGGCAAATTACTTTTTTTAATATTCAAGGTCAATTTGTTTGCAGTTAACCAATCATATACTTTGTTAAGTTCTTGATTTACATAGAGTTCCAACGATTTCAGATTTTTATCAGTAAAAAGGATATTTATATCCTCTAAAAAAAGGTAAAAACTAAGCTTATCTGATGATTCCTGTATGTCATTGATATATAACAAAAAAAGCTGTGGGCCTAGAACAGAACCCTGAGGCACTCCTCAGGTAGAATCTAACCTTTCAGAAATATGAGGACGAATTTGAGTTGTTTGAGTTTTCCCTTGCAAGTAGGAAGAAAACCAGATATTTATAATGCTGCGAAAACCATAGGGATCTAACTTGTGCAAAAGAATTTTGTGATCTACAATATCAAAAGCCTTTTTCAGATCAATGAAAATCCTGCATGAGAATAAACAGTTGTTCATATTTGTCTGTATTGCATTCACAAAATCTAGGATTGCATGCTGAGTAGAATGTGCCTTGCAAAAGCCATATTGGGATGGAGTGAGCAGGTTCTTCTGTTCAATAAAAGACTCCATTCTTTTAAACACTATTTTTTCAAATATCCTGTTGAAATTAAAGAAGTAGAACAATCGGCCTATAATTGTTAATGTCAGTATTATCATCTTGTTTGAAAATCGGAATAATCTTTGCCATTGCTCAGAGGGATAAACTCCAGTTGAAATAGATGTATTTAGAATATTCACCAGAATGCCACTTATAAGATTTGAAGAGCACTTTAATATCTGTGTCGGACACAAGTATAAGCCATGAGATTTATTATTTGGTATGTAAGAAATTTCTAGTCTAAATTCCTCTGGAGTAACTAGGTTAACAGCGAACGACGAATCAGTTGATTTGGTTCTCTTAAGAAAGAAACAAATTTTTCAATCAGCCGTTGACCATTTTATTGACCAATATACATGGAACAAGCCTTCTCTTTAACTTAAAGTATGTTGATGTAGGGAAGGATTTGATGTCCTCTATAGCTAGTACTTGACAAAGGTGTGCTCTGCTTCTGAATTACACAACTTTTCAAAACTATTTAGAATTATTGTTTTTGTTTTTGCTTTTTAAACTAAACAGCTGCTGGGAAAGCATTTATGGAGGCAGCCAAACTACAAATCAATTTACAGTCCAAACATGAGGCAGGTCAGCGTTATGTTGATGCTGGGAACTGTTTTAAGAAAACAGATGTAGAAGGTATGATCTTTGAACTGTTTGATAAATTTTGTGGTTAACTTGGAATATACACTGGTTTAAATTACAGGATGGTCATTTGGCATTGTAGATTAGGCAATTATCTGGCCACTAAGAAGAATTTCTCTAGCTAGAGTTTGATGACCTGAGCTTCCTTCCACCATGGAGAACATAATTCTTATACTCTACACTAATTCCATGCAAACACGTTTCTAAATGAAAATGATGGACACTGTCAGCAAAATTAAGAATATTCACTAAAAGAAGTCTGTGTTTGGAATAATATAAAATTTCATATTCTGTGTAACAAGAATTCTAGAAATTTCCTTAAGTAGCTGAGAGATGGGCCAAAAATTGGCTTGCTAATCACCTGGACTAAATTATATTTAAAGAAAAAAATATCCTACTTACAAAAGAAGGCATAAAATGTGTAGTATTGAGTTTTGGGTGCACACACTTGTACAAAGGTTGTAAGAACACTCCTTTATTGGAGGGATATATGCTGAGTGGATGGTTCTCAAGGGAGGTTGTCACTGGATATCAAGTAGAGTTTGATCTCTAATCTGATTGTTTTACTTACTGTTTTTTTGCAGAGGCTGTGAGAGCTTTTGAAATGGCCATCAACATTTATACTGACATGGTAAAATCTTTTCATTCAATTCTTTATTCTATTTAAACCTTTGGTTAACTTGTAAATTGCAGGGAAGGTACATTCAAAATGCCTCAAACATGTTTGCTGCTGTTCATTACATCTCAAACCCTTAAGAGACAAGTATGATTTATTCATTAGGGGACTCAAAGACATGTTTTCCTTTTATATGAATGACCAACTCTATCCATTTTTTCATTGGTATGACTGAGGGCAGTGTGAAAGAAAACCCCAAGTTGGATGTTAAACTTTAGAGTGTAGATGATTTTGAGGGGCACTGTTTAAGTATATGGTCAACCTTCACTCACATGTTTCATTCTTTTATTACATTTTGTATTGTTTTTATATGTTTCCTCAATAAGGGTCGTTTTACAATGGCTGCAAAACACCACATAACAGTAGCTGAGATGTATGAGAGCAATGCTGTTGACTTGGAAAAGGTAACAAACAGCAAAATACTCTTCTTGTAAGTGACATGCTGTCTGATAAGCAAGGATGAAAAACCTCTCGCATCAAACATCCATCAGCCTTCTTTGATTGGATTTGTATATTTCCAGGAACTAGTGCATTGGCCACCATGGAAATTTGGAACTGAATAGCACACTGAAATCATACAAGGATTTTAAAATTAGTTTATGTCAGTAGAAGTATCACAATAGCCTTGTTCTTGATGGGTCAAAGGCATGTCACTTTTTATATTTTATTTTTTAGGCTATATTCCACTATGAGCAAGCTGCACAGTATTACAGAGGTGAAGAATCAACCAGGTGAAACCACTATTCCTTCTTTTAATACTTTGTAAAAGTTAACTTACATGAGGAATTCTTAATTAAAACTAATTTATAACATAAGAAGAACCAAGAGACTTCTTTTTCTTGTGACTCGGAGAAGGAATAGTGACCATGTTCAGTGTGCTGTGAGTGATCCATCATAAACTTAGGAACTGGGAATCATTTCTTTTAGGTCTTGTGTGGGTTTCTTCCAGAGCACTCTTACCATATTTATTTCATTAAACCCAGAAGTGTTTATTAAATTTTTGGTGGTTCGAATGTGGCATTTATTATTTATTTAAAATCCAAACAATACTATGGTAACTGATCATTTTAATTTAAGAAAATACAAACATGTTTTAGTGCTTTTCTTAAAAGTCATTTTTATATTGTTTTCAATTTTACAATTTGCGTGTAAATACTACTGCAATACATAAAGTGAATAAAGATCTTATGTCAGATATCTTTTCTCGACATCAGAACTGGTACATTAAAAAGGATTTGTGTCTGGTTCACTCTAAATTTCCAACTGTGATCAAAGCAATGATTGCTGTGTGCTTCTTGAGTCTATTAATTGAATAAACACCTCATGATGATGTGCCATTTATTCAAGGGCAGTGTTTATTAATATTTCTGCTCTAAAATGCAGTGTTTATTCTTGGGTGGTATTTAATCAAATAAATATGGTATTCAGTGCATGTTTGAGAGTAGCATTTTACCAATAAAAACAAACATTTTCTTGTGGATAAAGGAGACTAAAGGGGAACTAACCAAGAACCTAAAGTTAATAAATGGACTCACAAAATTACAATATCATTTTACAGTCTTTTCATTTTTTCTTTTTCTTCTCTTATCTCAGTTGTTACTTTCTATCATCTTCAGCTCAGCAAACAAGTGCTTACTGAAAGTTGCAACATTTTCAGCCCAGACGGAGGAATATGGAAAGGCTATTGAGATTTATGAACAGGTTTGCATTTTGACAAGTACCTGACTGTATACCAGCAATTTGGAAATTATGTGCATCAAAAGTTTTCATTAGGCCTTATAAACCAAATTGTACAATTTGAAAATTAATTTACCAGATCTATACTCAAACTCTAAGATTTCGGTATAGTTTGTTTATCTGTTGAGTGTTGATGGTACAATTATAAATTTGATAATCAATACTTAATAATTCAAGATAGTTTAAATACTTTATTATTCAACGCTTCATGGAACCTTTTTTGTTTTTTGAGATTTGACATTTCAGGAATCAATCTCATCTCCTTTCCTGGCATTCTCAGAAACTCTATTTATATCCTAGCTAAATATACTTTCTAATAGGAGTAATTATTTTCAATTGATAAAGGCTTTCAAAGATATGTTCAGCAATGTATGAATCTTCGAAAAAATTGTTGTAAACTTGATTAGTTTTCAAACAAAATTTTGATGGTCTTATAGACTGAAACTATTTGACTTGCAAACTATATTCTAGATGAAAAATACATGAGAACCTTGTTGTCTGTCTTAAAGGCAATCTGATATGATCTTTCAGGTTGCCGCTGATGCCATTGAAAGTTCACTGCTGAAATATAGTGCCAAAGAGTACTTCTTTAAGGCAGCTCTGTGTCAAATGTGTATTGATGTTGTGGAGGCTCAGAGGGCAGTGGGAAAATACTGCAATATGTACCCAGCATTTGAGGACACAAGAGAATGTAAACTGTTGAAGGTAATTATTTATCAACTGATTTTCTGATACATCCTGAATCATTAAATCAAGCTAAATAACATTCTATGTATGTGAAGTTCATTGGTTTCATTATGGTACTTAAATGTTTTCTTTTAATGTTCAGAATCTCCTTGTTGCCCAAGAAGAGCAAAATGCAGAGTCCTTCACTGAAGCTGTGAGTTGCTCAGTTTATGTAAATTATGTAAACCAAATACCTGATACATAATCAGAAATTGATTCATTGAGCAGGAGTCTGTAAAGGAAGGGTATTTTTTGCATAGCATGCACTTAGGGTATTTTTGTGAAAAATTTGGCTCCCATCTTGAATTTTAAAGCATGGTAAGTTTGGAGAAGGGAGTGTTTGGTAGTCTAGATAAACTGGAGTGGGGGGGGGGGTGAGAAGGTCCTGTCCCTCCTCTCTGTGTCCTCTCTAACCCTAAATCAAACATGGCAATGCTGAGAATTATTACCAGCCAGTATCCATCAACTTCCCCAGTTATACACCTGTACTAATATCATGATTTTTGTCCCTTCCTCTCTCCTGGACAGGTCAAGGAATATGATAGTATATCAAGAATAGATCAGTGGCTGACTACAATGCTTTTACGAATCAAAAAAGGAATGAATGAGGAGCCAGATCTCACTTAAAGTAGCATTTCCTTAACTTATTTAGATTTCTTACACAAGGAAACTGTAACAAATAGGGATACATAACATCTGAAAATCACATGGAAGGGTACAATAATAATTGTTGCCATATGAAAGCAAGAATAACTTGAAAGAGCTCTATTTTCTCTATTCAAACTCTCCTCTCCTACATCATGAATATTATTATAAAATAACAGCGACACAGTTTGTTGTGCTTCACATAAAATTATTACAAATACAGCCTGCATAGTTGATTTTGTATACAAACCCAGTTTACCAGACTGTTTAGTATTAATGTGCCTTTGTGTGGAAGGTCTTTTTGTTTTGTAGTTGACATAAATTGTGTTCAAAATGTAGTTCTCCCTAAAATAATTCTTGGACATAAAGATTACTCATGCTATCCTTAAATCTACACTAATTGCAGCAATAACCCTACAAGTTGTTGTGAGTAAATTGCTGGTGGTCTTACTCTCCTTTTAGAAGGGAGGGGATGGTGGGGCTCAAAGAGTTGCAACCCTGGAGTAAATTGGTCCTTAAAATATTTCTCACCAATCCAAAAAATTATAAGTGTTCTTCCTTTTAAGCTTTGATGGTGCTAAATTGAAGTCCAGTAGAAAAAAGGAAACTTCAATATTCTCCTTGTCTTCAGCACCCCAACACTGAGGGAATTTTTTTATTGTAATGTAAGTTAACATTGGAGGTGAAATGGGGGATGAAAGAGTTTCTCAAGGCAAAACCTGAAGCAGTAATAATAAAAAGATCGAGCGTTAGCACTGCACATTGACCTACTCTATTGATCAACAGAAGAAAAGTGATCTCCAGATAATTATTACTAGGACAGCATTTGGAACGGGAGGGCGGGTGAAACAAAAGCGGAAAGGCACGCAACCAAAGCTGTTTGTGCGGCCAGGTACTTTCAAAATCAGTGGCGGATCTAGGGAAGGGCCCCCCTTCCCCCTTACTTTGGGCGGAAAGAAGAAAAGAATCGCCGAAGGGAGAAAAGCCGGCAGAGCAACCGACAAAAAAAGCCAAACCCCCCCCCCCACTTCCCCTCCTTTTAGCTCAAGGTCTGGATCCGCCACTGAAAATGGTGGCATTCGTTGGCGATTTTCTTAGCTTTTTAAGACAATTTTTCATTAGCCAGGTTACTCCCTGGAATCTCTAAACGCGGTAAGTAAATAATTACCGAGGAAATTTACAAGCGTGCATGGTTATCGCGGCTAGCGCTGTTGGCAAGAGCTGTTTTCCCTTTTTTCCTGGTCTCTAGATTAGAATCTGCATGTCAGTCTTGGGTTGTTGACAACAGTTTATTCCCCTGTTAGACTTCTGAAAGGCCCAGAAGCAGCACGTCTCTCCTGTTGGCGTGCCAGTTTGGTTTCGTCGAGGTGCGTTTTATAAAAGTTACATGTAACAGAGATTCCAACCCCATGTGATGGAAAATAGGGAGTAATTATTAGTGCCAAAGGCGCGAGCTTCTAGGGGGGTCAGGGGGCAGGGAAATTTGGCAAATTTAGGTTCTCTCAAGTGCCATTTCCTGAATTTTGACATCATTCCGGCCTGAGTTATAACATACCATAATGCTCTTCGCGAAGAAAGTAAGTATAATATGAGTGTTTCACAGTGACAGATCACCAAAAATTCTAAAGATTAGCAATTTTCCCCTAGTTTTCAGAATTTTATGATAAATCGGGAGAATTTGGTAAAAATCGGGAGAGCGGGAGGCAAGACATCAAATCGGGAGACTCCCGATCAAATCGGGAGGGTTGGAATCTCTGATGTAACCCCTCCCGGCTCCTTTTTGGCCGGTTTAGCACTTCCATCTTCCTTAGAGAGGTATTTCTTTTGAACTGCTAGGTCACTGGTCAGGGTAAGCCGGAACAACAATGACTATGGTCATATTCCCTTTTGATCTCCGCGAGTAAAACGATAAAAATGATTTTGGGAAAAAGAGAAATTCTACGTTAATGTGTGCGCCGGAAATAGCGCGATATAGAGATCCACTGCTGCTTTAAGGTTATTGCGGGCTCTTCCCTCTGAGGAAGAGCGAGGGATCCGTGGTGTGCCCGGCTTTAAATGAGTGGAAGGCTCTCTAAAAGTTACGAAGCGTTTTGCATTCTAAATTAAAGTACCTAGGGACTCTTGAGAGTTAATGGAAAGATCGAGGATGGATAATTGGCGGGAAAATGAATAACCATCTTTTCTTCTCGTGAGTATAGAGGCTTGCTTCGTCGTTGATTCTTGTTGAACCAGAATTCGGCGCCCCCGGCCAATACTTATATCATGATAGGTGAGTGAGATGGTTTTCCTTTAGTGAAGTAACTTTGGAGGACACTGTTCATGTAATATAAGTGTAGAGTGCATACATAACAGTCACCTGATTCCAGTGCATGATGTACAGTTCATTTACATACACCATTCTGCTTGGCTGATGTTATCAGTAGTCCAGATATTTAGCTTTGGTAGTTTGTGGTAGACAAGGATGTACAATAAAATTTGAAATTTGGATGATTGATACCGGTATGTGAATTCAACATCCAATTCGCCAGCATTAAGACATCGCTCCAGTGTTATGCTTGTTTAATATGTCCCCTCCCGTGGAGGTTTCAGTGGGGTTGGTGTTGGAGACCTAGGTTTCTCCACTGAAATAAGGGAAATTACAAGCAGGGAACAATTTAAGTGGCACAGTCTACCACCCTGTTTCAGAACACAAACCCAACAACACCAGACATCTCTCAACATGTTTATTTTAAGCTCTCATATAATAGTTTTCAGGAACATTAGTAATGTCCGAAAGAGGCTTTAAAAATTCTCTTTTTCCCTAAACTACTCCCTATAAAGTAAAAGTCATCGTAAAAGGGCCTTTAGTCTTGTTTCTATAATCTTTCTAACAAGACACCATTTACTTAAGTATTTCAGCAAAGGCTTCTATTAATGTTGCTGTAACATGTTTGGAAGGGCTTTAACATTAAAATAGGTGTCATTAGGCCACAACATGACTTAAATTAAATGAAATAAATTATATTTTCAAATACCTATGATAGAAAATAATAATTGCTGTAAGTTATAATAGTTGCAATTCACTACATAATACAATAGCATTTTTACTAAGCCAAACTGCAGAATGACATATATTTATACACCTAATTGCAAATATTTTAGAATTGTGATTGTCCTTCCCTTTTGGTTTTTTTGGCCTGCACCAAAACATGCATTGAATGCTGAGCAATTTTAGACTGTGGATACCTCCTAAATATGAGTACCTAAAAAATTGACAGGTCCTTGGTGTCATAAATTTACCCAAGAAATACTAGCAAATAATAAAGGGAAAGTAAACTAAATTTTGACCAGTAATTTGGAGGGAGGTTTCCTAAAACATATGCACATATTATTATTTGGAATGGTCAAGGACAACAGTAACTTTAAAAACAGTAATTATGATAATAATATTCATACCTATGGCAAGCCTTACCTTCTCATTCACACTCTTTTGCAACTATTAGATAAGTTTTTTGTAAATTTTGAAATAAACTCACATAAGAAATAGCTGTATCTCACTTATTTTCCATCATTAGCTTGCTATGGCCAGTTACTAATAGTCAAGAGGCATCCAAAGGCTCATTGTAAATTCAAAAGTTATTTAGGAAGGAAACATCTTACTTTATGGTACAAAAATTCCTGCAGCTATTTGGCATAAATATTATCAATTTCAAGAGTTCTTCCTAATAATGCTTTCCATCATCCCTTGAAAACAGTACATCACGATAAATTGTTGTCCATAGTAACAATCCAGAAACCAATTGAAAATTATAGGATTAATCAAATCTCCCCAAACTGAATTATCTTGCATCAGGAATGAAGATCTCTAGTGAACCAGCAGTAAGTACAGTCCTGATAGATTTTCAGGCCTTATCTTCTCTGCATACTTAACATTTTAGTAGGAATCATAAGGCTGACTCTTTTAAAGACAAAATTCCTTACAGTGCTGAATGCTGCTGTAAAGGAGATGGAAGCAACTGATTATTTCATTTATTCTTATCATTTCTGACTAATCTGGTTCATTCTCTGTGTGATACTTGGACACCTCAAGGGATACACTGTCTATCATTTTGTTTGTGGAAACTATTTGTTCTTTGGTCATTATAACATAAATACTATTTAGACCTCTGACTACTTCTGTGTAAATACAAAACATTGACAATTAAATCATTTAGGTTTTCTTGTAGAGTTACTCATTGTTATGAAATGGTGTTTTATGAATGATAACTTGAGAACTTTTCTGTGCTTGCATCTGCTAAGGTTATTTGGATTGTGTAGAAAAACAAACCAAAGACAGCATCTGGATACTGTCATTATTAGGTCAGAACTATTGTGAGCATGTCAAAATTAATAAAGCTTTAAGCCTGCAAAGAAACAGTTGCTGTAATTTATCACCAACTTTGATGTATTGATTGACTATTCATTCCGCATTATGCTTGATAAGTATTGCAGCTATGCTACCATATAGGTTGACAAAATTTTATAAACAACCTAGGACCTGAGAATTATCATTATTAATTGAGAAGTTTCTTGAATCTGAAATCTGAAATCTGAAATCTCTTAAATTTTATTTCATGTTTGCTATTCATACTCTATAGGAATGCTTGGGGCCTGCCCTATTTTACATTGAAAACATTTTTCTTCATTATAAAATACCATGCCTCTGAGCATAAAATACTGATACCTGATAACACCATAAATGCCAAACTATGTTGAATGTTGAATAATAATAATAATAATAATAATAATAATAATAATAATAATAATAATAATAATAATAATAGTAATAGTAATGATCATTATTATCATTATAATTTCAATTATTCATGACAAATATTATTTCAAGAAGTTGAAAAGGCTAAAATTATAAATAAAAATAAAGTATTTAGGTAGCTGATGTTATAAACTGAAAATTTTGTATAAATTAGTACAGCTGATAGTATCCTCACTGCACAGTCACTATCACATCACTGTTTGCCAGGCTGTGAAGGAAGATACATGTAACAGGCATACAATAAGACAAGGTAACATCTCAACATTTGTCTTCCTCATCCTTCACAATGGTAGAGACTGCTTGAATTGATTTTCATCAACATTTATCATCATGCAAAACCCGAATTCCAAAAAAGAGACAAGATGTGCAGAAAGAGAAAAATGTCTTAGATATTATTTCTGGGCCAAGTAAGAGTTTGACACAGAGACTGGAAAACTAAAATACCCTAGGCCAGATACGAAAAGTTGCATATTCGTGTTACAGCGTTCAAAAAGGGTGTACAGGAAATTGCTTTTTCTGTCAATATCTGGGTGATTGTTATTATTTACCATGTTCCTTACCCACTATTCTTATAATAAATGGCGAGAAGAATGTTATTCTATTGAGGCTATCCAGGATATGTAATAATATGGTGTTCCTTATCTTGAGAGTTATCTCTAAAGTCTTAGGGCATTGAATATGACATATATTTAGGCGTGGTGCTCATTCTTTGGTTTGCATGATTGATATCATTGTTAGCCATTATGGCTTGTAATAATTCAGAAATATATGTAGCTATCTCTAAAATTGCATTTTGAAAATACAAACTGATACTTGTATCAAAGATATTTGAGAACCTTTAATTATTATAGGATCTTCCTTACTGCTGTTGTTAGTTGACACAGAGAAAGCATTTTTCCTTAATTTGGAAAAAGCTAAAAGGATACATTGATATGGCAATATGTTTGTAAAGAAGACATTACAATATAAAATATCCAAAGGAAACAAAAGAAAAGTGATGTTGGAAGTTTATAAGATTTGGTACCCCCTAGTTCTCCCCCAACTCTTTTACTTCTACGTAGCATCATAACAGCAATTGCTGTTACAGCGGTAACACAGAATATAACTACAGAGAAGCCAAGATTACCAGCAGGAACTATAAATTTGACACCTCTTGCTGCTTTGGCTATTGCTGCAATAGACCATGCCACCCCCAGGCCAAGGAAAACATTGACAGAATTACTACCAGTCACATTACCAATGGATGAATCTGCATACTCGTCACCAACTGCAGCAACTTTGCTGGCAAATGTATCTGTGGAAAATCAACATAACAGTCATTAAAAATTATTGCATCAAGATAAAATACAACTTATGGATGCAGGAGCTCCCTACTCTCCATTTCCCATCCATCATCTAGCTCTTCATTGCACACACTTTCACTCCTAGAAAGAGGCTCTCACTGTTTCACAATACAACACAATGACCCTTACAAGGAGTTTTAACAGAGACCAAGTTGTTAGTCACTAGGTCACCACATGTCACAAGTGTGTTATGAGTTAGATTCAGTGTAAGCACTGCTGCTAGTGTTTTTTTATGTTTTTACCTGGAAGACTTGTTCCAAGGGCAACAAAGGTAATGGCAACAACACTGTCTGCTAATCCAATGGTACAACCAAAGTGTGAGGCTACGTCACCGATGACCATTGTTAACACACCAATCATTACAATAGAAGCAACAAAACAAGCCCATCCACCCCAGATGTCTGTGGGAGGAACAATTGCAAACAACAGCTTCCAGAAGACGGTCAGATAGTGCATCATGTAGTCACCATATGTTGGTGTTGTTGGTTCATCACTGTCATCATCATCCCCACTCCCACTAACGGTCAGAGCATCAGTGAACTGTTCCTTCCAGGAGGATGTACCAACAACAAGAGCTAGATTGGCTTTGACCAGCAATTTGTCCACTGTGTTTTTGAATTCTTTGCTTTCCAATATGGTGACCTCTGCCTTTGGTACATCACCTAAAATAAATACAGAAGTAAAAAGATTCATTTATAGCATTGACACAAAGTTGTGTGGTTTTTATCAAGCAACAAACTGAGCAACCATCTTAAGTAATGAAAGAACTGGGTTTATGATGTGATGTTAATTGATGTGTACAACAATTTAGCTGGCATATATAAAACTTTTTGTTCTCTTATAAACATGGCACATTATCTCTTTTCTTTTCCCTATTTTTACATAATATCTTTAGTACCTAATCTTGGCTTTCCCAGTTCTTCAAGACGCTCCTTTTCTGGATCATATCCCACTTCAGTACCAGCTCCACTGTCATCATCTTCATCTTTGACAATCTTTGGTTCCCCAAGGAGAACATAAAAGGTTTCTTTCTTTTCATATTCTTCGTCGTCTATAATATTGATCTCAATGTTTTTCCTGGTAAAATTAAGACATAAAACTATGATTTTAGGACACTAAGTGTTGATGAAGTGATCTCATAGCTTTGGCAACAGCTTGTGAGAGCAAAACTGATCAATGACAAGTGGATCAGAGCAGGGAGTAGTGAAGTACTAGCATAAGTCACTGGAAATGAGGAGGCTATAAAAATTGATTTGAGAGTTAAGGTTTTAACATCTCAGTCACACAAATATTAGCCACCATCATATAAATGGGTTTTTATCATTTTTATCACCTTTAATTACAAATCACCACAGAATACCAAATAGCAATAGAACTATTTTAGATATAGGATAAAATCTGTACATTCCAAATTATGATATACCTGTCCAGTATTTTTTTTTAAACTGAGGGCTGATAAAGCTGATGTCTACTGCAGCCAGGAATTTCACTGTAATTAGACATTCATGTGAACACTGTCATTAAAAAATCCCTTTCCAAATTCTTATTAAATATTTTCTAAGGTGGAAAACTACTGAAGCCAAGATGATAAGGCCACCTAACCTTTCCAAATTTATTTTTCAACATTCTGCATTATTCAAAAAACCTCTTACTGCTGTTCTTTGCAAAATAATTTATTTGTGTGAATCATCAGTGGCAAAGAAGAAATTTAGTCTTTGAAATTAAAATGAGAATTAGACTTTGTCTTTATAACTTTATCCAAAATTATGCATGCTGTCTTTGAAAATTTTTAAAAAATACTTTACTCAAAGGTTGTAAAAATAATCAACACCTGTTATGTATCACATCCCAAACTGACAAAGAAATGCCACCCTTAAGGTAAAGTCCAAAAAGATTCTTTTATAAATGTGATATTTCCAGCAATTCATTATGATTTTTTCACAGGTTGTAGCACCACCACAAACATAGGTTTATGTGGGAGTTGCAAAGCAACATGAGAACTTAAGATCTGAAAAACTGAGAACATATCTACAAACCAAATGAAAGATATGAAGTAAAATCTATAACCAGAATACCTAATTGACTATTTTTTTTTATTTTTCTTGTTAAATATTTATGTAACTTGGCATCCTCTGGGCTAATGTATTTAAGTCACTGATAAACAATTTTGGCAAAAGCAAACAACTTAAATGTAACTTATTCCAGAATTCATTAAATTGTAATAAATTAAATTCTGCTCAAAAATTAAAACAAATCAGCCAAGTTTTGATTTCTTTTCCGATGTTTGCAAACATCTTTGTGATTTGTAGTAATAGCTGTATTTATTTTTATAGTATACCACACATGCATCCACATGGACACACACATACATACACACACACATATATATATATACACCCATTTTCAAAACCATTACAATTTGAAACTATATTTAAAATATATGTACCTTTCTTTCCTCATCAAAAAGGTGATGCATAGTTCATCAATGCAGTTATTGTACTTTCTTTTTGAAAAATTGTCCCTATAATTTATTCTTTTGACACCTTTATAATGGAAAAAGAAAACGTATATATATTTCATATCTATTTTCAAATTGCAATGTTTTGGAAAAGAAATGTAGATGTATATAAATACATGTGTATACCTATGGAGGGTAAAATGGTTACCAAATGAACAGCTCTCAGCAAGAGGATTCACAGAAAGCAGATATCTTCTCCAAAATGTGCATCAAGTGTTGTTCAGAAACATAGATGATAAACACTTGACTGATCCAGCCTTTTCATGCACAACATTTCGGCCTTTGGCCTTCTTCGAGTGTATCGTATGGTATTTTAAATCAAAATTTAAAAATGAAAACAAGCCTTACTTACTCACTCCTACTCTTACTCTATGTGTATGTGTTGAAAAAGAAAACACTGCAATAATCAAATATTCCATACCCCTCATAATTAAGAACAAATTATTCAAAATGATGTTGAACAAGGATTGGTCTAGAAAGATAAAAACATCCTCATTGGCTTTTTAACATGGGTTGTATATTAAAGAATCATTATTCATTTGTCACCTTGAGCTTGCTATTCTTTAGCTGAAATTAGACCTGTGTTATAAAACCTGCTTTTTAAATCTTAATTGGCCATAAAATTACCATAGCATTTCTAGTACTGTTCTTTTGTTGGGAATCATATTTACGATATCTGAGGCTTTGTGCTCTAAGAAGAAGAGAAGGAAAAACCTATATGAGTGGTACAAAACAAACTCTGATCACTTACGTACACGTTTATCTGCTTATAGCCTTTTCACAGCTTTGATAAAAATTTCCATCCATTAGATCTCATTCCCTGGGATAGCCTCTGTTTATCAGGAGTATTAATATGCAAATTGCTTGTGATGTTTCAGGAAACAAGAGCAATTGTTTTCAATTTGTTGGGGCTGATTCAAATATCTTACCGTCAGGCATGGAGAACGATAAGAAGGTTTGGAGTAAAAAAAAAAAAACAACAACAACAACAACAAAAACAAAAACAGCATTAATTAGAGTTTGCCAACTGGTGCGGCATTGTGACCAAAGTTGTGAAAATGTGTCTACTGCTATCGCAAAGTGTGTTTTTGTTTCGCTTACAAAGATCAGGGATTCCACAAACTTTTACCACACTACCATATGGTGACAGTTTTATTCGATGGTAATTATCCTTCAGAATAAGATATTAATTTTTTTAGTAGAAAACACTCCACATACAAAAATAGAGAAAAAAATCCACAGAAGCTGATTTGAAAAATTTACAGGCATGGCACGGAAAGATTGATTCAGTGATATGTTGATTATTGGTGGAATGATCAAAACGCTTTTTTCTCGAAATCCTGCCCAGGAAAAGGCGAAGAAAAATATCTTAGGGATCGTTAAATTGTTGTCGGACAAACCATAACATGGACGTGGTGTCGTCAAAGTTATCTCATTGTTTGCACAAATCAATTCAGTGGCATCTGTCAGCGATATATCAGATAGATGTAAAACGAAGATGGCTTCATCATCGGCATAAGTCAAATTTGATGAATTTACACGAATTAACAGTAGTCGTTTTAAGAAGATTTGACAAAATGAGGAAGAATGTTACGATGTAAGGACTACATAAACGTAGTCGAGCGATTGATCCAAGACCGATTTGTAAAATGCTTCTGACCACTTCAATTGGTTTTTGTAGGCGATAATAACAAAATTTTTGTTTTTGGTCTAAAAAGAGAGGTGAAACCTCCAAAGTCCTTGCACGAAGCTGGTTGTAAGTAAATAATGTCCAACCTCTCTTTGTAATAATTATTTTTTCGGCCTATTAAATATGTACAGAAGGACAAAAGCTGATCACATTTACTTGTGTATTAGGTTGTATTAAAGAGTATAAGATTGTAAAGCAGCTTACCAAGTCTCGTCGTTTGAAAACTCAAGCTCACCCACAGCATCTTCGTAATCATCTCCTCCTCCCTTAGCTGTTCCCTCCATAGTATGGTAAGGGACACGAACAGTGCCGCGCGCACCAGTGTGGCGAATAACTTTAATGTTAATGGTTCCATCTGCCTCTGTCACTTGATGCTTCTCTTCCTCAAATGTGAATATCCCTGGGTAGTCATCGTCCAGGATGGTAACTGTAGCTACTCCGTCTTTACCAACTTTTCCTGCAGGACCTCGATATTTGTTGCGAACCAAATCCCCATCGGCTCCAGCTACTCGAACATTTCCCAGATGGACGTAAAAATGCTCGTCTTCTTCAAAGATATCGTCGTCAACGATTACGACTGAGAATGTCTTGGAAGTTTCTCCAGGCCTGAAACAGATTGACCCCTCTGTCTTCTCATAGTCCTCACCGGCCTTTGCCGTGCCGTCCTCTGTCCTGAAGTCCACGAAAACCGTGTTATTCGGATCACCGCCAGTGCGTGAAATGTTCATAAACACACTTCCACAGTTTTCTTTAACAATGTAATGGACGGGGTCAAAATTAACCCTGACAACCTGTGGGTCTTCGTACTCGATATCTTGCATTTCCATCTTAGTGTCTGCCAAGGAACTGCTGGCCTTCTCAAGTTTTTCGTGCTTCATCTTCAACACATTTCCGCTGCCGACCATCTTGCGTGTGGCTTCGATTCGATAGAACGCACGACTTTTTGGTTGAAGTTTCAAATTTTCTTGCTCAAGTAATCGCTCAACGGTTTCACGGTCGGCGTCGGGATGTTTCTGTCGTATGTCCTTTAGGGCTTGAATGGCCTTTTCGCGCCTGTCCTCCGTCAGGTCATGGAGAAGCTCGTCATCATCAAACTGTTGTCCGGCTTCGGCGGCGCCAGGTTGGTAGCGACCATCGGCTACGTTTCCGTCGACAAAACCATCCTTTACTTGAACTCCAACAACATCGTAATCGCCTGTTTGAATGACTGTCATACCTCCGCGCTTCTGTTTTCTTCTACCCTTTCTCAGTGCTCTGTAGAACAACAGCCTTCGATCTGCAATGTAGGCAGATATGACCATAAACGGAAAGAAAGCCAGAGTCAGGAGAGCTTCCCATATTTCGACTTCATCTTTAGACGACACTGCTAGTATGATGTACAACCAAACATAGGCAAGAACTGACGTGGAGGCTGTGATGGCAAACACTCGCAAATGTTTGATTCGGCGGCATTCTCCATCAGGAATAACATAAACACAAACTGCAATGATAATCAATAGGTTGAACGCTGCAGAACCGACTATCGTCGACGGACCGAGCTCTCCAGCGTCAAAATTATTTCCACAAATTTCAATGGCAGATAGCAGAATTTCGGGAGCTGACGATCCCAGGGCCATGAGAGTTAAATTTGACACAGTCTCGTTCCATATTTTCACAGTAACAATTCGCTCCTTTCCAGTTTGCTTGTCTGTTACCCTGATTTCCTTCTCTTTCGATGTAATTATTTCAATAGCCGACATGAAGCGATCGGAGATTATTGAAACGCCCAAAAACAAAAACAGTAAGGCAAGCAAATACACAAACGCTCGCCCAACAATTACTCCTGTAGAAGGATTGCCTCCCCATACAGGCAAAACAATCCCCGGTTTACAATCTGTTCTTAAACCTGGGCATCCTTCAGTTGCGTTCACGGTCTGTTGTAGAAAAGCGCACCATGTAACAAAAATTACGCCCGAATGAAGCGCAAGCCTTTTAGCGTAGGACATGTTTAGTGGCACTCTACATCTGTGAATGATATAAGTGTGAATTTAGAGACAATAGTCAACTTCGATTCCTTCCGACCGTGGGCTGTTGACCGGACACCGCGAAATCGCCAGAGCCCAATGAATATTGTGAGCCGAGTTTTGTTCAAACAGCGATCTCTGGTGCGTAAAACGCATAGAGATGTCTTTTCACATTCAAATTATCGTCAGCAAGATGCCAGCTGCTTTCATTCTTACTGGTTGGTAAGAGAAAAGACAACCTACCAAGCAACTCACAGCGCTCACCAATTGAAAACAAGTTGTATTTGGAATGTATATATTGGTGGGCTGCGCATGCGCTTAGAAGCAGATGTGTGTGTTGATAATTTTATCAGTTTGAACACCGCTTGATTGGAAATATTTCGTGGAGTCACCATGTGTTTTGTTTTAAAATTGAGAATAAATGAATATTTTCTGCGTCTTTTGACGCAAGAGGAACAAGCGAGTAAATTTGCTCAAATGGATATATTTTTGCAACACTGAATATTTGAATATTGAATGCCAACAAGTAATAAACTCAAAAAAACAGTGCTTTTGAGAACACAGCTACTGATTTCAAACACTTTGCATACGAAATCACTTTTGCATTTGAAAAGGGAATTTAAAATGCAGTCTTTTGTTTTGAAAAGTGTTAAACGCATAGTTTACAAGAATCTCTCAACAGATACTGGCGAGTTGACGAGAAGAACATTCTAGATGTTGCAAACAATTCAATCTAAACCGACAGGTTGATGCAATCACTTGGCCTGTTTTGCTGTAGCATTATCATTATCAAATAACTCCAGACAGCTACTGACCGAACACTGAACAATTTGATTGCGATTAGAGCCCATTTACACCCAGTTATCTGTCACACTTCCTTTAGAATATATATAACGTTGGAGTTGACAACCACTGGATCTAGCCGGCAGGGCGAGTGTGGTGACCAAAGAACTTGCTTAGGGCATTGCCACCCGATGACCTGAATAAAGCGCTGAGCGACTCCATGAAAAGCAAAATTTCATTCTTGACTTACACAGCTCTTTATCAAAGTACAAACTACATTTCCAAAGACCAGTTTGATCCGTAGAAACGCCCTTCGATCATGAAAAATAAAAAAATTGACTGAAATTAGCCGACACCTTTTCAAGGGGAAAATTATTCCCTCGAGAATCGACTACCAAGCATACGATTTTGAGCAAAACAATAACTATTCTTTCGTTCATCTTGTTCGGTTTCACTGGCAGCGTCGATGTTTTAATACTCATTAACAAGTAGTTAGCCAGCAAGTACCGTAAATCCGCCCTACACACGGCTAGGACTATTGGAACCTCGGATTGTCTTGTAAATCATTTTCGAACATTTGCAACTAATAACTGTTTGCGCACACCCATTCATATCATTTTCACAGTCACCTGCATGTGTGTTATTAAAAGAATTACTAAACAAGAACGTAACGCCCTGGAATAAGTAACATTTTATTGCACTATGAGCTTCTTTTTCCTTTTCTTCAATCGCATGGGGCGTGACCGATGTTGACACACCTTCCATATCTGCCATGGCGTTATCACAACACTGTTTTAACAACGCAGATGTATTGAAAACGAATCGGAAAACGCTAATTGCCGCACAAATGGATAACTTGAATAAAGTATTTCAATGGATCTCCAATCTGTTCTTCCGCTGTTTAAAAAAATATAACAGTTAAGACAGTCTACAAACTCTCACTCCATTATTTATGTCACACAATGTGTCTTACGAATTGCTCGGGGTTGACAAACAATCTTCTGTATTTATACGATAGAGTTGACATTCGGAGTAGCAAACACTTTTTCAGTCTTGTTGTTTGGGAGGTGTTTTATTCTAATCAAAGCCTTGGCGGACCGCAAAAATAACAAATTTCATTGTCATCAATTTAAGAAGTGCTTATCGAACACCATGGTGTCGCGGATGTTGGAGACTGTGATAATTGAAAGGTTTCACTCCTGCTGCTTTCAGCTCAACGATGTGGTTTTGAGTGAAGGAACTAATTAAGCTGTGCCTGTGTTTCAAACTCTTGATGGATATCAAGCATTTTCATCGTGCCTTGTTTTCACATACGATTACAATACGAGGTCTGTTTTGAGCTGCAACAAGGTGGACGCGAGCAAACTTTCCCAAGAGGAAACACACATCGGTAGGAATATTAAAGGAGTCAACGAATCGTGACATATCACCGCAAGGAAACACAACTCTTAATGAGATAATGAATGACGCAAAACTGCACGAATGGCTCAGATCTGTCGATCAGTTCAACACAACTGATAGACTGCGAGAGGAGGCGGAAAGTTGGAACTTTTGATCAACGTCAGTGTCGAGCACTGATGCATTCTCAGGCTTGTAATGCTCTGAAATATCACTTAAATTGAAAACAGGGATTGTATTTAATCGAACGCAATGCTAGGTCAACAGGGGGACAAATTAATACACTATCCGAGCCACGAAAGCTGGGGTCAAACAGTTCACCACGTGCAACTCACGCAATCTGTATTCCTCCTCCATGGGAGCGTTCTATCTCTCATCAGCCACTCATTTTGCGGTTAAATCCTTGAGCGAGTTCAAATCAAAGAAGGCTTGGATCCTGCAGCGAAGCCACAGTTCCAAGCATCAACCAGTTGTGTCGACAAACAGATATTTTAAGTGCATTGTAAGCCCGTTAAGTTTCAGCTGACCTGTTGGGAATTACTTTTCGAAAAGATTTTAATTATGTTTGTGTTAGAAAAAAAATCCTTATCTGATCGGTATGATTGTTTTTGTAGAACTTATTACATGTAAACTGTCTACCTGTCGGCGCAACTTGATTTATATAGAAACTCTCTTTCGTGATCTATGTACACGCTGTGAAATTCTAATCACAGCCAACCTTGCAAGCTTCTTTATCTTTCCAATTTCAATAAAACAAGTTGTCTCTCATCATTCATCTTCGTACACTGAATTAAAAGAAAGTCAGAATTTATTCCAAGTGTGACCTGACTACCTGCCCGGGTAAGCTTTAAGTTTTTAAATATAAGTAATCTGTGCTGAATCAACAGTTCTCTACCTTTCTATCTCTTCAGTATCGTGACGCTCATTGTTGTTTCCTCAGAAGGCTTTTATTCACATTCGTCCATGGTTTCCTTTTGTAATAAGCCAGCCACCGGATTATTACTTGCTAGTTTTTCAGGATTATCATCGAAATAAATAGTGTCCTTTATTCGTGTGACGCTTGAGAGCTAGTTAGTATTAGGAGGTTGAGGCAGACGAACTGAACTGGTTGTATGAACCTCGGGTTGGTAGGTGAGAAGAACAACCAGGACCCATACATGAAGCAACACCTATAAAACAATAAATAAGGACAGAAAAGTTTCTAAGGTACTGAAGCGTCAGGAGATATATATTTCAATATCAACAGAAAATAATACAAAAATGTATCACAAAGCCTCGTACATGAAAACAGAAATATAATTGTCGTTAGGTTGCACCCGCCAGAATCGACATGGAGATCAATCAACAAACAAAAGAAAGAACTAAAAGTGTAATTTGAACAGTTTTGGCGAACAAGCCGCATTTATCCAACCAAATACACCTGCTGCTCTGTCGATTCCGTGACACTGCCTCCTCAAGTACGTCAAAGAGTGGGAATAATAATTTAAAAATCCATTAACGTTAGAAATACTTAAATAGAAATGAGACCAATTTTCGGAAAAGGTTTCAGTAAAATCGAGAAGGCTGATATACTCTTAACACTCTCCAACAAACTGTGTCAAGTTTGACAATCGTCTTCAGAGACCAATATTTCGCGAAATTAACCCTCTAGTTCTTTCTCTCAGCAAATGGGCGCAGTTATTTAACTGAAAGCAAGTAGAACGCGAAACTTTAACGTTTCCCATTCAAAAATATACAAATAGTCCTTCTTAAATTCATTTTTAGAAACGAAGTTAAGTGCCAGTTGGCCTTTTTTCCTCCGGAAATTGAAATGTGATGTAAGGAATAAATGATCACACTCCGAATTATCTATGAAAATAAATTATTTAGGATAAATAATGTTCGCAAAGAGAGCTTTTCCATCGGTTTGACCACCAAATAAAGGTAATTTTACCTTGACCACAATAACCTCACAAGAGTAAACAGAGATATACATTTGCACTTTAACTTGAGTGTTTAATTCAATGTGGATAAGCATCACTGCGAGTAAATAGATATATCATCAAAGCACTTCTAGACACCACTTTCATAACGAGGATGACGTACAGACAAGACCGCGCCATAAACGACGCACAAAGGATCTACAGTTACTTGTGTGGCAAGGTCCAGAAGAGAACGGGCCGAGTGAAACAGATTATGCTATATACAAGAGACAGGAGTACTTTACCATGTAAATGATGACAAAGAGCCGTGCAATGGGATACCTTCTGAGGAACAGACCAAGTCTTATACTGAAAAAAAGGATAAAATGATGTGACAACGTGTAGGTTCAAGCAACATTTCAAAAAATAGAAACGAGTTTGTTTTCGCTTATCAGTGAGTGGTGCGGCAAAAATGATATTGTAATAGTGAAAAATAAAATAAAATAAAAAGGACGAAGTAAAAACCAAAAAACTTCGGGCAATTAATAAGCTTAAAGGAACCGACAAAAGGTGAAAAGATAAAGCCTCTCTGACACAAAAATCCTAACGATCCATTCTCAAGGGAATAACTAACTGTATTGGCCAAAGTCGGATATTGACGTAGAAGGAAATAGATTTCGTACAAGTTATCTGCAAGCATTACCTCAATGGATCTAACGTCTCTACTACACAGTTGGCATCGGGAATTTCAAGCTTAAAAGTTGGCAACCCAGGATTTAGCGGATCAACATTCTTAGCCCGAAAAATATATAATCACTTATTTCAATTGTGGTTTGGGAGTACCGGCCATTTCAACCTTAATTTCTTGCCTCGCACAGATCTCATACATTTTAATAGAAATGATAATAATCCCATTTCTGGCCTGACTAAAAATCGACCTTTGATTTAACTTGCAGTAGCTACACCTAAAGTTTCACGGCTAGACGCATGCGTAACTTTCATTTCCGTCCATCCGTTTAAAATGTTTCAAGGCGGAGAAAAAAAATAGATGTCCAATACTTTGGACATTGAAATCATCTATGAGATTTGGTTCTCGGTCATTTTGATGGCTCAAAATTTAGTCCGCCAAACTAATATTGGAGAAAGCCGAAGGCCAGCGCCCACCAACTTTGGCGCTTCTTTGTTTTGCCCTTATACTTAGTACAAAACAACGCCCGATTACAGGGTATTATTTATTCACTCATTTCATTTGACACGGGGAGTTAAGATGTGACACCTATTCTCTAAAAGTAGGACTTGCCTGAACTTGTCGATTTCATTAACAGCTCGTTTAACTTTTCGGGAGTCGTTAAGTTGTGAGGGCATAATGGACGATATTGATCTCACACGTGACACTAAAAATAGATAAGAACAGAAGATATCAGACAGACCGCGGTAACGCAGGAAACCGCCGCTCTCTTTCAAGAATGACCTAATTTAATATCAGCAGGCCACTTCGGCTTAAAGAAACACATGAAAATTAAAGGAGGCCGTCAGCGAATCGCAAGCCTCATCAAGACCCCGAAGGGGCGGCATAACCTTTTGATAACGTAATAACCTCTCAGTTCTTGACAATATAAACATCACTCAAGAGAAATACAAAAAAAAAAGAAAAAAAAAGAAATTGTTATCAGGCACTTTTCATAACAAAACAAAACGAGAAAAAGGATTCGATGACGAACCCAGCAGTATTTGTAATGTTTTTTCAACATTTCCTTTCCTGCGAGTGAGGCAGTTCATCACCACGCCCATGTATCTAGCAATCGGAACCAAAACCTCTCGCACAATAAAATAACCGCAAGTCTCTGCAGTCTACTGAGACTCTCCTGACGGGCACATAAATAAATTATTTATCGACTAATCTCTTGAAAAAGTCTCCCAGCCGTGATACGGAAACTGAGCATGGCTGTAAACTTACGCGTATTTTCATCGTTGTCATCAAAACCGTCATAAGTTGCTGATGAGCCGGCAATCATTTTAGACGTAGATGCCTGTACATCTCTGTATTGCTTCTATAGATTGAAAATAACAAGTGAATAAAAGAGAAAGCGAGCCAGAAGGATATCTTAAGTTGTAATTTTATCAGCAATCTTGATAAATGACAAGTTTTTACATGGTAGATGAGGGCCGAACAACCGGCCCAGCAGGCGAATTGCAGAGAACGCGCTTTCCTCCTCTTCCCCTCCCCTCCTCTCCCCCTACCTGACGAAAAATAATATCAGAAGGTGTAGTAGGTGAATTTTTTTGAAGGGGTGGGGGAGGAGAAGGTGATCTTGGATTAGGTTGTCAAGTCAATAAAACCACGGTAACATGCGTATTTTGTCATGTTAGTTACAGAAATAACGTTCTTATTCTACTGAGTACGAGATGACTAGAACACAGGATCAGTCACTATATTAAATAACATAATATAGGTTGTTTTGTTATTAAAAATTATCACTTTTCTCAGTGAAGAGACCGGTGAAAGGCACATCAGGAAAACCAACCCCCCCTTGGCCACGCCCCTAAAAAAAGGACAATTCACCTTAGGTTTCGTATAGTTTATGAGCAATATTTGTGACAGTTGTACACTTCTTGAGCAGTATTGAAAATAAAGCCTGAAAAAAAAATCCAGGCTTTGTACGGGAGTTAAACTCCTGACATCTGCTATACCGGTGTACTGCTGTAACAACTGAGCCAACAAGCCAACTGGGAGCTGTTGTATAATCTATTCAGTGGGATTTAAGGTTTTCATACCTCCAGCCGCTCTAACTGTAAAACCAAGGAGTTCTTCTCTGTGCTCAGAGCCTCAATCAGTGTTTGTTTCTGAATGAGGTTTTCTGTCAGCGCTCGGACTCGGTTTCCCAGTTCTTCTTCACTCGTAGACGTAAGTGCCTTGGTTGCAAGCTGAAAAACATAAATTGATAATCGAATTTCGGTTACAAAACGCTGCAGCATCGTCAGGAAACAGCGACCTTACCCAGAATCAAGCCTAGCACTGCCGGCATTAAATCTCCAACTTGTTTGGACAAAATAACGACAAAGAAAAATTACACATTCAAAGCTTGACAGCACAGGTATCAACTGACACTGACGCTCTAGACAAAAGGTTTGTCTTAGTCTTGACTCGCTGTGATTAAAATTTGACTAACCTGATTTCTAAGTTTCTGAATTTCATTTTCCCTCTCCTGGAAGAAAACGCCAAATGAGATTGAACGGAGATTAATAAGAATTCAGAAGAGAACAAAAAAACAGTTATCGATGACGGAAAGATACCTGTAACTGGCTCATAAAGCTGCTTTTAATTCCTCGTATCTCATCTTGGGCCTGATGCAGGTCCTGACAGAAAACAAAGAAAAACATTCGAATTTTGAATGCACAGGATAAAGATACTTTTTTATAAATAAAGGGATACCAGCTGAACTGCTGAATGGCTAAAATTACAGCTATTCATCAACAAAGGTCACGCTGGAACAAAATACTGGAGGATTTGCTGTACGCAACACAATTTTCAACCTTCCCGAGTAGCATTACGACGGATAGGTGTTCACCAAACGTGTTTTGGTATCCGTCGGAAAGAGATTTATTCAGTGGATGGGGCTATCCACCTTTTGAGCAACAGGGGTCATGTGGTCTCTTATCTAAAGAGATCGGACAGAAATTAATGGGTGGGTTCTTTAAATAGGTTTATACTGGCTAGGAATATTTCTCTTTTACGTACTTGGAGATGCTGTTGAATTTGTTGTTCACAGGCGTCTTTTTTTCTTTTTTCGTCATCCAGAGCACTCTCTAACTCTTCCATTTTCTCTCGAGCAAGATCTGCCTCGGATTGTTGCTGTTGTTCCAAGTCCTATGAAGCAATATTTTTCAAACGATCAGATACTTAGTGCACAGTCCTATTCAACGTTTCAACTCATTCAAGTATGGTATTTGAACAGACTACACTTGTCTACAAGTAGTGCTGATTGAGAGAGCCGTGCGCAGTGTGACTCGCACGAGACGGTGGGATATTAACTGTGAAGGTAGGTTGAAGACTGAAGCGAGAAGATGGCTAACTCTTCGGACTACTGAACGTGCGCGAAGCGCCTATGGAGACGTTTTACGTCATTAGTGTGCACAAGGACACCTAGTCTTTGGTCAGGGTTCTTTGGACTTTTTTCCGCGTTCGCGACATCCTTTAATAAGTTTCTTTGCAAAAATTGTCCATTGCGAAACGTGAAAACTACAAAACCAAATGTTGAGGTATCTGAGACGACTTAAGAGAATTTAACCAGCGCAAAGCTGTGATTGCGGAAAGCAGATTAAAAAAAGGAAAAACACTATTCACCTGTAAATCAGCCTTGAGTTGCTCCATTTTGTACTTGACCTGATTGACTTCATCTTTAAACATGTCCCTCTCATGACAGACCTCTTCATATTCTGAACTAGTAACACCGCTGGTAACTTCACCTTTGCTTCCATCACGGAGACTTGCTATCACCTTGTCTTTAGCCTGACGGTAGAACGATTTTTCTTACTAACACTGTAAAGGGTTCACAACCCATAATTTGTTTTATTTCTAAAAGAATTTAAAACAATTGGATAATAACAAAATGATCCAGTCACCTGAAGAATTCTGGCTGCTTTATCTTTATAGTCCTTCAGTTCTTGCTTGGCAGTTTCTAGATTTCCTTTTGCTGTTTTGAGTGCCGTAGCATTCTCATTGTTCTTATCTATTCAATGGCTAAGGAGAAAAAGCTCCAACATGTATCCAAATCATAACTGGTTCGGAAATAAAGAATTGTAAGGAACTATTCTATGCACTACAAGAAGTCATTTCAATCCCTACGTACAAGTTATTTTTAGTTGAATCGTCGTTTTAAGTTAGGACTGATAAAAACATATTTGCTAGAATCAACTTGAACAAAAGAAATTTTGTTCATTCAGGAAAAGGGGCATAAAAACATTCGTGCTCAGTATCTTAACTGTTACGAGTGTGAAAAAAAAAAAACCTTAGTACCCCTCCCCTCCCCTGAGAAGACTCGAACCCCAACTAGTTCTAATTTTGCTCATCTTCAGACAGTTGATAAGCCAGGCCATATAATTAGTTCAATTTTGTTTTAAATTATTAAGTAAACTAAATGGAACTGATGGATACTCTTCTCTTCATTGACTCTCTTCTGCAAAGTTTTGAGTGACTCGGCCAAGGCTGCTTGTCCCTCTTCTAGCTTCGTTTGCCTGTCCATGGACTCTTTCTTAAAAAAAAAATGAAAGTAAAGGGAACCTAAGTTTATAAGCCTTTAAAGTTATTATCAGGTTTCCATGCCATTCATTTATCTACTATATTATCAATTAATGTGGCTTAACTTCTTCAGATAATAACAGTAAATTATATGACATAACAATAAATTTAAAGAAATATCAAGATCACTAACAAATTTGACTGCAACACAAAGATCCTGACCATTTTTTTACTCTTAAAAACTTTAGAAAAAAGCCTTTGAAAAACTTTCACATAATACTGGCAAGCCCTTAAATAAGCAGGCATTATAATCTTATAGAAGTATTTATCATTACATATACCTCAAGTTTCTTTTGAGATTCCTGTTCAGCTTTAAGTTTGCTCTCAGTTTCTTCCAGTTTAGCTTTCAGAGTGTCCAATGCATGACTGTGAACACCAGTTGATGCTGAGTGATCCTGAAGTAGCCTGAAGGAGAAGACAAGGGTTTTCTTACATATCTAAGTGCTAGTACATTAGTATGGAAGTAACCCAGTTAAGAAAATTAAAACTACAACACTAAGAAGTAAACTCCTTTCTGTCTCACATGAAGGCAGGCAGGTGCTTACACCCTGGTTCCATCTTTAAATGAGAACTCTTCAAGACAAGTCTTCAAAATCATCCTGAGGCTTCATAAGCTAAAACTTGTGTTGCACCACAGATGTTGACACAATGAGGTCTTCCATGACAGACCTCAGGTTTACCAGTTCAGATAACAATTTTATTAGACCAGTAATATATCAGTCAATAGCTTCAGAAGAAAAACAATGCCCAAAAATATAGAGCAGAGAAGAACTCCTAAGAATGAAATTTAGCCTGAAATTCAAGCGGTGAATTGCACAAATACTGGCACTTAACAAATGAAATCAGTATTACTGAGTGAAGTTCATCTGCAGGTGGACCAACCACAAACACAAAAATTCAACCAAGTTAAACTCTGTTCAACTTGCTAGGTTAACATCTACATGACAAAAGTGAAAGTGAAGGGTGTGGTGTCAAACTTGATTGAACTTTGGGGATAATGAAGCATTCCAATTAATAGTTTAGTTTCTGATTTCGAAAAGCAGTGGATAACGTTACTATTATAACTGTCAAATGTACTGTATACTAAAAGACCTCTCTCTCTCTAACTGGTACTGTTCAATTTGCTGCTGTTTGGTCTTCAGTTCCTGGTCTGACTCCTGTATCCTGACCCTGAGCACAGCCAGCTGTGAGTCCTTAGCATTAAGTGCCTCTGTATAATCATCCTCCTTCCCTCTCAACTGCCTGGAAATTTCCTCAGAAGCTGCCAACTGTTGATGACTTCTTTGAAGCTGTCTCTCTGTTTCTTTTACTCCTGTGATACAGTTATCAAGAAACTTTTCAGATAGGAACAATTTATATTAAAAAAAAAAAAGCTAGCTTTTACTTATTTCCATTCTAAGTATAAAATACAGACTTACTTACACTGTAAAAGTTACCCAGCAGTCAAGAATTAAATTACTTTAGAATTAATTAATGTGGATAAATGAGCTGTGAACAGTCTTTCACGAGCAAATTTCGATGATTCAGCAACTCACATCAAAGCAACTGTATGTAATTTGAGGGAAGAAATGGCAGGCAAAAAAAGCTAGGAAAAATTTACACTTCAACAAAGTGCATACCAATGACTCTCAATACTAGTTGGGTGCTATTCGCGACCAAGTACTGGCTACCAATAACACAACTATGAAGCCACAGGTAAGGAACCAGGAAAATTTAGTAGGTTTACTGGGTTTCATTTGAGTTTCCTTTTTTCAGTGTCAATACTTACTCCTTTCAGCTTCCTTAGCCCTTTGCACCACAGAAACCATTTCTTCATTCAGTGATGATACTTCCTTCTTTAGAAGTGTGTTTTCAAATTCAAGGTTGGACACACGATCATCAGCAGGAGGTTGGCTGCGGTGATCAGCTTCATGCTGAGGCATGTCTTGTGCCTGAGGTTCTACTAGTCTCAGTCCATCAGATATGTTTGTGTCTTTTTCTCCTGTATTTGAATTCTTTCCAATAGCATCTAGTAACAAACACAATAACAATCCCTGATCCATGAGCTCAAGGTTCACTTCCAGATTGATTTTTAAAATTTTCTCTTTTTTATAACAATAAAAGTTTAACTATAAACAGAGGTTTTCATCTGTTCAAAGGAGGTAACGTATGCTTAGACCCTCACAATAATTTGGTCATTGGTAAACCAAATACAATATTAATTCCTAGCTTTTTTTAAACTCTTAATTGTAGTTTTTTATAAAACACTGCACTTTATTGCATCCCTGAGCAATAGAACTACTACCACAAGAGTAAAGAAGCTTATTTAAAAGCAGACTGATCTCAATTAGTACTTCAACTAAGACAACAAGAAAAAGGTTGCTTGAAAGGTGAATAATGCTGTCAACTGGATCACATGTTTTGTTTTGTTGACACTCGTCTAACGAACAGGAATTTATGTACACAATAGAGTCTTTCAGCTTTTGAACAAAAAGGCTTTGTCTGTTGTCCAATGCACCAATTGCCTTTCATAGCAAGGTCTAACCCACCATGTAGGGCAACAAATACTACTTAACTTTTTAACATGCTCACCATCATTAATTCTTCCATCTGGAGCATCTTGCTGAACCAGCAATGAAGTATCATTAGCTTTAACAACTTCATCAGATGATGTTTCAGTCACCAATTTTGGTTTTATAGGTTTCCTTTCCTTAGAAGTGGGAACATTGCTATTGAGGAACTCAAATAATTTATCATCATTTTTGTTTTCTGTTCTTGTTACCCTTGGGGGTGTCCTAGAACCAGAAGAAGGTAGCCGAGACTTGATAGGTACTGTAGGTCCACCTAGAAAACAAAGCAAAGCCTTCAATACATCAATTCAAGTGAAATTATTCTGGACAATATTGAAGCCATGACAGAGAAGACATTGTGCCTTGTGGCTCACAATAATGTACTATGAGCTTACAAAAAGCTAGTAGACACTGGTCCACATGTTCTTTATTATCATTTACACCAAATATTGTTTGTCAAAGTCATCCAAGAGGTTGTGAAATGACATAAAGTGCTCAACAGCAAGCTATCCTGCTGTCTTTAAATGTACAACTAAAAGGAACTGTAAATTTACATGAAGCTAAATTAACCACAGACAATAGAGCTTCCAAAGAGAATATAGATGTAAGCAGTTTATTAGTTCTCACCTAATACACTGCTCTCACTGGCTGCCTTTGCAAAATCAACTCCTTGGTTGACAACTGGTGCAGGAATTGGTCTCTGTGTTGAAACAGAACTCGCAACTGGTTTTGTTGGAAAAACATTTTTACTGAATACACCCCCGTCCTGGTTAATCTGGTCCTTTGTGAGTGCTGAAGCTGCAGCAGTATCAACCTTTTCCAGCAGAAACTCTGCCTTGCCAGCAAGATCAGTAAACCATGACATACTGACTTATATCTAGCATATTGATAAAAATAGACCAAAAAAAGGGCATCAAGCAACCAGTTATTGAGAAGTATTAAGTATTACTACTCCTCCTCCCAGCTTTACAATAAAAAAAACCTGTCTGTACTTTAGAAATTAGCAAATTCACAAATACATTTATTTCAGCTAGGAACATTCCATCAAAGTCTGGTGGTAAGGCTTGAAAGGCATTTCAATGACAAATGTGTATAATTGTCAATAAATGTAAAGTATCAATTATTACTGATGTAAATTGTGATGTTGTCTTTCTTCATCACTGGTGTTTAAAACTAGTAATTTTAATGGTATCATACGTTTCCTGAAAGTAAACCAAGCTAACAATTCTTTAATCTGCTTCAATTTATGGTTATAACTTTCCAATTAGGAAGGCATCGAAGCCGCACAAGCAAGAGAAACTCAGTGGAGAACTCCCTTGATTAGTTTAGGAATCGTAGAATATAACTAAAATTACAAAATTTTTCGTGTCTTTCAGCCACGGCTTAGATTTGAAAGTTGTAGAATATGAATTCCTCTGCTGGTCTGAAGTTACTCAATACGTAAGCTTACTTCACTTCGAAGAGTACGTAAAAAATTCGTCTTCCTTTGGCGTAATTAGTGCATCAGCATTCCCTATACTTTCCCAATTTAATCAAACCAACCGTAACACTTCGTTGTAGGATATTAGGCACGCCACTCGGTTTCAGTTGCAAATTGCATGGAAGGTAAGTTAAGTTTCGGTATTGCTTGGTCGCTGTGTTTACATCCTCGTACGTGTCACAGAGGAAGTGCGCACTCCCTTGCAGCGCAGCCGCTGATCAGAAGAGCTTCGAGTGAGCCACAGAGAGATTGCGTGACACTCATGTTGTTGCGCTTGAAAGAGTGAAGGCGAAGAGGACAGTGACTTAATAGGGCGAATGACGAGAGGAATTTACGAATAAATTTCACCCAAATAGCGAGGAAGGTGTAAGGCCGTAGAGTAGGGGGAACTAGGGTTAAAATGTTACTTGATGCCATATTATTTGAAGAAAAATCATATAGTACAATTTGAACTCAGTACAATTCCCAGAGGGAACAAATTCTTTTTCTCTCCTCAGTTTACTACTTCTTTCTTTGATCCATTTCAGTTATAATGTAGGTATTGTCACCTTTCTACTGAGATCTGGTACCTCATTGTAAAAAAAGAATAGCAATCATAGTTGTGATTATTTGTGAGAGGAAGATAAAGTTGACTTAAATCAACTTAAATTGATTTTGATAATCACTTACTGCCTATGTATCCTTACACATGAGAGTTTGACTAAGTCCCAATCATTTTCATATGATGTGCAGCACTGAAGCACAAAGTGTGATGCGTATAGACAAAGCAGAAAGAAACGCTCTCCCATCATCCCTTTCTGCCCAACCGCACTCTTATGCCATGTGCATTATGGAGATGACTGAGGAGTACTCCAATGTATCATGTTGTCCTGAAAAAATTTACATTGACCCCAAAACAAAAGAATTGGGTTTCTATTTGACACTAAGTATAGTCAGACCTGTCAAAACTTTCAATTTATGCAAGTCACTAGTGAAGTTGTGAAAGTGCCAGAAGTTTTGTCAACAACATATGATGATAAACTCCCCATGTATACAATTTTTTGTTAGAGACAAAGTCATCTCCAGCAAAGACCATATTTTGGAAATTTTACAGAATCAGTTTAATTTGATTTTTTGAATATCAAACTGCATTATTTGCTTCAAAAGTATTTGCTCTAAAGGAAACTGTTGTGGAGCAACTGGGGTAAGTAAAGCACTCATGCTTTAATCCAAGCGAAGTTAGGAAGGTAAATTATCTAACAAGGGCTAAAGCTTTAAAAATCAGCTGTACAAATTTAACAAACCACCACAGTTTGGTTATCCATGTCAAATTCATCCTGAAAAGAACTCACGAGGATTGCAAATCTCTTTTATTTAAAATTTCACAAACTCTTTGGAACCCGAATTGCATATTTCCTCGAGTGTGATCAACAAAAGCAGTTTTACTCTCCCTTGAGTAAAAAAAAATAACTCCACATTTTGAAAGCTCCCAGAAGTAAGTTGCACTTTATCCAGCAGTTTATTATTGTCCCCATGATAAGCGACCACGCTTGTGCTGTCCTCCTGAGAAAGGTAACGCTCAGGATCTGCCTTTGATCAGCATTTCCAACGGACCTCCATTTGTGTATGTGATACGCAGATTGTCCTTACCGCCAAAGTATCACCATCACGGAATAGATAGAATATTTTGAATGTTTCATATCGAAACATCCATCACTCAAGTTAACTCAATTTATTAATGCTTGGGTAAAGTCCAAGATCACATTCACCAATAGCTAAATTTGAAGCTAGACAGGGTCGCCAGGCGGTAGACCACGTCTTCTTCTTTCTGCCTTCCTTTTGTTCCAAGCTCTTTTACACTCTTTATATGCTAGAAAATAATTTGCACATCTTGCCTTATCGTAATTATTCTCTTCCAAACATTTTAAGGAAGCCACCGACTCTGCAGCACACGGATTCGTTCCCTTATCTGTCCACCGCTTTAATCCGTCCGCCATTTTGATAGAATATCGAGCCCATTCCTTCTCGTTTTTACGAAGTGGAGGGGAGGCTGAAATAGCTCAAGTGGCCTCCCGGCGCTCCCTCAGCTCCCCAGTGGGGTGGAAACACTGGACATGTCAGGTTTATGAAATTAACGAAATTTTCCCACTCGTTCACACAGCAAATCGGCTCAACTCTCAAGAGCGACCTTCCGTTCTCAACTTCTTAAGGTCAAACTCTCTCTTAAAATCGTGGTTCAAACTTTTTGCAAAGAACACCAGGGGTTAGGGGTGCTGCCCTTAAAAGTCGAATGCTGCAAGATGTATTAGATACAAATGAGGATACTACCCTGGTTGGTGAGCTGCAATTAAAGAAATTGCTTCCCGAGTCTAATTTTGGGTCCGCCACAGAGCAAGAAGCTAAGTTAAAAACAAATGAAGATGTAATTCTTTCTGTTGTCTTATCTTAGAATTTATGTCATCTTTCGCCCTCCGCATCGAACGAGGTAGGTGTATTTGAAGCTGAACCAGCCTGGAATAGTTTGGAGTTTAATAGCATTAAAGGGGAACACGCACGTAATCAGTAACCAGGGATCCATATTGGCGATGTGGCATTAATATATCGCTTTCTTCATACTAATACTCTCATGAACTTCACAGCACTTTGTGGGGGACTTCAGCCTGACTGCTTTGAGCATTTTACAATTTGTTTGAAAGGAAGTTTTGCAGGTGCCTGCCGGGTTTTGGAAACAATTCCCCACCCAGGCACCAAATCTCTCTTAAATAACTAGGATTGATGTCTGCTGTTCCAAAATAATTTTTATTGACAGTACCAAGAAAATATTCATTTAAGCTCTTAAACTAGAGCGTTGGTAAGCAAATCAAGTCCTCTTATTTTTTGAAGGGCTCAGGAACTTTTCGACAAAATCTTCGTGGTTCATGGTATCATGCGGCTTCGGCAAAAGTGCTTTTCTTGACAGACGAACTTTTCCAGAGAAAGGGTCTTTTCCAAGATACATTACATCAACGATTTGTCCTAGTGTAAATTCATTCGTTGTTTGATGACTCTGAAGAAAAAAAAGAAAAGAAAAGAAAAGAAAAGAAAAAAAGCTCAGACAACAGCAGAGGAGGTTTTAAGTTAATAGGAAATATCCGTCGGTAAAAAAATCAGCCTATAATGCTTGCGGAAAAAACTAGGAAAATAAAACCTGAGAAGCAAGTACTTAGTTCAGAGGGTTTCATTTTACTGTTTCCAAACAACTTTCCTAGACTATGAAAACCTTTCTTTCAACGAAGCAGTGAATTTTGAAGAACATATATCAATGATCACTCGATACAAGATTGTGCAAAATAACTGAAATACCACACATGCTGGACTGGACAAACCCAAGGCTTTTATTGTATCACGATAAGCCTGAGTAACTGGTGGTTTTGAGTGTGCTGTGAGCGTTAGGCGACGGACCTGTGAAAACGGGCGGCTAAAATTCTCCGCTCATAGCTTTAAAGGGCACAAAGGGCCGCCAGCCTTAAAGGCTATGTACAGCAGGCCCATGGCTTTACCATGAAAGCAGTAGACCGCACTTCCTATCTGAATGAAAATATGTGCCACATGTAAGTCCAGTTTATGACCACTCGATGTGATATTGAGACTATCTTGTCACAGTTACTTCGTTACGTCGACTTACTTTATGGTGAGATATTTCTGAAGTCTGTAAAAGTACACTGGGTGTGTCCGGTAAAAGTTCTACCATAATCCCGTACTCCCTGGAATGACAAAATAATCATAATAATAATACTATATTTAAATAGCGCTTTTTCTGTCGCTATCCAATAGCACTTTACAATGATGTTAAAATACCTCACGTAGAAAGTTAAACTTACTAATAACATAACTAAGCTGTCAAAATCACAATAAGAACTGAGAATAAAAAACCTCACGAGTAAAAACTTACTAACTACATACCTAAATAACTAATTAAGAGGCTTTCCTGAAAAGATGTATTTTAAGATTGCGCTTGAATTGCTACAAATTGTCGCTTAAACGGATTTCCAGCGACGGTGCGTTCCAGAGTTTAGCCGCGGTTACAGAAAATGATCTTGAACCATATCTGGCAAGTTTGTAACCAAGGTCAACCAAACGATGGCCAATAACTAATCTTAAATTGTATCTGAGCAAATATTTTGTTATAAGATCGCAGAGGTTTGGTGGCGCTAAGCCCTTCAAGCATTTATATGTCAATAAAAGAATTTTTAAAAACTATGCACCCATCAACAGGTAACCAGTGGTATTTTCAGAGTACTGGTGTCATGTGATCACATTTACGCGTATGCATATTAAGTAAGCACCACAAGTTTTGCAGCCTCAGCGTAAAAAAGCAAACTGTGTTACAACAGAGCATGAAAAGAGATGGGTTCGAACAGTTGACGAGTTGATGAAAGCAGAAAGACACGGGTCTCAAAGGTTTGTTTTCTCTTACCTAAACTCAGTAATAATTGCTTTGTATGTAGCTCCAACTTCAAGAGATTCTGTCCAGTGCTTAGTGAAGGAAATAAACGCAATAAGAGACAAAAGAAAATTAGGGAAGAAGAAATAAAGTTGGAAATTTCTAAGCTGTTGCAGACGTTAAATAATAGAGAATTTACGATATCACGTTAGAACGATTTAGGTTTCATGTAACGGAATGTTAGTCAAAGTTTCGGTAAGAAAGTGTACTGTGTTGCACTGCGATCCTTTTTTAGCAGGTTTCTTTTTTATTTAATTCCATGGTTTCCTGAACATGAAAAAAAAAATCAGCTTTTTAACCCAGAACTTTGATTCCTGTTCGCACATTTTACCGGCGCAACCTCCTGTAGCAAGTATATCGTTAAGTTGTTTTTTACGACTCCAGGTAACACGGGAGGCAATCAGTCAGTTATTTTACAACCAACAGTAACATATCTGACTGAATGCACGCAGCCTGTTCAAATGATGAATCAGTTTAACCCTGGAGCAAAGATTGTGATACCTTTTCCGTGTCGGCACCGGTAGTAATTTCATTCATCTTGTCTAATACTTCCTGGAAAGCTTTCGCGTCATAAGCAAACACGTGAAACTCATCATCTTCAACTCGTGTAATGATTGAACCTTTAAACCAGAAACACGTTACATTGGTCATTAGCACTTGAGATAAAGATAAATGAGAATGATTTCAAATATAATCGACTTGAAGATTTAAATTTATTTTCCATACCCCTAAAAGTGAGCTAAATGTTCGCGTACATGAGACATCTCTCCAGTGAAGAAAGAATTATTTGTAAGAATACCTTATTTTTAAGTTAGTCAGTACTCAATGACTTACATAGGAGAACATTTTACAAACCTCTATTACCTAATACAAAAGCTAAGACCAAGACAGTACAACGAGCGCTGGCTACATGTTCCCGGTCATTTCGTGCTAAGTAAAGGATACCAGTATATGTGAGTAAATTGTCCCGTTTGTTGAACTGTGCTACGTGAAAGTCATTCATTATCTTTCCTTCTTTTTCACTTAGTAGCTGATACTAACCTGTCTCTTCCTGCAGGTTTTTTATTGTCAGTCCGCCAGCAGCAAACAGCTTTCTAACTTGTAATCGAGAAAGAACTACATTTCCTACGTGAGCAGAAAGATAAAATTCCATCAACAGCAAGAACATAAGGAAAGGTGATAAACTCGTCGATCGTTATTTCTCAGGCTGGATCCCAAAACGCAAGTCGGGGGATGACCTAATAATGATGAAAGTGATCGTTTGTTGTATGATAAACGATATCTCTGTAAAGTTAAGTTAAAAAAGCTCACCTTGAACTGGCAGATTGTCTTTGGGTATTTTTCTCGGACCGCTTTGGCATTCTTCTATTAAATCCAAAACTTTCATCCGATCAGCTGGAAAGTGAAGTGACACGTTAACAAGCGTTGCCCTTTAAATTCTACCAGAAAACCTTCCAAGGCGTCTTCAAAACGAGCATTAATTTTTTAATTGGAGGGAATAGCAATTTGATGGTCGCAAAGAGGAACACTGAGGTAAAAAAAACTCGTCCTGACTAGAAAATCAGATTGACATTTGTGCAACTACCGAGGACAAAAGAAAAACTTAAGAGGAGAAATTGGCTCTCTGTCAATGTCACAAATCACAAAGAAGTTTGTTCGGTTCCTGATTTCACTTTGCCATCCACAAGTATCACAGTTAGGTATTTCCACATCTAAATATTCCTTGTCCGGCGTAAGTTAATTCTATTTCCTCATCTGTTAGCTACTACTTCTTACCAGTTGCCTTTTTGACTGCCTCTTCTACAATGTGTAGCGGAAGGCCTGGTACCTTGAAATCAGCCTATCACAAACAAAACGCGCAAGTCACCAAAGCTTAATTTGATATCTAACACAATAATATTAGATGGGTAGTAAACGGAAGGCAATTTACCTGTAGAGCTGTTATTCCTTCTCTGCTTCCGGCAAGTTTAAAGTCCATATCACCCATAAAGTCTTCAATGCCCTAATGAAATAAGTGTTGTTATTGCAACAAAGTGAGACAACAAACATTTCCAAACTTGTTCTGAGTAAACTTTATCAATTTAAACCCCTTACTCACACGTATTATGTTTCTTACCAAGATATCTGTCAGAAGACAATAATTTTCTATGTCTGGTTTATCCGGGTCCTCTGCATCACTGCTTGTTATCAAACCACAGGCAACTCCTGCAACAGGACGAGTGATTGGAATCGCTGTGATATGAAAAATAGTAATTTAAGGGTTAAAAGTGCCACATAATCATATGCAAGTATTTAGTTGTTTCTTCAGAGCATGCTAAAACAATTATACTCTACGTAATGGTAACGATGGCGATAACGTTAACTGTAAAGGCAACGATAACGATGTTAACGATAATTTTCGAGCCGATCACGATCATAGTAACAGAAGGTTTGCTTATAACAGTGGTATTATCAGTAGCGTAAACTGCAGTGATGAAGATAAAGATCAATGAAAAGGAAAACGAAGACAAAAACTGTGATCTAAATAGCGGTAAATATAACAATAATAATTATTGAAGAAAATACCTACCAGCATCCATCATTGCCAAACTTCCAGCACAAACAGATGCTAAAGATGATGAACCTGTTAAAAAAGGAAAAAAAAATTGTTAAACACAAAACTGCTGCGATGATTTTTATCGCGGGCCAGAAATAAAAAAGAAAACTACATCTTGTAAGACATGATACCAGTTGAACCTCATCTGAGGATGGACTATCTTGCCTACCATTGGATTCTAACACTTGAGATGTAAGTCGGATGGTGAATGGAAAATCCTTGGGAACAACTGGTTCTAAAGCCATTTCTGCTAAATTACCTAAAATAAACGAACAAAACTGTTTGATTTCTCACAAATTACAAATTAACAGTGTTATCTGAAAATATTATTGGAATTTGTCCTTGGACTCAGTTTTCCAAGCGGATTTTCGCGCCAAATGGAGCCAGTTATCGTTTATCTAAAGGGAACACCCACAGTGTTAAATTAAAGCAATTAAATACTTAAGGCAAATATCGTCTTCTTCTACAAATCAGTGATGTAAAATGTTTATCTTACCATGACCAATTTCTCGTCGACTCGAACCACCGATCAACCCTATTCCATTCACACAAAATGGTGGAAACTATTTGTAATCAACCAAAAGAAATGTTAGCTGTGAATTAGTAATTAGTGAGTAAAAATGTCATAACACTGAAATAAACAACAATTAAGAAAGAAGTTCACAGCTTTCTTTGTATTGATGTGTTAGTAGTAAGATCTAGACCCCAGTCCAGGTGACACCAGCGCTTTCAGCAATTACAGAACTCGATACACAACCTACCTCATAGTGAAGCATGAATGGTCTTTCTTTGACGTCGCTGCACAACAAAAGGAAACGAAATGTTATTAAGGAAACCTGTCATCATACTTGAAAATTTTACCGAATTTTGAAAAGAAGAACAAGTCCATTCAATAGAACAGAAAGCATGCAATACTGTAAACTTTCTCCAAGTAGCTGTTATGTTACCCAAAAAAGCTGACGGTAGCTTTGTTTCTTCTCGTGAAACCATCAAGAAAAATCGAGAGCAAATTTATCATCGGCAAACTTAACACAAAATGCTCCAACAAATCCTTACTTACCCGACCCCTACAACGGCGGCGTCAGGTTGTTTTGCAGAACGAAGGGATCCAAGTGTTGCTGTACAAAACACCTTTCGAGAAAAATAAGGAATGGGTTAATTTGTTTACTGCAGTAGCTGTGTAGATAAAATATTACAGTACTACCTTTTATGATGGTTGTGAGTCACGAAGTCGAAATGAATCATTAGGGAGTTTTAGATTCAAGTTGGTTTCAGAATACGTGTGACCGCACACGACTGGGAGGCACGTGACCAGACTCCAGTGGTCATGTTCGCCATTTGCTGTCCACGTTTGAACTTCAGGCAAAGCAGTTTCAGGTAATTGAACTCCCTAGACGCTTTTTTTCTCCCCATTCGAAAATTCTCACGTACGTCCCATAAATATATGTGAGGTGAAGTCATTTCTTTATAAGCAATCCGTTTGGGACGCGAGAAAACCAACGTTTTAGCCACATTTTGTGTTTGTGCCCTCCATACTTTGTGTAATTCAAGATAGCGGCGCGCATGATAATTTTTTTTTTCCAGGCGAAAGCCGACGTCGATCTAAAAAGCTGAAAGTCTCGAAAGTTCTAACTTCTAACTACAGACTGCTGACCGCGGTTTGACGTTTGCGGTGAATATACCAAACATGGATCTTAAACTCTCTTTAGAGAGAGGCAAACCTGGGTTTCTCCTCTTTGAAATAAAGCAGATCCATGAAGACTCTTGAACAAATCAACTTCACATCTTATGGGTCGAAGAGCATCAAACGCACGTCCATCACATCTGAACAAAATAAGTGTACATCGTTGTAAATTTTCAAAACTTACTCAGTAGTCTTCGTCATGGTATGAACCGATTACCTCAGCGCTTTGGGAGTACTTAAGTACGCCACTCTACACCTTAAAGGTAAAGTCTGAGATAAAATCAGCTCCCCTAACATGTTTATCCTACAGATCAAGTTTTCCTTGGTTTATCTTGAGCGGTGTGGACGGAAACATCCCCTTTGCACTTAACTTCGTTTCTAAAACCATTCTACGTTGTGAGTTAAATGTATCAAGAAATAATCCTTATAAGGAATAATATTGTAAAATGATTATTGTACCTTTGGGACGAATAAAGAACGTTGTTCCTAAACACTGATTTGGTTTCTTCAAATATTGCATTTTCTATCTCACGAGCGGCAACATTTGGAAATCTCTCTGTTAAAGTCAAAAATGAAAAAAAATTATTTTTATTTGGATCTACCACCTTTTAAAACAATAAGCCGAATAAACTGAAACCAAACAACTTGGTTACATCAAAAATTATTGTGCTAGACGTCAGTTGTGGGGTGCAGATTAGAGTTCTCAGAGGCCCATTAAAATTTATCTTTGTTAAGATGAGCGGTTGTATTTGTCTGGCATGTTTTATTTGTAGTAGTTCATTCAGTCACTGAGTCCCACCAATAGAGCACTTTGCGAGTGAGAGTCACAAACCACACTTATCAAAACAGCCAATCAGAGCACAGAATAATATCACGAGGAGCCAAAGAGAAACCAGAGTGAAATCAATGAAACCACCCTAAGAGCTGAAAAACGCGAGGAACACTGGTTCCCACTGGTTTTTGTTTCTGCTCTTGGTTGGTTGAGAGAGTGACGCAGAGAAAAACGGAGTCAATCCAATGTAAACCTGGATTACTTTCTAGGTAAAATTGTTAATCCAAACCAAATCTAACCAATGATCTGTTATGTTGATAAAATCTGTGTTTCTAACACACCTTGAAAGTGTAAGAGATGATCATCCCTAACTTTAAACATTTCCTTGTCGCGTTCCATCTGAAGTGAAATAATACTTGACATTAAAATCATTATTGCAATACAAACTCTTTGATTTGGCCGTTTCCCTCTTAAAGTTTGTTCCTCCGTAAGTTTTGTTTGTTCATCAAAAGAGCATCATAAAGCTAAAATAGTTTGATACTATTTCGTGTCATAAATATTAGACCAGTGCTCCAAAATGCGACTGGAATTTACAGAAATTGTGATAACATCGACAGAACTACTATTTCCTACTATTTCTGATATAACTGTTTCAAACAGTTATAACAGATTTTGGAAAGTTCCGTCTGACAGCCCAGTATTCGGTCCGACTTCGGACCCATCCGTCAAATTTCTGACAATTCCATTGGATGTCTGACGCTATCCAACGATTTCGGTCATTTCCGTCTTATGTCCGACACTATTGTCTGATGTCGTTCTTTTCTGTCCAATTTGGCGCACTGTCTCCTGATTTCAGACACCTTGGCCCATTATTTTTTTTTTACAATAAAAAAAACACTCCCGGGATAGAGAAGGGTAAATGTCATACCTTTGAGTAGGCAAAGTTTGAAAATATTTTGTCGAATTCTTTGTTTAAATTAAACCTAGGAGAAAAGAAAAAAACAGAACGTAAATTATATGTTCAGTGATCTTTACTAACTAAAACTGGCAAAACGTGATAGATTGTCAGGCTCTGATCTTAGTGTCAATCTCTTAAACAGCAATGTTCTTGTTTTAACGATTCAAAATTTGCTATGTCAAGAGTTATCAATGAACGAATTTGCCAAGATGATGCCACAAATTGACCTTGTTCAAGTAATGTATGAGTCCTGTGTATCTTGATTAAGGTCTGTATTATGTGTGCTTAATTTCAGTTAGGCATGATTTCATTTTTTTTTCTTTTTTTTTTTTTTTTTAGGAGGGGAGGAGGTCTGTTCTTAGTTTCAGTCCATAAAGAGGTGGATATTAAACCTTTTTTGATCCAATCAGTTTTTTTTATAAGACTTCTTTACCTCACAATAGCATCCTTTATCTCTTTAGGAGGTGTGTCACGCCCAACTCGTGACATGTCCTTCTTCCTTCCCGCTTGTCTTTGCAACTCAAGTAGAGCTTCAATAATGGTTTGACACTGTTGATGAAATATAACCCTCAGTTAAATGCAGTAATAATTTCACTAGTATAATCTCAACGATTAAGTAAGATTTATATCTTTTTTCATGGCATACCTCCTTAAAGCCAAATCTTACAGCTTCACAAAATCTCTCAGAGCTCACTTCTTGAGCAAATGCCTCTATCATCACTGAAAGTCACAAGAACACTGTTTTTAATACCATCAGTTTGAAAGTTATTTATCATAGATTCTTATTCTGTTGTTTGACTTAATCAAAGCTAAGTGGAAAACACAAGTTGTACAGTGCTACTTTATTTGCTATGAATTAAGTTTTTCCCACAGCTCAGCACTTCAAACATTCAACAGGAACTGAGTTGTAAATCAAAAGTTTCATTACTCTTGGGAATCAAAGAAACTCTTATTATTCTCTTATGCTCCTAAAAATAATCATCCAATTCCCTTCAATAATGATGAATACCAAGTACAGTTTCCTTTAACCCTTTAACTCCCAAGATCTGATTATTAATTCTCCCCTCTAGCTGCTGTAAATTAGTTACAAGAATTTGGTGTTGGATCAAGATGGCAACTTGTACCTGATAAATTTGAGTATTCTCATCACCCGTTTGCTGGATATTGTATGGATATTATTGGGAGAAGTTGCATATTGATCACTGCTGGGAGTTAAAAGGTTAATCTTTGTCTCATTCTTAATTGTTTTATTTTTCTCATAAAAACATCATTCTGGTAAGCAAATTAAGTTTCATTCTTTAATTTAATTGTCAACCCTAGTGGAAAAGCACATGCTCATTGATAATGTTGGGAAAATGTGACCTTATGTATTTACAACTAAACAGTTGCTTATATTCTCATCTTACCAACTTTTGTTTTACTGCAAGCAACAACAAGATTCAACTTGCTGATACTAAGTTCTGACCATGTGGGATTAATAACAAACTTTCCATCAACCTCTCCAACTCTAACAGCACCTAAAATATAAAACCACAAACAAAATAATTTCATTCAACTGATTGAAAGCTTTTTCTATTATTTCAATCCATAATTTTTGACCCTGTGTCTCAGTTTTTTGACATAACATACAGTTAGAAAGACAAATTTAGTTGACAACCCACTGAGGGTTCAGTTTCCCACTAGTGAAACACAAAAGCTTCCTCTTCTTCTCATCCTTTTTTATCAAATTAACTAAAAGCATAAAGCAAGTCCAAAGCTGACATATACTTCATGAAATGCAAAATGGCCAAGAAACCTGAAATGTGTTACAAGGTGGAACTGATTTTAGAAGCATGCTCTTGAGTGGATTATCATTTAAGGGGTATAATGAAACCAGCACTGAAATACATTAAGCTTTTATCCAACATCTTACCAATGGGACCACTCCAAGGGATATCAGACACTGAAACAGCTGCAGAAGCTGCAACAAAATACAGATAAAATAGTACTCAAATGTTAGTACCAAAATTAGTGAGTACTTAATTTCTCACTTTGTCTCTTGATGTTTGTTTGGAGTTCATCAGATTTTTGTTTGTGATTTGCTTCCTGTCTTTGTGCTCTAATGTCACCAGACCAGTAGCACAAAGACTTCAGTGACTCCCAAGCTAAGGTTCTTAGAGTGTCCACCAATATTTACTTGATGACATAGTATATCTCAGTTTCAAAAATATCAAGTGACTTGGAGTTCTGCTACTTCCCCTCTCCATTCCCCCATGGCATGAATGGGATTTCAGAAAAAAATGTTATTATTAAGTTATTATTAAAACTGACCTCCATTCATAGCAGCAATATCAGGATCATGAAGCCCAGTTGCTGCCCATAAAATTCCTGTTACCTGTTACACATTCAAACAAAAGGAATAACACACAATTCTAAGTGAAAATACATGTAATATTAGATAGATACAAATATTTCTAACAGTTATTCTTCATATAAACAGCACACCAGTAAATATCAAAATAATGCTCCACAAATATAGTCTTGGATATAAAAGATGTTTTAGTGCAAGTAGACAGAGAGAGATGTCTCTAGAAATAGTCTACCTCACCAATGCATTATTTAAACATTTCAACCCTTTTGAGGGTTAAAATGGTGTGTTAAAACACCCTACCCTCAGTATGCATATTACCTATTCTATTCTCTTTACATTTCCTGTGGCTGACAGTGAGAGTTCATTTAACTATCAAAACATTCTTTAGTCAATGATCATCTCCTTACTTCTTGTGATCTTAATGTTTGATTCTAGGATGACACAATGACTGCAAGGAAAAATTAGATCCTGGTCACTCTAAGGGCTTTAAGGGTTAAATAGAACACCATCAGTCTCCCTTCACTAACTAAATTAGTTTAAAAGAATAGGAAAATGCCAATCTTACCTGAGTAGAATCATGGTAACCATTGGGGAATAATGACCTGAGTGATCTGTCTATTAAAGAAGAAAGTGGAAAATGAGTTTCTGATTTATCATAAAGTAAAATGCAGTAAATGGTTTGAACCTGGGGGTAACATGTAATGTTATGTATAATGATGGTCTGGGTGAGTGTAGTCCTGAGAAGGACTGTTGTCGCTAGTAGTGACTGATGTTTTGACAACCTGAGCAGAAGTTATCATCAGAGTCAAGTGAATATTTGTTGTCAGTCAAATGTTCTTAGTCCGGTTTGTACAAACTGATTGTTTGGTTTTGCTGTGATGTTATTGGCTGTAAGACTCAAGTGGTGTATGTCAGTTGTGATTGGTTGGTCTTCATCCATTAGTAAGAAAGGTTGTTCTGTTTGGTTCATTTGTAATGTTAATGTCGTGAATGAGTCATTTGTATGGCAACAGTAGTGGTTGACACTTGTTGAGGGGAGTCTGTTTCAAGTTAGTAAACCAGCTTTCCAGGGTCAGTCATTGATTCAACTGACAACAACTTTTGACTGATGACATCATTTAACTGACACCAACGATTCACTTGACTCTGATAACAACTTCTGCTCAGGTTGTTGAAACATCAGTTACCACTACTGACAACAATCCTTCTCAGGACTACACTCACACAGACGATCAAACTACACTATTGCATAAAGTAAAATGGTAGACGATTCCAAAAAGTTTCATTCACTTATGTGTCTCTTCTATTTTTAGCCACAAAATCCCTTCTAGGTAAGCTTTCTGGGGTCCATACTTATGACTTGATGTTATAGTATGCACCATGAATACAAAAGAATAATGATCAAATAGATATGAAAGATATTGGATTTTTTCAGGAGCAAATGTATCAACATGGTGGCCCCTAGTTCTCTGAGTCCAGATTCAACTATAATTTGGTATAATGTTGGTACTTCTAGAATGAAGAAAACCAAAGAACCTTTTAGAAAATTCTTAGAGAGAGAGAGAATACAGAACACAAAAAATTCTCATACCAATCCGTCTACTGACAATTGTTTCTCTTTCGGATAAAATAACATCTTTCCTGAAGAATGTTTTAGGAATCTGGCCTCCTGCAGCTGCTTTTTCTTTATAATCAACCTGCAATGACACAACAGAAACAGGTAAATAACAAATCATATTTAAGATTTAGATTCACTGACTCATAAAAAAGGAACAAAGTACACCTTACTTTTAGATGCAAGCTTTTGTCACCAGTTGGTTTTGATTTCTTATCCCCAACAACAGCAACTAGAGTAGAATTCCCTCCATGCTATAGGAGATAGAAATATTGTGGAAATCTAAATTTAGGGATGTGATATTTTCTGTGTACATATAATGAAAGATTCAAATTTTAATTTTAATGGTTATTGGAGTGAAAAAAAAGCAATAGAAGTATTTGATAATTGAAAATTGGCTTCAGAGACACAAAATTTACTCATTTCTTTATAACAAGAACTTAAAATTCTTTAGGCAGAGGTGAACCATTTGATTGGCCCTTCAGGGCTCCCTTTTTCTAAAGGAGCCCACTTTTCTGATAAAGCCATAACACTCCAGATCTCCAGATGACCACACAAGGAAGTTACAACACTAATTTACAAAAAGGGGCTAACTTGATCAGTGCGCAGCACCTAAGTTATTCTGTAAAGATGGCTAGTAATCGGCCTCATCTAGCTATCTTGACCTCGCAAAATAGGCATTATTGCTTGTATGTATCTTGAATACCATGCCCTCAATGTTTAGTTCAAGCTTGCGTGGTTGACATCGAGTTCCAAGACTGTTCAAATTGTTATCTTTATTGTCTTTGGTACAGATGCTTAAACAAGTTGGATCTTTATGGACTTCTGATGAAAAACAATATTATCCACAGGTGCAAAACTGGTATCAACTTGACTTACGTTACTTCGTAATAATATTAGGTTTGCAACATACCTTATGGAAAGTATCAATTCTTAATATAAAACTTATTTTAAGGATTAATAATAATTGTAATATATTGAAGACAACAGCTTACCTCAGCAACCACGGCTCCGTCTGCCAACCTAGCCATTTTACCCGTTGCGAATGACATTTTTCTACGACACAAACATGACCAAAACTGTTAAAAAATTAAGCTTAATTATTTAATTAAGGAATGAATAAGGTCCTAATATTTCGCATATTTTCCATCGATGGCATATACCACGTGAAAAGATATCAAGGGTGTTAATCCCACACTTACTGGCCTCCAACTTCAACCTCAACTGCACATTCTGTATGTTTACATCTCTGCAACAATCTTAGTCTCTTCAAAGAACTCCACCGTGCCAGAAAATGCTCTTTCTCCAAACGCAAGTTCGCACGAAACCTCGCGAGGGACGCCATGTTGAAAATGACTACTTGTTGTTCTTAGTTCCCAGTACATCGCGCTGTACTGCCATTCGAAGATCAGGAGAAGCCGCAGGAAAAATCAGTCGTAAACAAAAACATGAAGCGTAGGGGAATGGAGCGAGGAAAGATAAATTGAGATTTCTGAAGGAAGAAATTTGGGAAAATTTACAACCCACAAAACATTTTATTTTAAAATATTAACATTGTGTGCACACAGGTTGTGATTTAATAATTAACTTTTAATAACTTTCAGGCCATTGTCCTGTTTCAGACTTGAGGCCTTAACAGGTTGTCACTCACACTGTATGATGTTCACTGACTGCATTGGCAAAGAAAATCTGGCTGAAAAAACAAGCAAAAGGTTCAATTCTAGCCCACTCACATCTCTTATGGCACCCAAGAGTTTGCCTACAGACTACTTGCCCTGGAGCAGTAATGTTGACATCCATACTAGATGTTTTCAAAGTGAAGAAGTTGACTCAAAATTGAGGTTTGAGCTACTGGCCTTAAATTCCTCAGTTACATGTGGTATATAGAACTACTGGCACAGATAATGACTCTAAAGGTCATTCAGAGATTGTGGATTGGAAAGGGCTCATGGAAGCTGTTTGTCAGGTTTACGCAAGCAAACTATGATCCATTACTTCTTTCCTTTCATTAAGGACCTCTATGGGCAAGAAGGTATAGTGTTTTTAGAAGTTAGCCTTCTAAATGCAGTTGATTCATCAATATCAAATAGGAGAGCTGATCATGATGCAAGAGAATGTTAAATGAATAAAGGGGGTAAATTTCTAAAGAAACTGTGGTGTTGCATCAGTGGGAGGGTATAATAGGTAATTTAGTGTTAACTGAGTTGAAAACATAAATTAGCCACCATAAAGAGTAAAAAAAGCTGATGTTTTGAGTGTTAGCCCTTCATCAGAGTGATTGACGAATCGCTCTGACGAAGGGCTAATGCTTGAAATGTCAGCTTTTTTTACCCTATATAGTGGCTAATTTACATTTACAACTCAGTTGTTAACACTAAATTACCAAGAGAATGTTAGTCTCCTTTGAAGCCATTGTTTGGTCTTGTTATGCAACATGCTCTATCCCCCAAAACCACACTCCAATGCACACCCTTCCAACCCCTTTTAAGAAGCCCACCAATCCTTTTAGGGAAGCTGTGTTACTATAGGGCTGATTTGTACATTTTAATGTCCAACATTATAATCAAGAATTTAAATTCAGAGAATTTAAATTCCCATTTGGTAGATACTCAAATTTTAAATTTGATTTTAGACACAGCTGATATCTGTGAAGAAACCAAAGACAAACCACCTTTCAGTATTAGACAATACTCGACTTTGCCACTTCTTTCGAAAACTTAATATACTGACAACAGTGTAGACATATTCAAACATTGCATGAACATTCACTCATTTGACTTTTAAGCCAGCACGTAAAAGTTATGATTGTCATTTTGTCACTTTGGATCTATGTTCATTCAGCATCTGGGTGCTTCGCCTTCCATTCAGCTAAATCTTGAACATACTGTTCACGAGCAAGGCGGTATTCCTCGATGTACACCTCTTTCTCCTCATCAGACAACTGTTGCCATCTCTGTCCCAGAATTTTCAGCCGTTCAACAGGTGATTCACTTTCCACCTCCCCCAGGGAGTTCAGCATAAAACGAACAAATGGACCAGGAGGTAATCTGGGTTTACCCACATTTAAAAGTTTGCGCTTTTTCTTGGCAAGAGTTCGCATTTCTTCACCACGTTTTTGTAACAGAAAGGCTCTTTCCTCGTCGGTTAAATTTTGATCGAAGGTCAAAATTTGCTTGTTGTATTCATCAACCAAGCTGTCGTATTTCTCTTTCAGTTGTTCCTTATCATCGTCAGACATGCTATTCCACTCACTAGATAATTCTCTCATAACGTCAGGAGCTGTGGACCCCGGAGACAAACCAGATGTAATTCTGGAGTAGTTCTCTTTCACAAACAAACCGAATACTCCAGGCGGTTTCTTCGGCAATTTTTCCAGAGGAGCTTTGTACAAGTTCATTTGTTTATCATGTTCTTCTTTGTAAGGGTTTTTTTCTTCTTCAGACATCTCCCTCCATCGGTCATGTAAAGCTTTAGTGATTTCTTGTTTGGGTCTGTCGGGATTTAACTTAGCAAGTTGCTCCCGATTTGCAGAAGCAAACAACTGATACGCTGTAGGAGGGCGCTTTATTTTCACTTGAAGCTCTTTCTTTGAGGCAAATGCGTGTGTCAACACAATCCGTGGCACGTAAACTTGTCGGACTAGCAGGGATTCTTGCACTAAAGCGATAGAAGAGCGAATAAGGCTTACTCTGGCTAACATGATGTTCGTTGCACGAGGTGGAGAATGTTGCATGACCGCCAAAATGACTAGCACCCAGCAAGGGACGCTGGGATACTTAATTAGGCAGACTTAGGGCTTCCCCGGGTCATTTGAATTCCAGAGGGGTGGCCAAAACCTTCCACAAGATGGGTAGGGTACATTTCTCGAAAACTTGTCGTTACCGAAAAATGAAATAGATAGGTAATTATCCTTTGGATGAGAAATTTATTTAAAGAAGGAAGGATCTCAAACAGCAAAAAAAGGTTTCAGGCTTTGTCAGGAATTGACCTATTTCCTCTCTGGTCAGGAAGAGGACAGTTTTTACTACTAAGGGTCTTTAATGGTGTTGCATGAAAAGAGATTTCACCAGCTCATCCAGGCACCTCAGAATTTTAAAACAGTTTGTTGAAATCAACAGTTGACAAACCTTTCACATAAAAAGATACTTTTTACAAACAGAACATTTTAAATGATTATTTTCTTGCACAACACTCCTATACCTAGCATGAGGAAACCTCACTTCATTACAAGAAACCTGAAATTCTTAACCTTGGTTAATCGTCAGAGCATATGGATCAGATATCAGCTAGATCAATCATAGTTTACCTTAACAAAAAGTAAGCAGAAGTTTCATTACATTCACAGAAGAAAACCTTCTAACACATTTTCGAGTAAGCACATATGTTGCTCTCTCCTCTATCCTGGCTTATTCTTTCTGTCGAAAAACTTTCCTCTCAGCCAATGTTGACAGAAAGGATCACTGCAATTATTAATGAAGACCTGAAAAGTGACTGAAAGGTTTCAGTCATTAAAATATGAGAATAAATTGAATTTCATTCAGCAAGTTCCATTCCTTCAACAGTCTCATCTTCATCCTCTGATTCCTGTGACCACTCAATCCCCTGGATGTGTTCAAAATCAACTAACTCTTGGACAGCAAATACTGGTCGAGAAAAAAAAAAAAAACAGACATGAGATAAGTCAACACCGATTCCACAGCCACACTGTCAGGTAATTTGCATCAAATTTAGTCTTCTATAGGACAAAGTCAATTAGAACACAATGATTTTTGCCTTCTCCTACTCTCCTGATCTTCCCACTGAGCATTTTACCCAAACATGATGTAAATTGAGAGTTGTGAACACACAGTGAAATTAAAATCAGTTTCCAAGAATCAGAAGACCACAAAGATCTAGCAGTCTGAGGAAAAAAACTGGCTACAACTGTATAAAAGAGCCAGAAAAAGTTTGAAGGAGTTATAGTCAGTAGGCCAGTTCATTTCACTTCAGAGATTGAGCTCTTTACCATAAATCAAAACTGGCTAATCAGACTGGTCTATTCATGTAGACAACAACCTCACTGATCAAAATTACCTTGCCATATTTATTAACTCCTAGATTGCAACTACTTCTCTGATTGAATTTTTATAAAATTCTTTAGCTCCTAAAAAAGCTCTAACCAGTGACATAATAGCTGGTCTAATTCCTTACTATTTGATAAGGATCACAACTGAGGCTTCATTTGCAATGAAAAGCCAAGCTAAGTTCCTGTTGATGAGTTGTACTAAAGTGATTAATATTAATAAACAGCAAGGTGAGAAGTATAGAAAATACATTCCAACTAGTTGACAAATCTTTTAGTATTACATACATTAATTAATATTTCAATCACTTTTCTGACTGTGTTTTCATTACCTTCTGCCTCTGAAATCACACCAACAATCTGCTTGTAAAGTCTGGTAACACTGCTCACAACATTAACATACTGATGTTCTACTTCAGCCCGATGCTCCACAAACATTCGATCATTGAGACATAACATGGAGAGAAGAAACACACCTTGCCTCAGTAACATTAGACTGTGGCTGAAAAAAATTTGAGAAAAAAAGACAAGAAAAATATCAAACAGAATATTTTTGTACACAGTTACAAGAAAACCATGGTGGAATAAATTATAGACTGACTGATTACATCAGGTCCCTGTCTCTCAAAAGTTCTGATAACTTTATGGGCCTGTAGCCATACTTTAAAATATAAATCTACAACACGGCAATCCACAGGTCTTAGGTCAAGGGTTAAGGTTAGCACCATGGAAAGGAAAATCTTAGCCTTCTAAAGTACTCAAAGTGTGTAGCATATATTATCATATATCAATTTGTGAAGATTTTTAGATTCAAAGTTTTTAATTTCAAACACTCTCTGGTTTCAACACAAATAAATTTACCTGTTATGTGTATGGTCAGTCAGTGCCTCAGATGGAACTTGGCTGAGAGAGTTCAGTTCTTTATCCAACATCAATACAAGGCACTTGATTAGCTGAAAAATAATTTGGTAATTCCATCAATACACCAATCAAGAAAAGCTGTAATAATATGGATAACCATGACAACTTTGGGTCTCACTCTTTGAAAGCAAGACTTATATGGAATTTGGGAGTATTGTCACCCAGTGTTATAAATAACCCTCTCACAACAAACAGAAGGGTTCAGACATACATTGTACCTCGAACACCAAGGCTGACCAACACCCATAATACATCAGTCAGGAATATTCACTATTTATTGATTATTTATTGATTAATATGGCAAAAAATGAATTATTTGTTCATGTGACATGGTAAAGCTTTTCATTTCATCTCAGAAGCTGTGGATTCAAACCAATGCTCGTAAATTTCAGAAAAAATAAAGGGTACCTGTACATAGACAACTCTGAGAGGATAGAAAAAAATATATATTACAGGTACTAAGAGTAGCATTTAAGTTTACATATTGCAGATGCACTTAATTCTCTAAAATTGCTTCACCTCAAGGTTGCAGTGGCATTCACTCTCCAAGGGAAATAATAAGACTGATGAGTCTGAGTTTTTAAGGAGGTTATTGACAAAAGTACAAATCTAAGAAGCAAAACAGAGGAAAAAAATCAATTTTCATTAAACAACTTTAAGAGTTTCTTTGCTTTCACCACTAGAAGTGAGGCTTTCATTAAGGTGCTATAATGACAAAAGAGATATTTTTAATAGGAAATGTAGTCATAAGGAGACGTGAATGTTCGTCTGAGATCTCAGAGAAGGAAGTTTTTTTCTTTGCCCCACTCATTTCAATTTGGAAGAAAAAAACCAAGACTTTTCCAACTGAAAACACACCACAGCCATATATAATGGGATTTAAATTTCCTGGAAGGTATGAAATATGGAGACTTTTAGAAAGGCTCTTCTACGGTTTCTGTTTTGTACCTTTAAATGAACTCCTTGATAGCATAGGTCAGGAGCATTAGCCGGCTTAAAAAGCCATCCCTGATAAATCTTGAGTAAAATACAATCATCTGTGTGATAAGCAAAGAGTAGTTTGTTAAACAACTGCACAAAAACCTGTTGAGGTGTGTCCATAGACAAGCTGAAGTAGAAATACCAGAGGCAGAGCCAAAATCAAAATGAAAACAAGATCACAATGTTTGATTGCCAACATAGTCTCTACTGAAAACTTGTCTTAAAGCAGAAACATGAGTCTGACACAATGTTTGATGTTTCACCTGATTGGGAACAGAGTCTTCTTCGAAAACAGCTGTATCTGGTTAAAAGTGTTAGGAGTGATGTGACCAAAGACAATGTGTTAAGAGTCCAGTCTTTGGACAGACAATGTGAAAGAAGGTTTTCAGTCAACAACGGCAACAGTCTGAAACATAAAATAACTTTGTTTTTACATTGTATTTTTGTATTCCTTTTAGAAAAAACATATTATCTTACATTGGTGTCACAATCGCAATCTGAATGTAAAGCCTACAGATAATAACAAATAATTTGCTATCACTGGAAAAGGTTGAATGTGATTTTAAGAATTATCAAGGCTGAGCTTATTGTTATTTGATAAAGCTGATGGTTAGGCAAAGCTGTCCCAAAACCAAGTTCAGGTGTCTGTTATTACCTTATTAACAAGTCATTGTACTGTTCTAGCATTTACAAACCTTGGGAAGAATTTAACTTCACAATTTCTTGCCAGTGAAGTGAGGACTTGTAGAGTATCATGAGCAACATTCACAGAATTATTCTAAATAATTCAATTAAAAAAATAAAAAATGTTAACATTGCCTTGACTTATCACAGAAATACATTACTTGAAAAACTAATCAAATTTGCCACCACATAAATTAGGTGATTTTTTTGCCATAAGTTACTAGTGATCCTATCAAAAGTCAAATGGAAAACCTTTAGATCATTCCCTCAGGCCCTGTGCTACTGACCTATATGAAACTTGAGGAAGAAGTGTGTCTAAATAAACGAGCAGCACTTATTCTCAGTCTCTTAAGTCAATCTTCCTTTTAATTGTCAACTCATTCAAATCTTAAACTATAATCCCATACATCATAAACAGGTCTAAATCTCTGTGCTACCACTGACAGTAGTAGTGATATAAACAAGAACACACAAGGAACTCACAAGAAAGAAAGAGAAAACTCTAAAATAAAAATCCTTTTCTACCCTCATGGGGGTCTAAACAAGAACAATCAGTTCTATTTACACTAACTATTAGTCTCTGGCAACAATTTATGAGAGACAAGAACATGAAAAGACCTTAAATGTTATAGTGAAGCCATTGAAAAATGATTTACATGACAAAGGTGGTAGGTTTATGTATGATAATTCAAAGAATGATGACATTTTTCAGACAATAGCATCAAAAAACTCATATTTGCATGCATTGCTTAACAAATTTGTCATAGCATGAATTACTGACATAACTGTAGTTTGTATTCAGCATTTCTACTCACTGGTTGAGGTATTATTAATCTGAACATGTAACCCAGTAAATCTGTGTGATAAACATTCTCCTCATTGCCAATCCTCTCTAGAAATCAAAACCAACAGAATGAAAAACAAAATTATCCAGTAAGCACCACATGAATATCAAGTAAAAAGCTTTTGGCCTCATAATTTTCAAAGTAACTTTAAGATATTTATCACTCTCAAGAAGTTATTGAAGCAATTTTGCAATGACCATCATTCTAACAAGCATGTCTACCCTTCAAAATAAATAAAATCAGTTAAAGACATCATTTGCCACACCTGTTTCCACAGAGGTCTCCACCATCAATTTGCCTAAACTGGAAATGTGTGAGTTAATGTCCACAGGACTCTTTAAAAGAAAATAACCAGGAACAAAATTCATATCATCTTTTAAGGGTAAAACACAGGATTTCAACATCTCTATATTCATTTGTTTAACAACAGAGTAAATATTTTGTGGCAAAAGTAAACCCTCAAATAGTGAGGATTTTCTTCAGTTCAACAGTCATTTTTAAGCCTAGGTGCAAATAAAATCACATTGGTATATTATAAAAATGTAGCAAAGGCACTAAAAAAGTTATATGGTATATTTTCATATAAAAACAAAAATAACAATTCTATCTAACTAAAGATATTTGAAAATTAATAGATTACTTTTTTTGCAGCAATTTTAATGCTTGAGAACAATGGGTGTTGAATGAAGCCATCTTCGTCTCCTTTACTTGAGAATATCTGTAAAAAAGAAAAAAAAATAGAGATAAAAATAAAAAAAATAAAAAAACACTCCCACAATAGTTGAGCAACTGTAAAAGGCATGTGCTGCTAGAAAATTTAACAAAAACTTTACACCACAGAGGTATGGTACGGTTGGTTATAGAGTAGTGTTTTTTTCTCTGGTTTTAGTCCACAAGTGAAAAAGACATAACATATACAGCCAATCTAAATTATCAGCCCATTAGTCACATCTTGTTTAGCAGGTCTTTTACTATCTCTTGTCAATGTCATCAACTCTGGCTCTGATTGGGTTCCTCTACCTAGTCACTAATTCAACCCACCTAAAGTCGTCCTTGTTAAAAACATGGAAATATATCTTAAGATGCATTCAACTGTGGAAAACACATGACGAGACACAATACTAAAAAAAATGTGAACTCTACAACCTGAAACAAGACACAAATATAGGTCTTAACAGCTAAGCTTTAGCCTATGTTTTATATGAACACTTCAAATTTTAACAAAGAAAGAAGTAATTGGGTGGGATTTTAGGAACTTTTTCCTATCAGTTGACTGTGACTTTATGAATTAGGCCCAGGACTTTTTAGGAATCAAAATGGAAATGATTTACGAGAAGAGAAACGCACTAACATTTACCTTAGCTATTTCATCATTTGTGTCTAATACATTATCACTGTCAACTTCATTACCGTCACCATACACCGTCGCTGACTTTAAAATACATTCACAAACTTCACAGCTGTGTAGCACAAGAATGTTCAGAAGTCTCAGTGAAATTAGTGCATTTGTTTGTGATGCTGCAAGTTTTTTTGCATGTTCACTTTCAAGAAATAGACTTTCTCTAGACTCTGCAGAGTCATTTGTTGGAGAATTTCTTGGCAAACAAGTACTGACAATGTTTTCATCATGGTGTTCTGTCCTTTGATAGACATAATAGGCAATGTAGTTCTCCAGTAAGGGTAGAAGTTTAACTGCTGCTGGCAAATGACGATTTTTTAAAACAGAATTTAAGGTTTTTTCTTCACTTTCATCATTTCCTTCTTGGTGATAATTTAGAAGCCCAGATAAAGTTTGCATCACAGAACTGCTGTCAGACATAACAAAAGAATCTTTCTGAGTGACACCACTTGTAGACCTGGCTATTTTTGAGGCAGCCTGAGTTTCAAACAGTCTCAAAGTATGTGTGACATCTGTCTCATTCATAGAGGTTTTCGGTATGGAAGATGTAGGGTAAACATTTGAACAATTTGTCAGAAGAGAGAGGATGCTATCACAGCCATCTTGTTCCTGAAGGATGTGCTGCTGATCTTTTTCTTGTGGTGATAACAAGTTTTGTACAAGTTCCACTTCTGCAAATTTTTCAACAAGTAATTGTGTAATGGCTATTTCAGCAGCATGATTATCTCTTCTATGGGCCCTCATTATGTCCACGGTAGAACTGCTACTGGAAGAGCCACTGAGTCCTGCGTTTTCCGAATTTTCTCCCTCAGAGAATCTTGGTGAGTTCTGTTTGCTCAGGGTTTTAACATCCTTTTCAATCCCTTTTGTCCTTGGTGATTTAACTTTGCTTTCTGGAGATGTTTTCTGGAAGAATGATTTACCAGTTGGAAAAGTTTCACTGATATTGACTGGTTTCCTTTTTGGGCTGTTACAACTTCCATCTGTCAAAGACCCTGTTCTTTTTTTGTTCTGTTCTATCATTTGTGAAATTTCTTGTTCTTTGAAAGAGATTTGAGTAGTTAAGTTTTCAACTTGTTTAAGCAATTCTCTTTCTCTATCACTCTGTTCTCTAGCTTGTTTTTCATCTGCAGCTTTTTTCTCTGCTTGCCTTCTCTTCTCGTCTGCTTGATAATCTGCTAGAGAATCACGTAACATCTTAATTTCTCCATCTTTACAGAATTTATCCTCTTCCAGTCTTTTCACTGCAGAGTTTGCAGCAGCACTCTCAGTTTTGAGTTTTTCAATTTCTTTTTTCAAGTTGTGCATTTCTGTTGGCTGACCACCTTCTGAGGGCCTTGGCACAAGACAATTACCTCTTTCTACTTTTCGATCATTGTTCCCACCTACATCACTACTTTGTATAGAAACTACCCCATTACGCTGGTCCACGAGTGAATTCAAGAATGGTTCACCTTTTACCAAGGGCTTGATATTATTAGGTGCATGTAATTCCATTGAATTAGCTAAAGAGACATAATCTTGTGTACACTTGACTTCGTGATTCTCATCAAGACCCACGTTCGAGGAAACAGTGACATTTCTACCAGCAGTACTTTGCTGTTGGTGTAGTGGATGTAAATTGGATGAAGCGGGTCGATCACATTCGTCCAAATGTTCAGCTGTCAAAAGATCGTTGTCGTCGAGGTCATCTTCCAAAGTGTAAAACTCTTCGTCATCAAAAGCATCGAGTGGAAGGTCACGACAAGCTTCCTGTGCCACAATATCATCTGCTTTTCTGTCAGATAAGCTATGACAACTTTTAAACTTTTTGTGCGGTGATTCCCGATGTACAGGGGTTCGTACCACTGATTGAGCATGGACAACACTTGCCGAGTTCCTATGCTGAGGTTCAAGCGGATTGCTTACTCTTGAGCATGATGCAACCGGGTTGTAGATAAAATTTCGTCTCTTCTGATTTCCCAGAAAATTGTTGTTGATGGAGTTTGCCATAGTACAAGAAGCCAAAATATTTCGTACATTTCATTAGGAATCGAAGTTTACCGCGAATATTCTGTAAGCCGTGGAGATTGCTGGGATTCATTGTTAGGGTTGAGACCGCTGAGCTATAGCAATGCAGACGTCTTTTTCAAGAAATCGGCTTCAGTCTTACGCGGTCAGATAACATATAACTTGGAGCCCCAAAGAATTTCATCGAAGTCGCAAAAATATAGGAAACAAAAACTAATTTTACTTTTGGAAGCCAAAGTTTTTTTCGAGCCCTGATTTAGTCTCTATTTGTCAAACCTACCAATTTTTCAAACCAAAAATTATTTTCCCCAAAACCGCGAGGTTGGAAAACGCTTACCTTCGAGAGATTTATTTATTTGTAGATATCCTTGATAAAAATAGCATTAAAAGAATGTTCTCCTTTTGAAAATATCCGTGGGCACCGATGTCTCTCACTCCTACCCCTCTATTATATTACTTAGTATCTCATCTCCCACCGAACAGACTTACCTGTATTTCCGTCATCTCCAAGCCTACCATAATTTTATTTTATCTTATATCCCCTCCCTTTTTATATGAATCATTCCCTCCTCCCTTATGTGTACCTTTGAATCTGCCATCTCCCAGCCCCTAATAATCACATTTGTATTTTATCTCCCTCCCCTCTTTATGCGAACCGAGAGACGATCCCTTGTATGAACCCGTCTTCAACCCCTCCCTTACGGTACCATTAAATCTCATTCCTTATCTCACTATGTCTAACTTTGTGTATTTCGTCTCCAAACCCCCTTATGTGCATTTATATCTTATCTTGCACCTTTCTCCAATCTTACATCTCATTCCTAATCGATTCTCCTCTATTTACATCCTTATCTTTCAACTCCCACTTCCATATGTACTTTCACATTACGCCTTCCCTTTCCCATGCGAATCGTTTATCTTCCATGGCTTTGAATCTCAGTCCACACTGCCATCAGCAGTTAACTGAAGTAAGGAAAAGTTTAGAGGTTGACAGATGGATTAAGTATCCTTTTTCTTGAAACCTTATAAAAAGAAATACAACGTAAAAAAAGAAAACTCTAGGCTGATGCTAGATACACTTGCAGGATTTATGGCCTCAAAGTTTTTTTCAACTGCCAAAGAGCACAGAGGAAACGAAACTGTTTGACGTAAATTTAATGCTGATATTAACCATCAAGTGATACAAAAGTGTTTCAGTACAACAAGTGTATAAAGCAGGACTTCAGTATGTCGATCATGAAATGATGTACGGAAAAAATGACCGTTACGTTAACAGATTATTTGACCGGTCAGTCAGTAAGTCAGTCAGTCATGAGATAACGTACAACAAAGGCAGTGAACAGCATACAGGTCAATATTAATTGATTGTGGAGAGAGTAAAATTTTAAAAGCTTTTACAGTCCGTAATCTTAGAATGACGGCGGGTACGCCAAATAAACCGCTAAGACTTATGTTTGAACGTAAAGATGATTGCATACTGAACTTTGCTGAGAATCAACGCTGAACTGAAATGTCATGTAAAAAGGCCTAAGTGCCCACAATACTGTTATATTTACATATTTACATATATATTTACAAGCCATATACACTTTCTTCTAATTTGTACTTCACTCCTGCGTCTTTCTTTATGGACAATAAATAACTCTTCAGTGGTAGATGAAGAAACTTTCCAATCATGTCTGATCGATTCATAAACTACTTAGTAGCCAACAAATATTGAGGGGGAGCCTCTGGATTCTTTTCAATGTTTGTCACCATGATCACAAACTCTGAGGAAAGAAATGATTATCTCAATATAATGTAAATTAAAAAAACGAATAGATCATCTTAGTTTGGGCATCTCGTTATAGGAGGGATTTTGTTAAAAGGGTTAAGTGGTCTTATAAAGAGAGTTTATCTCAGTTTCTGTAACATGAAACGACGAGGAGTGTTGCCGCTTTTACTTTACAGGATGTTATTCCACCTTTTTTTTACTGGTAGCCATTTATTATCATGGGTGTCTTAGCCGAGAACGCCAACACAGTTACCCATACCCGGCCGGAAACTCGAACTCAGGCTTTTTAAAACCAGACGGTAACTACCGGGCCACATTTTCTTTCCCGCTTTAGATTTTGAGACATGTGCAATATGATATGATATTTCTTCTTTACTTTTCTCGATCATATATCTCCCGAACAATATCATTTTTTAATTTACTAGATACATTTATTGTCTGAAGCTGTCAAGATATCAAAGAGCAAACTGTCCACAAACAGTTTATTAGTTATACCCTCAAAATTGATGTATCCGTCTCCATTCAGATCCGCTTCTTTCATCATTTCACTGACTTCTTCCTCTGTTAACTTTTCTCCGAGGCTCGTCATCACATTACGAAGTTCTGAATGACTGTCGGAACAATCAGTCAAGAAATAAGTAAGTAAATATATATAAATACTAAACAACATGGGGCCCATTCTTGTACATTAGGAAATTAAAACAGGGAAATAAAGCAGGTATTGTATATTTTTTCCATTGTTACTGACTCATTGTTGGAATGAGGCGAGGTCTGGAACTGATAGAATTACCTAGAACATAGGTGAATAAGCCATTCTGTGGAGGCTTTTGGAACATTGCTTAATTCCGATTATCCCGGCCCTTAACACCTGACGGTATTATTTATAGCAACTTTTTAAAGGGCTACTTACCACTAAATGTAAATTAGAAAGTATTGACTGACCGTGTCTTATATAAATCAAGATATCTTTTTACTTAATTGTCAGACGTTCTTGACTTCAAAAGAATTGTAAAATGAACTGCGTAGAATTTTATTTTTGAAACCTAACTAAGTGTCAAAGGTTGAAAATACCTAATCATTCCGTCTCCATTTTTGTCAAACACTCTGAATGCCTCTCTTATTTCGCTCTCAGTGTCTCTCGCTTGCATCTGTTTCTTCATCATTAACAAGAATTCTTCAAAATCCACCTCACCGTTTCCTTAAGATAACAAAAGGATTTCGTATTAGTTGCATAATTTTATTTCGTGAACTGAATCTCCGCATAAACATACGATTCAAACTAAACATAATATATTAGAAGTTAAATGAAAAAAGTAGAAATAACAGTCACGAGTGTGTAACGAAATGAAATTCATCGTATTCCAACAAACATCATCTTGCGTTAAAGATTGCAACACGGGTGGACGAGTTGGAGACAAAAAAATATAAGAACCCAAACTAAAATGTGCTGCATCACGGGCAGCGATTCGTTTAATCTTCCAGTATGCAACTGCAATTTCAACTATGTGGTAGCATTTTGACATCTGTTCGACGGTAAGATGGTTTGTCTACAAACTTGGACCAAAACAAGCCCTAAGTGCTATGGGTTTTTTTCCTTCTAAAATTGTTTTGAAATTTTAACGTCCTTCTTCTTCTTCCACAAAATGGACGACTTTTCCTTACTTATTTGAGAACTTCTCAGTGTACTTAATCAACACTTTCGCGATCTTTTGTTCAAACTGTTCCGAGTCACTACTTTCCAAAAAAGGCCATTATCCACTTCGTACGTAATTCCAGTGCTATAAAACACGACCCTGACAGGAGGGGTTAGCCACACCTAATACTAAGTAATCCTTCACTTGCGGTAACACTACTCACCCTACAACTGAAACTTGCTTTCAAAACGGACCGCGAAATATTGGGAACCCTCTCCCGGCGATCTAAGGGTACTCTATCGTACTGCTTTACACAAGCTACTGGTCATAACAACAGCTATTTTCACTTGCGGTTATTTGATATGACTGCCAAAGGTTTTAGTTATCATGAAAGATACAACTGAGATCAAATTTTTTCAAGATGTACTTATGGTCAAATTCTTGACAGTAAATAAGCATCCGCGACCATTTCGCGTTCAGCCACTAGACATTTATATTTTATTTTTACATAAACACTTTAATTTATTGATTCTTTGTTGAAACTACTAGGAAATATGTCCATTATTTGATTCAAACAAAAGCCGGATTAATCGGGCAGACGGGCTGTCGACAGAAATTCTGAAGGGAATTTGAAATAACTAATCCAAAAAACAATGCAAATAAAGGTTTATTTTCAAATTAAGACCAAATAAGACCTTGACATTGTAATGTAATTTATTTGTAATTCAATGTTAAATTTCATAGGGCGGTGTTTTGACGAGAGATAATCCCATTATTGGTGGTTTAAAATTATATTTCAGTATGGAGCTTTTTTTTTCACCTGAACAATTAACTCTTAAAAAAGCCGTCTTTATTTAGTAGTGTTCAAAAACAACCATATATGCTTCCAACCAAACACTAAAGATCTGGAAAAGCTGCGATATCGTGACATTTTCAGCAGCGTTTAACCTATGTACATGTACAGATATTTAACAAGTTCCCAAATATCTAAGGGGAATGCTGCTTTAATGCGACAGTGGTTTAGATAATTCACCCTGTTCCAAAGATGCTCGCTAAAGAAGAGCGATCTTTTTAAGGAACATGAGGTTATTTCAGCTCGCTGGCTGCCGCACGTCTTTCGCGAAAAAAGCCTAAGAACATCTGATAGCAGCTTAACAAAACTCAAACAGCATCCCATACAGAAAACTGATGAAAACTGATTGAAAATGAGTCCAAACGATACTCCTGATTAAGTATCTCGTCTCTGCTAAAGCGTTGTCGTAGCTTCAAACAGCGGGATACGCCTTTAAAATTTACCAAAATGAGATGACAAGTTGTACCTCGTGGACACAAGTTTAAATGGAGTACAAGATGCTGGATGCTTTTTTGGTAAAAATAACATAATTTCGCAGATGAATGAAGTCTCTCTGTCAATCACAAAGAGCTGGTTATGTTTGAATTGATCAAGCCTCATGGATAAGTTAATCAAACTCATTTCATGAGTTGAAAGATTTATGACAAATTTGGTTTGGAAAAATTTTTTTTTTTTTTTTTTTTAACTACACTGTTTGGCTTCAGGCACTGAAACGCTTTTCTTCCGAGATAATTTGTGCCCTAGTTTTTAAGATCTTATTTGAAAGAACGTAGGATCTTAAAGACAATGAACTGAAAATTCCCAATTTTGAAGAAAGCCTTTCTTGTTCAATTAAAGAAAGTCTGAAAATACTATCGACGCGATAGATTGAGATATAGGTATGTGTAAACACTTTCTTCGCGTCGAGCTAACTGCAACAGCTGACGACCGGCTGATTAATTCATTTATGTTCCTGGTTGTTTTTTAAGAACTTATTCACTTTGGCGTTCGCTTTACATGCGCTTCTTTTTCATTAAATTGCCTTTTTTGTTTGCTCCAAAAGAAAATGTGCCTCAGCTCTTGACGTAAGTTGAAATCGATCAACGATTACATAGCCTTCTTCACACTAAACAAGACACGTTTCTGTGCTGATTAAATCAAATAAGTCTGAAACGTGACTTCCTGATCGAGTCCAGATGAAGCGTGAAGATATTCCAGATTTTTCATGATATTCGTCTCAACCTGACTTCCCCTTTCAGTTACCATAGAATGCCAAAACTCGTCTCCGCTAAATCACCGATGAGAACAGGCTCAATGTGCAGCGGTGGCTAAAAAGCTCAATCATTCCAAGGAATGTATTTTGAATGTGCAAACTATCTCTACGTCCCAGGCGCCATTGCTTTATATAGCGTGTACTCATGGCCCTGTAAGGCGAAGACCATGTTTAGGAACCTCCATTAATATTGGTCTTAGACAATGAAAATGTTAACACCTATGTTCGAACTGAGAAAACTTAGAGTCAGTACCAGACTGTTTGATCCGCCAAAAAGAACAGCCAAAGAATTGACCATTATCTCTCCTTATCTCACCATTCGACAGTTGGATTTCATTGCGACAGAAAATAACTAATCAATGTTTGTTTATCATTGAAATGCAATATGAGATTTGAAGAAAAGTCCACTAAAATTTACATACCAAAGATCACCAATGTGTTTGGTTGTTTGATCCGGAGAGAAATGAATAGAAAAACACATTCAAATTTCCAAATATTACAAAGCAAACAACTTGGTCATTTCTTCCGATTGAAATCATGTAATATTTCCATTTCGCAAAAATCTTATCCTTTTGCAGCTTTTTATCATGTGAGCCTTTTTTTTACTAGTAATATATTGTATTAGGAATTTTTTTCCAAATCTGCGCGAATCGAAAATAAGCTTCACTAATACTTGAAAAAGATTCGTATATCGGCACGGTTCTATGTTTATTTTTTCGGTAAAAACTTTCCTGAAAATCACGCACCGATGAAGAAAATGAACCGAAGTCGAGTCTCTAAAGAACAGAAAAAGAAAAGCTACTAAAGAAATTAATTGATTTTGAGGAACCATCTGTGATTAAAATTTTGAAGGAAGAGGAATGCATGTCTTTCTTGCACTCATTAGAAAACAAAATCAATTTTCGTGAAAGCGTTTGGAAATTGGAAAGTGTATAGTAATACGTGCATAAGGTTTCATTATGTTAATCTGGATTTCCTTGTAAGTGGACAGAAAAATAATGGAATCTAAGAAAAATTAATTTTCCATTAAATTTGAAATATTTCTCACTTTTAAACAAGAAAAGTGGTTAATCTTAAAATTTTTAAGCCCTTGCAGATAAAATTTGCCACTCGAGAAAGAAGCTCGTAAAAAATCGCCAGCCGGCTGCAGAAAATTCACATTATTGTTAGGACGTGTTTGGTGATTAAGTGTAGATTAATTTTTCCTTTTTTCCAGCGGGGCCGAACGGAATCCCACAGGGAACAAAAATGGTTAAAAGTGAAGGAGTCTCCGCTTGATTTATCACATTTCACTTCTAATTCTATATTGAAGAGAACGTTTACAAATACAAAATCTTCCTTCTCACGTTTCTGCAACACTTTACACATTTGCGCAAAATCTACACAAAACCGAACTTGTTAAAGTTTTTGTAATCCAGATAAAATAAACCAGATTAAAAACTGTTCTGGTTTATCCTACGAAATTCGTCAACTTTTTGCAGTAAGTATGATTTTTGTTTGTTTCTGTGAAGATTCTCGAAGGATTTTCGTCAGCTGACAGTTAGGCTGAGGAGCAAAACTTTCAAGTGACCTGACATTTAAGACAAAAGCAATTTACCATCCACATCGACTTCGCGAATCATTTCCTGGAGTTCGTCTTCAGTTGGGTTCTGTCCAAGAGACTTCATTACTACTTCGAGCTCTTCATTCGAAATAGTCCCACTTCCATCTTTGTCGAAAAGTGAGAAGGCCTCACGTAACTCTGCGCACGAAGAGATAGTTTAGCTTTATTACAAGCGCTCTCGTCTGGTCAGCGCAACATTGTAGTGTTACAATCAAAATACATAAATAACATCTCTAGATATTTTAAAGTTAAGCGACGTCTTACCATTAATTTGTTCTTCAGTAAGTTGGCGTTCAACCTAAAAAAAAAATAAAAACATCGGACACCGAGCTAAAGCGAGTAAACGCCTTGGAAGAGGCATGAATAAATCCCAACTTATCCTCTATGTCTGAGCCTTGCGCGCGCTATCTTGCATTTGAGTTTATAACCCAATGCGAGTATTCATTTCAACGAGCGAGTTGCAGACTAGCCGCAATCAGCGCAGTGCTAAAACCCCAAAAAAGTTATTTATCGTTTGTTACGAATATTCACCATGATTTTGAAGTTTTTCCGCGTCGAGGGAACTTTCTACTCGGCGGCTCATACACCTCAGTTTGCGGTGGACGGATGTTTCCAATGATAAACAACTACAGATCGTAGCAATCAATACATACGGACAAATTCGCATAAATTTTCTAATGTTTGGCTGTCTCTGACGTCAGAACGTTTTGTGTGCTCGCCGAACACTTTGGGCTAATTTCCATTTGGAATTTAATGACACTCTCCAGCACCTGTCTCAAATTAAAATACCTGGGTCTGATTGGATGAAAAGCCAAACCAAGGTTGGTCCTCTCATTATGAGACACAGCAGAATCTTGTTGAAGAAACTTCTCTTTCTTTATTTTGTCTGTTTTAGAGAATTAATGATCCTCTGTACTACAGCCAAAGATCTTGTTGTCCAGCTTGGAGACTATGTAATAACGGCTGATTAATTGCTATTTCTTTTGTGGAAAAGGAGAAAAAAACTCGTCCAGAAATAGCTGATATGAATGATGGCCATAGCCGTTTACGAGGTGTCAATGGCTAAAATTTATTATTGTTGAAAAACGTTTTGAATTGTATCACTCAAACCCCAAGGCGAAGTGTAAAGACTACCAGTAGTTTGCTGTAAAGCTATCGATAAACGGCCAAGACATGATGGTCAGGAACTTCTCGTACACCACGTTTGAATTATATAATTGTGACTTGTGAAGTTAATTACAGGCTGTTTTGTATGTTATCAAATATTGGTGTTTGTGGAGGATTAATGCCACAGAACTGCTTTAGTGCTTTTAAAATAATCTGGCCTTAACGTACTGATTTGTTTCTTAGCTTGATTATAACGACAATTTTTGTAAAAAATTAAGGTCAGGGCCTAAACTGCGGAGAATAATCAAATATTTGCCTTTGGGAGAACAATTTTATGAATAAACCGTGAACATATTTGGTCAGAAATAACTTGACATGAAAAATATAAGAATTGACCCAGGCGTGAAAATGGATATTTGTTCATTTCTGCTTCAGTGTTTCAACACTGCTGACAGCAAGCGATCTTGTCCATTTCAGCTTATCTGTTATCCTTCATTTCCTTCCCTGCCTAGTCAAATAAATCTTGCGATCAACTTTTTCTTACACGATTGTTGTGTGCGTAATTACGCAGACTTTAAAAAGTTTCCCTGATATTTTGAGTATTCACAATGAGTAGTGGCGTTTTCTTTGCGAGGGAAAAATACCCTAAATGCGTGTTTCCCTGAACGTTTCCTATTGCCTCCTTTGCATTCTTTTTCATTTACATACATTGCGTGTTCATAAAAAAGTTCCCTGAGGGAAAATTGGGAGAAACTTTCCGCTTAGGGACATTTTGTCTGTTATTTCATTTCATCTGTCAAAATGTTTGTATTACTTATATCAACAGTTACCATTTACCATCCCTGTGCAATTGGACCAAAATGTTTATCTTTTTTATTGCACCGCAAACCAATCTTTGACTCAGATAGAACCAAATTGCAATGTTTTGAAAGTTTGCCGTAATTAGGCCTGATCAGCATGTAACTTTAATGACGTGTGTGTTATACCGACATCTTCAATCCTTGATTGATTGATTCGCTTTCGTAGATCAACAAACCGGATTTCCGTATAAACCTTTACTTAGGTAAACGTTGCCTTTAAACTGGGTTGCCACAAAGTTTACAATATCATAATACTACACAAGGGCGCAAGCAAACACTGAGTTTTGTCACAAGGGAAATGAACTATACAAACTACTCCGGTATTTGCAACACAAACGTGAAACATTGCTCAAAGACAAAGACAGTCATTCTCTCTCATCTTAATTGTCTCATTTCAAACGTCGCTCACAAAATGAAAACCTAGAACCTAGAGAGAAACTCATCAGAAACCCTAGGGACTCTCAACTGTCAGAGAGATAAGAGGATGCATGCTGGCCGACAAGAGTGCAGATTTCTGCGAAGAAGGCCTACTGTATGATGCGCATGTGCATAAGTGAACTTAGGGTGAGCGCGGGGATGGGAGGGGTGAGTGGTGGAAGTTCAACTAAATCTGTAAATTCATCATTTGACAGCAACTATAAGTTTTCAGCCTTCTGCAGCATAGAATGACTCACAAAGCCAGTTTCATGTAGATTTTATTGATGTTTCAATTATTGAGTTAACTGTGCATGAGAAATGCCAGAGGAAAAATGTAAAACCGACAAGCTGATCTCCATTTGAAAGATCACCTCAGTTCATAACTTGCTGCAGGTTACAAACCCTTGCTTGTCACTGATCGCTTATCGCAACCAAAAGTAATAACTTAACTTCTATAATTTTATGATATGGCTGATGGTAAAAAAACTCCCTTATAGTACAAAGATATGCCAACTCCATCTAAAATCACTTGTACTCTTTTCTTTGAAAATGTAATGAAAATCTTAACAGTACTCATGAATAAATGACAGAAATTGTTTAAGAAATAATTTTCAGAGACCAATAACTATGTAAACCGTGATTAATTCAACGGTGGAAATTTTTGGTGGCATATTTATTGTATGGCAAGAGGTTAGATTTCTCATCATAAAATCAGAAAAAATTAACTTTAAGCATCTAAAAAACACTGAAAATTGTTTTCTTAATTTCAAGCTTCGTATGTTATCTCCTCTTCAAGAAATATGCTACAGAATTCGACTAAGCCTTTAATTTTTTATTAAAGCAATTGTCTTTTTGTGCTCGCATCGAGCAGAATCGCAATAAATTAAAAATAAATAGAATGAATAAAACCTTCCCAATCAAATTAAACTTTATCCAAAATTAGGCTAATAACGCATAGAAACGACTCAGTAAATTGCGACAAATAACTATTTATATTTCTCCTTATAACATATAACTGGGAAATGATTCTTAGTTGTAATGAGGCTTCTTTTAAAACTTTAAACTCGATCTTTGCAAGTCAATTATATAATCGCTCGCGCGATATAACCTTCATTTTGAAGTGAAAAGAAAAATCCTTCTCGTGATTCATTTCAAGCTATAATAATCATATGATAACATGTGACCATGTGAGATTTGAATAATGTATGAAGTGTACAAACTTCCTCTGTGAAAAAACACAGCGGTGTCAAGCACATAGGCCATAAAAACATACCGGCGGTGGATCTCGATGAATCGTTTGCCTTTTTGCACCGCAAAACGCCTCCCTTTTAATCATAGTTAGATACTTTGACGGCATTTTCAACTTGTAACCTTTGTTGATAAAGGTAATGGGATGTGATTATACTCAATTTGGACAATTGCGGTGGCTTCCATCAAGCTTTAAAGCTCTCTGCCTTTTAAGCCCCCGAGCACTTTTTACATGGCAAAAACATCGTCACTTTGTCATCAAAAATCGGAATTCTGCAAAGAAAAAAAGAAGAACAATGATACAGTTCGTGTCGAAGAAAAGAAAAAAACTTATTGTTTGGATATGCTGGACATAAATATAAATTTATATTTATTGGATACGCTGAATATAATTTTTTTTCCAAATGGACATAAATGTTTTCTAAACCGTTAGCTGATGAGATGATGTTAACTTTTTAGCGATGACCCGCTGTAGCAAGCCTTAGTTTCGTCATTCAAGCATCAGGAAAGAAGGAGCCCCTTCCTGTTTGAGCAAACCTCTGAGTAAAAACCCCACTCGCGTTGCCATGTTAATGAGAGAACTTAACACAAGAACAGTGAAAATTCAAAATTTGTGCGCAGACTCTAATAAGGAGCTTCTGAGTTATTTTCAAAAGAACAGGTGTTTGGAGCAATTTTTAATCGAGGGTCGAAAGCAATCCGGGATTGTTTTCGTTTTGCTTTTCTTGGTTATGTGATCCGTCCAGAAAACTCGAGCTTCTTTCTTAACCAATCAGATTCAAAACTGAAGCCAACCTGACTTGGGCACTCGCGTTTTCCCGCGCTTCAGTCAGTTTGCCTGTTTTTCCTTCGAGTTCTCGTTAGTCCCTGGCGATATTTTCCTTGCTACACCGGTTAGCTGTTGTGATTTTTTTAGTTTTAGTTCAAGGACACTCATTCAAAGAGAACTCTATAAGTGCGAGTTAATGTTGATTTATTCACAAACAATGATAAGTATAACATTTACCTTCGTAATCAATTTGTCCATCACCATTAAGATCTGCCTCTCTCATCATTTCATCCAGTTCTTCATCTGTTAGTTTCTCCCCCAGATTCATCATAATTTGTCGTAACTCATGCGAACTAATCAGACCGTTTCCATCTTTGTCAAACACCCTGAAAGCGTCTCTGATTTCCTCCTCTGTATCACATGTTGTAATTTTTTTGGACATCATTTGAAGAAACTCTTCAAAGTCTATCTCACCATTTCCTATCAACGAATATAGCAACAATAAGATGGCATTGGATAGATTGCAAAGTGCAGAACCTTTTAACCTGATAAATTCCGAAACAATTTTTTTATATTTCGTAGCGGTCCTCTATACGTATACTTAATTGACCACCTCCCCAAAGGGAATTTTCAGGGCCAGTAAGAACCAACTGAAACATTCTGCATAAACGAAGTGTTAAAAAACTCCAAATGGTAGGAGATAGACCAGTTGGTTACACATATACAAAGGGCAGCCAAAGATTGATTTCGGTATGACCGGGAAGAAATCCAGTAAGTAGCAGAGTGCAAAGCTCGAACCGGGGACCACCAGAGACAAGCCAAGCGCTCATACCATTCGGCCACATTGCCTCAATCTTCATGCCATTATCGTCAGATCCACCCGAGAATTCCCGATTCGTCGTCGGTATTCATCTTTATTTGACTGGCTCCTAACTTAAAGATCGACTCAGAGTCTCACTGACTATCTATCATAAAGTGACAGCGAAGACATGGGGCCCAATTCGCTTTGTGACTAAAGCATCTGTTCTCGTAGCTCAGTGAGCAATTTTCTTTTAACGTAATACAAGATAATAGAAAAACACAAACCGTCTTCATCTACATCAGCGATCATTTCTTTGAGCTCGTCTTCAGTTGGATTTTGTCCCAGGGATCTCATGACAGCCGCCAGTTCAGACGATGAAATTGATCCACCGCCATCTTTGTCGAATAAGGAAAACGCCTCTCGGAGTTCTACGGAAAATAGCATTTGTGCGTTTGAGCCATGTTGGTATGTTCATTTAGGTTTTCCTTCAAATAAGTGAGTGTTAAGGGTGCCCTGACAGTTGTCATGTTCTTTACTTCGTTGTCAGTGCTCAAAAGAAAACGTTTTAGCGTTTATAGAGAAATTCTATGGTCTAATCTGATCGTTCTAATGAGGATAAAGTTGAAAAGAACTGCTGTCAGTATCAACGACTACTGACTTGACAATCTGAACGGAAGTCATCATCCTTTTCAAGTGAGGAGTTGTTCGTCAGTCGGCAGTTGCAAGTCTGGTTCGTGAAATCTGATAGGTTAGTTTTTCCGTGATATTATTGGCTGTGGGACTCGGGCAATATGGGTCGGTTGTGACAAGTGAGTCTTTTTTCACGCGTACGATCAAAACATACAATCAACAATTACACCTGGGTTCAAAAAATACTGCGCAGTCAAAGTTATCACGATTGTAGAACTAGAGTATATGATGGACTTTAAAAAAATTAGTGCTCAAAAGCACCATAAACTCGATTGAGAAGCATTAAGGCACAAAAATTCGGATCCAGATCCCGCGCTGGGCCATAACAACGAGGGGTGTAAACCCTCAGCGATTTTGCAGTAGTTAATTTAATTCATTGACTGTCTCATCTAGAAATTCTTGCACCAGGGTATCGATAGACGTAGATATATATATTTTTAAAAAATGGTAGCAGCTGAAAGACAAAAGTTTGAAATGGGGAGCTTTGAGTAAATAGCAAGTCCAGCGATTCGAATTCTGGTTCTGTAAGATACATTTTCGTTAGAAACTAGCTGTAGCCGTTCGTTTAACTTCCAATGATCTTTACTTTGTGATAAGGACAAGATGGCAGACATATTTAAATCATTGACAGACGGCATTTGTTAATCAATTCATCAGCGATTCATCACAGCCATTAGAAAAAAGATATCTTAGAAAAAACAATCGGACTTGTAGAAACGGCAGACTCAAACGTGAAGTACATTTTTGTCTCTGCCTCCCACCAAATTGAGTCATGAACTCTATGAACATTTCAAGTTTCTCTGTTTCTAAGTTTTTTTCCTCTTGTCTTTGTTGTATTGCAAACAAATTGTTCGAAAGTTCAGTACAACTGGGCTTAATCTTCGGCTTTGAACATGACTAAGTGAATGACTCCATTAATCTTCGATGGAATAAAACCTTGATCGCAAATTGTTAAACAGAGCAACAAGCCTGTAAACCTTACCAGCAATTTGGGGTGGATTTGCTCCTTCATAGTTAGCCTTAGAGGACTGTTTACTCATTTTCGTCCCTTCCTCAGAATTCCTTGGATACGCGAAGTGTTATGGCATGCTTACCTTTCATCAAAAGCCTTAAATCAAAATAACTCAACACCCTCCAAATTTCGTTAAAAATTCAGTAGCTTCTTATGCTCAAGTGACATAAACCTGCGGTAAATAAATCACGTTGGATTGTTTGGAAGTTTTGTTGGTTCGCGGCGTGATAACTAGAACGTACGCCCATTTTACATTATGTGGGCAAAGTAATAACAAGGGGCTTTTCAATAAAAGTGTTCAAGGCAAGCACGTCTTTTTAATGCAATATACGTCTAGAAGTGTCCTAATTTAATCGGAAAAAAGAAATAGTGAATCCTCGATGTGTTTCCTTGGTGTAAAACAACATGATTATTCAGGTGTTTGTTTGCCATGAGCAGTCATTTACATTCTACGACTAATTCTCTTACATTCAGCATCAAAATGGTTGAACAGTTCAGGACTAAACTGGAACAAGGAAATACAGAAAAACTAAGGTATAATTATAGTTTTACATACTGTTGTGACAACATTGCAAAGGTCATCGCATAGGTCATTCGCTTCAAAACAAAACGCAAATGTGGCGTAAAACCCGCACTTGTTACGGTTGATAACTGACATCTCACTTAATAAGAGGAACTCAGTAATTATTCATGATATCTTGCTGTTTATCGGCAGGACAACTGAAGTTACCAAATCTTGCCCATTCAGGCTGTGAAGCGAAGGCGTGTATAGGCGGGAACATGTCTTCTCCTTAGTAAATTGTCCATAAAGAGTCAGTGCACAGTAACTGGGAAAGATGGGTTGAAAGAGTTGATCGCAGTTTTTCCTGTTTTATCGTTTGACAAAGGTAAGGTTATGTCCCGTATTGAACGCCATGTGAATCTAAGGCTGCATGCCCGTGTTCAGGCTCGAGTAAATTTGCGCATATTTACTAATTTATTATTTGGAGTAATGTTGACTACTGGCTCCTATTCTAGTTCAAGGTGCTACGAAAAAGTTTGACTTTATAATTAAATGAATGTTTAGACCACAACGATCCCTGTTGGTCACTTGTCTTTTAATTCCTTCGTCTGTTCGCAGACAATTTAGCCTTAAGTGAGTCAAAATGTTTTCTATGGTATATAAAGTGTTGTGTAGTTTTGACAGAGACAACTAAAAGGGGAGGTAGAATCACCCCCAATCCCAACAGCTTGTATTCCTTGTATGAAGACTAACGAAAAGAACGGATAAGAAGTAAGAGAACTCATTAATTGTTCTACATGTTTATTTTGATAAAGCCAATCTATTCGATGGCGCTAAGAAATTATTTTTTTTTTACCTGAAAACAAAATTTTATTATTTTGGTTCTTTGGCAAGAAATGAAATTTAGGATTACACTCGAGATTCCTTGTTTTGTATTATTTGTTCCAGTGTATTCAGAAACTTTTGCTCTTACCCACATCAAACCTTTCGTGTGACTTTTGAAGGTAAAATAAAATAACATGAATGATGAATAGTAAAATCCGCAGGTAGTTTTGTGAAAAGCTATAGGTATAATGACGTTGTAAATTTTTTAACAAAATAATAACATCGCACCAAGATAGCATCAAGCCTCAAAACAATCTTGTTATATTTTCAGAATAAGAGAAACATTTTCGTCCCATATTTCAGGAGGACACTCACTAGTTTTAAACACATCCTTCGGTCATAGTTTTAAGCTAATCTATCTCTTGGAAACTTTTATTGCAGTTTCCATGTACCACTACAATCCAGACGAACGCATTGGTTGAATGTAAAAGTGGGTACAGAGAGTGGAACGGTAAAGATAATAAGACGAAACCTCGGTTTATTTTTGGCACGAATAAGCTCCCCTACGTTTCCACGACAAATTACATTATATCCCATGCCACCCTGTATTGAATTACTACTATTGTGCGAAGGATCAGCGCTAAGAAATCATGCACAGTGAACGCTTTATCATATCAATCGCTTGTAATTTATTTTCGCACTGAACTAGATCCCGCGTGTTAATTCTTTTGTTTACAACATATCATGATTTACCAAGTTAATTTATATTTCTATTTTAATTTTGAAACACAGCTTTAACCACCAGTGGTTAACTGTAAGGTCTTCTTGTTCCGTAGAAGATAGCGGGGTAAAACTGAGCCACAAATCGATTCTATTTTTAGAGTTTGTAAAGCTGGCGTTCTGAATAATTAAGATTGTGTCCACGGATCATGTGCTGTACGAGAGCACCTCACATGATAAAAGCTGGCGGCAGGTGTAGTATATATTGTTTCTATAAACATCAAACTCGAGATATTTTGCATACAATCCAGTTTCTACGCACTGAAGTACTTCGAGAATTTGCTATCTAAATACCTTGTTTTGTATTTGAGCGCATTCCCTATTAAAGAAATGCCGCCGAACATAACCACCTACTACTGTCATCTTTACCTCTTTTATCGCTTGAAAATAAATAAAGATCTCGTTTCTTCATGACAAAGAGTAGAAAAGCTTTGCTGCATGGCTTTGACGGCAAATGAAAAGTTTATTCCATCACCTATTAAGCGCGCGTTACCGTGGTTCATTCTTAACTTCAGGTTGTTACGTGCTTACCAAAAACACGATTAGCATCACAAAGTTTAGTTTCCATTCGCAATACCGTTTCGTTTCATCCGTCCGAGACAAAGAACCACAGCTCCGACTATGACAACATTCATTGTCGATTAATATGCTAAGGAAAATGTTGCTGGTGACCAAAATCCTCAGAATCAACAACAAAACAGTGACCACAGCTACTTCTAGAACTTACCAGCAACTTGCTCCTCGGAGAGCCGTTTTTCCGGTTTCTGTGGACATAAAAATCAAACAAAAAGAACTTACGCACTAGTAGGACGGCTCCAAAACACAGATAAATTATTAGAACTCCCCCAGCTTTCGTCTGAAATAATTCTGTGGTTTTTACACGTCGTAAAACAAACAGGTTTTTCCCTGAAAGCCAGATAAAGAAATGATGAGTGGAGAGGTTACCTCTATCGATTTATTCGGCATAGCGTTCATTGGCGTAAGGAGTTTAACTCGACGAACGAACCATTCTAAAGGAATATTGTTTACTATTGTTTTTGCTAGCTCATGTTCTCGCTCAGTTGATAGGGGTCTAGGACTGACTAATGCTTCGAAAAGATAAATAATTTATAGTTTCCATTTGTGTTCATAACTTCGTAATATCAAATGAAAGCCATGCGTCATTAATTTAAATTAATACACGAACTCAGCCACGTTGACAGATAAACGAGTGGAGGAAAAAACGCACAAAATTTTTAATAATCTGATTTGACGTACGATTTTTTCAAAGAATTATCGTGACGAGCCAACATCGATATTTCTACTTGCAACCTGTATTGAAAAACCTGGCTCATATCAAACTGGTTTTCAGTAAGTCAGTATAATTAAAAAGTAAGAGCTTAATGGCCAGCGCCGACAAAAACACCATGATATCGAATGAATTCAGAAGTGAACGAAAATTAACCAACAGGTGGGTTTTTAGAGAGGAATATTTAAATTTTATTACGTTCACCTGGAAAAAAAAGAAAGATTATTTTAGTTCAAGGTATAAGTTTTTCCATTGCTGCATTTTGCTTGTAAGAGAAAGAATTCGATACAAGGATGAAGGGTTCAAGGTTTATTATGACAGGAAGTACTAATTCTCACTAATTGTATTATTATGTTATTACAAGTCATTACATCGAATCAAGATACAACCTGAAGAGAGCGAGGTCTGGAACTATTATGAGCCAGCAATAAATGATTACAACATGACTGATACATCACGTACCTAGTAAACTTTGTCTGAAAATGGCGGCGAAGGAACTCAAAACTTTGGTCACTTTTCTGATGTTTCATCTCTGTTTGTCCCTTAATGACTCAATTCATGGAACTCCTAATATAATTATCTTTCTGACTGAAAGTCTCTCTATGAAAGATCTGGGTTTTTACTACGATAACTCCCAAGAAACTCCAAACATAGACAGCTTGATCGAGGAAGGAGTTGTGTTTTCGCGCTTTTACGCCCAGTCGTCAAGGATTGCCTCTCTTTCATCTCTGTTAACAGGATTGTTGCCACCTAGAACTGGAATCATCAAGAGTAAGTTTCTGAACTTCAAAGAAATTCCGTCTGTAGCTTCTTCAGGAGGCTTACAGCACGCAGAAATAACTCTAGCGGAAGATTTGAAAGCCAAGGGCTACACAACAAGTTTTGTGGGTTTATGGGGATTAGGAATTGGTAGAAATGCTGAATATTTACCTCTCAATCACGGATTCGACTCCTGGTACGGTGTGGCGTCTGCAAACAAAGAACCTTGCATGGAAAGCTACAAGACAACATCTGATTCACTGTACACATGGCAGTCTGTCTGTGCGTTTTTCAGTCCTTTACTGTACATTCTTCCATTTGTTGGTTTTGTCGGTTGGTACAAAGGCCTTGGTAACATAGTCACTGTTATCATAGTTATTATCGCTTTTATCATATACAGCAGTATTCTTCATGATGTTATACACTTCACAATGGATTTTATCCAAGTTAAAAGCTGTGTTCTGTATAGAAACAGCAATATCATAGAACAGCCATACACTGTCGAAAACTTGACCTTACGGTTTACAAGGAATGCTGTGCAATTTTTGGAGTCTTCATCAATTTCTTCCAAACCTTTTCTTCTATTTTTCAGTTTCATGAACCTTAATCAACCAGAATTTGCTTCAAGGCTATTTTCTAACTCATCACAAAGTACTTATTCTGATGCTCTTAAGGAGCTTGACTGGAGTGTTGGAAGGATATTGAGAGTGTTAAAGAAGCAGGATCTAGAAAATAATACATTAGTTCTATTTTTATCAGCCACTGGTCATCATGTTCATAAAGCTTCTGAAAGTTGTAGTGTGGTTGAAAATGGTGAAAGAGAAGCCTCATGTCTGCAAGGTGAGACTGATCATTCCTTTATTATAACACCATTTTATTACAGAAACTATTTGCTTTGATTTTATGAGTAGATAGCTAATTGTATGAATGGGTAACATGAAGTGAATCCTGTATTTTGATTGACTCCTGGACTCGTTGCCTCTATTAATCCTTTGAAAGAAAAAGGTGTTCATGGTACCTGTACATACTTCACAGCTTTAGTGAGGATAATTTTTTTTTAGAGGAAACAATTCTCCAGCAATAGCATAATAACAGAGAAAACCCCACTAACTAATTTACCGAAGATACCATGTACTGTATCTTAATGGTTTGGAAAACACTGTGACAACACATTTTGATATAGACATACCAATAGCAAAAGCACAAGATAATTTTTTAGATACTGGGAATAGATATTACTCAATTGTAGTTTCTTATGAGTGTACTGAGTTCTAGGTTGACTTCACATCCAAAATTTTTTTTTGAAACTTGCTATTTTCATTGTGAAATTTTCCATAATCAAGGGGTTTTTTTTTTTCTTATTTTGCTTTTTTTCATGCAAGACTATTGTGTACCTGTTATCAGTGACTGTTTTTATGTTGAGGAAGAAAAGAAATGATTACTGGTATATTCTCATTAAGGTGGCAGTGTAAATGGAATTTGGGAACAAACCATTCGTGTTCCAGCAGTGATGAGATGGAAAGGAAAACTTAAAGAAAAACAAATAATCAAGACTCCTGTGACAATAATGGATGTTGTTCCAACAGTGCTGGAGTTGCTCAATGAAAGTACTGAAGCTGTGTATTTAGATGGCAAAAGTTTGTTACCAGTCTTACTTAACTCATCAGCAGAATTTCAGCATAAGTACATTTTCCATTACCTGGATGTCACCAAGCCAGCTGCAATAACATCAGGATCTTATAAAGTTTTGTATACAGAAGTTAAAGGTAATTATGGAGTCTGAATCATCCCACATTAATTAATCTGTGTTTACTTGCTATCCTCCTTTATCTAACTTGTAGTTTAAGAGTCATTTAGCAGTTTCTATTCTGACCAGTATTTCCCTCTACATGTCCTCTTAATGACTTATGAAGGTATGCCTTTTCCTCATGGGTCTGCATTTTTGTTGACTGCATTTTATGCTGTTTGGTTGCATGTAATAAGTTTACCTGCTTAGAGCTTTTCTATTCTGTTGCCTCCCTTGTGGATGAAGTCTTGTGTTTCTTAACCTTACCTATGTAGTGGTGTGGGTCAATGAACTTTTTATGGTTCCAAATGGAAAGATGTTGTATTTCATTGGCATGGTCTGAAGCTATTATTTTGAGTGTTTTCAAACTGAATGTCTCTGTCATCAAAGAATGATAAAACAAGAAAGAAGCATTCAACTTGGCAAACCTTAAACTTAATCTGGTTCCAAACGAAAAGATGTTGAATTTCATTGGCATGGTCTGCAACTATGATAAAACATGAAAGAGGTGAACAACTTGGCAAACCTTAAAACTCACAAGTGCAGCAGTGTAAAGGTTGGGATTTACAATTAAAGTAAGAGAGACAAATGATTGACTGCTCACTTGTCTTCCCCTTTCTTTCTTCCACCTAGATAGCAGAAACTTACAGTTTCATGAACCTCCACTACTGTTCAATGTTGAGGTTGACCCAGAGGAGACTTCACCTTTACCAAATGTTGAACACAGAGAACTGTTGGCAAACTTTTCAGATGCTTTGGCTGAGCACATGAAAACAAGAAAAAACAAATGGCATTCACAACTGGACAGCAGAATCATTCCTTTCTTGTTTCCTTGTGCAAATTTTCCACGCTGTTTCCAAGCTTCAAATGAAAACAATGACTTCTCAGAGTTATTCAATTAACTTATTTTTTCATAACTGTTGGCGAAAGGTTAGTCTTTTACTGACTTGCACCAAGTTTTATCTACTTTGAATATTAATGGAGGAAGCCCACAAGCAGTGTGCATTGAGAATCATGAGGAGGGGAAACAAAAGTATGACCAGTTACTCCTCTTCCTTCCCATTGCCCCCTTTGTAATGGTAATGATAGGTTCTTGCAACCCTGCAGTCAGGTATTGGTAAGGGGTAACTAGGAAGGGGTGAGGGTAAATTATATACTTGACAAGTAGCCTTCAGCCGTTCTCAATGTTGTCTAACATTCCAGTTACACATTACTGCTGTGGAAGCTTACCAGACCTCTACTTCTGATGGTCAGCATGTCAACTATTATACCTCTGTGCCTTTCAGAATATATGAATGAAAAAACTTCTGACTCTCAGTATGTTTTGAAGGAGCCCTTAAACTTCAACTAACAAACTGTTCGAAAATTTTACTTATTGTGAGCATTACACTTTGAATTGAACAAAGACATCACTAATAAACTAGTTTTTTTCAACAAACAAGACTATTATTTGCATGTGATTAAGTATCACCAAAAGGAAGTGATGTAACAAAGTACATTGTAACAGAAATTGAACTTCATTACTTAATAGTTGCTAAATTATCAATATATGCTTAATTCTTTGACTGGCAATAAATCAAAAGTCCCCATTCTTGACCTTAATAATTTGATAATAATTATTAGTAAAGAAAATAAGAATGAATCATTCATATGCTGCATCATTATGAGACAGTTTACAATTTAATATTCTTTAATACTGGTGTCATGGAAAGAGCTCTTAAAAATATCTGCTCACTATAAATATTTCTGATAATTGATTTAATTATTTATCCTCATTTTCAGTAAATAAGGTTACCTGAAAATTAGTAAAATGCAACTTCAGTAACTCTTTAACTCCCATGATCCGATTATTTATTCTCCCTTCTAACTGCAACTCGATTACTTGTGAAAGAGTTCTGAGAATTTGGTGTTAGATTAAGACAACAACTTCTACCTCAACGATGTATGGATATTATAGGAAAAAGTACATGCCTGTTATTTCTAGTATGTACCACACAGGTGAAGAATGCTTTTTGTGCACATATGGGCTTGTTCAGAAGTGATTAGCCAGCAGTACTCAACTCCATGCAGCTAAAGAGATAAAATTGTTCTTCAAAAATTTCATTATTTTCCATTTATTGGTATATTGACAGGAATAAACTAATTTTTTGGTTTCTTTGTGGTATATACTAAAACAATTATTCACCTCAGTGTCGGTGAAAGTGGTGGACATTTACCTTGCCACGAAGCAGCTAAGTAAATGTTCACCACCATTCACTTCCACTTCTCTGAGTAGTAGTTAAATGTTTATTCTGTTTTATTATATCCCTTAGAGTTATGAGTCTGAATCATTTTTGTAGCACTTTGAAATTCAGGCGAATTTTTCTGGAAGGCAAGTACATCTAGATTGAACTACTAACTACTTAAGATTTCAACTGGTCTTACAAAATTTTGACATGCCATAGCATTTGTAGGTAAAATACCATTTTGGAAAAATGAAATATGATCTCTACAGTTCTCGCATTGACACAATTCCAGCAACATGTTCAACAATTAATGGTCACATGACAAACTGTTTCAAAAGCCTTTTTCGTTTTGTATTTGAGGACAAAATCAATGTTCATCTCACTTAAATGTGGCTCTAGAGTACATCTTTCACATCCTTACTTGATCCATACTCCAACTATCCAGAAGACTTTGCAAAAGCCTCCTCATTATTTAAGGAGCCATCCACATCTGGAGAAGAAGACATCACTACATAAGGATTGCTTTGTCTCTCCAAAACATACAACCATCTGTCAAATAAAAATAACAAAATTAGAGAATTAAATCATAAATTAAATATAATTATTGTTCACCTATTTTAACTGTGGCACAGAAACATTTTAGTCAACTTAATGAAGATCTTTTCCAACTTAGAAGAATTAATAATTTTGAGTACATTCACCGACAGGAATCAATCACAATTGAACTTAAAATCATCTCAGAAGTTAAAAGGTGTTACAAAAATAATTTTTGAGCCACGAAAAACAACTGAGTGTCTGAACAAAGCTACAATCTTGAACAACAACAAAGTGCATCAATTAGTTTCAATGTTTCAAAATCAATCATTTGCAGAGGAAAAATGGCAGATGTCTGTTAAAACAGCAAAGTTGTGTACATTTGATACAGTGACACTTAATGACTTACATAAGCAAGAGTATGGGAATAACAGTCATTCCAGACATCAAAAAATAACAAAATCCTGGTAGCCAGTCCACTGTGGCACTGTAAATACTGTTAAAAATTAATGATGCAAGGAGTGTCTCCAACACTTCAAGAGATGCAATGAGAGCAAATGTTGTACCTAAATCAAAGAAAAACAACAATTTACAATCAGGGGTTTGATAAATTATGAAATAACCATTAAAGTAGAGACAGTCAAGAAATTTGTTGGGTGTTCAAGTATTCAACCTAAAGTTTTTCATGTGGTCTGGTATTATGGGTGATGTTAACCCTCACAGGTACTGTAGTTGATAACAATGATGAAGTTTAGAAATCATGAGTGGAGGTAATCACAAACAGACAATTTTCAGGACACTTGCACCACTAAAAGTAGTCAGAGCTTCAATACAACCACATACAACACAACAAAGAGTTTTATTTCATTTTTCCTTCTTCCCCAGTCCTTGTTACAACTTATACTCATTGTACTACAATATGCTAGCAGTACTGCTGGTGAAACTGAGTTTATGAACTTAAAGAAAATAACAGTTTATCGAGAATACCTATGTTATAAGCATAGTAGATTCAAATAACCATGGACTAGTTCTTACCTTGCTCTGAAGAGTCAACTTGTTTTGATATCATTGACCTCATGCATGGTGGTGTGACCCCAGCCCCAATGGCAATCAATCCACCTACAAGGAAATCCAAATAAACCTTCACACCCTAACATCAGTCTGTATACTCTGTGTTATATCCTCTGTACATTTCTTATGGTGCTTTAAAAGATAATAAGCCAATAATAAAGAGCTTCTTTACTTTGTGATCATTTCTTTTATTCTCATGACCTTAATGTTTGATTCAGGGGTGATACTATTGGGAGTAATTAGATTTTTATCACTCTCAAGGGTTAAAATGTTAATACATCATTTACTTCAAGGAGTTTGACCATAACACACTAAGTTCAAAAAGTTTTACTAACCAACAAACATCATCCATCTGCTGGAGGCAAATCCAAGGAATATATATTGTCCAATGGATATTAGAGAACCAACAATAGCAATGGTAAGATCTGACCATTTGAGAATCTTTGTCATCAGTGGTATCCCTAACATAACACCAAGGCCTTTGATAAACAAAACCTCAGCAAAGAAGTAACCAACCAGTTCAGAAGTGAAGTTTCTTGGACTGTGCTTGCTGTACAGGACTGAGATATCATTGAAACCACCAAAATCTGAAAGAAGGAGCTGAAGTTAGGGAAACTTTATACAATGTGTAAGCTAACGTTAACAGGAGGAGATGCCAGGTGATTAAAAGGAGCTTATTGTCTGTTTTCAAGGATAAATGGCATCCTTGTTAATGTATATTTATTTTAATGTTTGTTTCCCTCCCACCCCAATGAGCTTTGCTATTTTGTGGGTAGGGATTGTTAGATATCTATTTTAATTGTTAAAATATATAAATTTTGTTTTTGTTTGTTTGTTTATCCGGTGACCTTGTTCTTTTGGTTTCCATGACTTGAGCCAACAGCTCTCCCTTTTAAGGACACAAATGAACCACAGCTTATCCAGAGGTTTTAAATCTTACCATGATTAAACTGAGAGGCTAGACTACCCATAAATGGAGAAATGAAATACATTCTGAGAGGAACAAACATGATGGATTCATGACCATGCGCAAACCCAGGACCAAAATTTTGATATACAGTTCAGTGCTCTAAGCATTCCAGTTTCATACCCATTTAGCTAACAAATCATAAAAAATAATAAAAAAAACCTCAGCAACTCACTTATTAGTACAAAAACCAATATTCCAAACATTATAACCAGCAAATTTAGTCTTCGGTGTTGAGGTCGCTCCTTAGTTAAGACATGGAATGATGTCTTGATGTGATTGTGTATCGCTACCAAAGCCCAGTTTTCTTGCTGATTTGAATCAGGAAAGTAAGACTCAGGAAGAATAAGACCGACGTATGCTATTATCAGAACATTCAGGCCTAAGCACAGACCAAAGGCCGCTATGTAGCCACTATGATATACAAGTACTCCACCAATAAGGTTACCAACAGTACCACCCAAGAATATCATGGATTCCAACAGGGCTACTCTCGTCGTACGCTGGGATTCATCAGTTATATCAGATATGTACGAGAAGACACCGAGAAGTGTTGTGGCGAATCCGCCGAAGAAACCTGAGATGCATACCCCAATTAGTAGGTAGTCGACATTCAGTGAGAAAAAACCCACATTCAGCATATAGTTGATGTAGAGCAGAACACTCCCAACAGATGGTAGAATGAGCACAGTCTTACGACCGACTTTATCTGACCAGGAACCGAGGATCAGCGAAGCTGCAATGGAAGGAAGCATCGAAGACACAGACTGATACAAAATCCATTTGGAGGTCTTCTTGTGTACAAAATTTTCCTGTGAGGTGGTGAGATTCTTGCAAGATTCGGCGTCATATTCTGCATTGCAGATCTTCTGGAAAGCGAGCTGCTGCACAAGGGGGAACGACATAAAAACGCAGAGCATGTAAAGAAAAAGCACTGGCTCCACAGTGATATTACGGAAAATTGCGATCGCCATATTGTAGGGTACGAACAATTTTGCTTACATATACTATAATCTGTTCTTTACGTTTGCTTATAAAAAACCTCGCAGGCTCAAACTGTTTTCTCAAAATGGCTGACAATTACAAACAAGTGAAATCTGGGCGTTTAAAACTTAAAGGATTAGACGATAGCTTACGGAAAAAGAAGCACAAGAAGAAGAAGAGGGAAAGAGAGGAAGAGGAGCCAACAGATGTTGATGCGCTCCGTCATGGAGGTTGGAGAAAAGTGGAAAACTTTCGTGAAGTTAGCGGTAACATTGCACTGCAAACTTTCCAGACAACCTATATCGAGGCACTTAACACTGGATTGTTCACAGTTGGTGAACTGAGAGATGATGGTGAAAATTCGCCGGCACCTGTTGAAGTGTTTACAGCTGTTCCACTTTCCGAGAAAAATATTGCCTTAAAATCGGGTTATGGTAAGAAATGATTTAACCTTTTTAATTTTGTAAGCTTACCAGTTACGACATTACAGCTTAGGGGTACTTGGCTCATAGGTACTTGTTCTTGTTTAAATGATACGATTTCAGCTCACAATGCTTTCAGCCAACTTTTACTTTTGTTAAGCTCTACTTGAGACCTTCAACTGTTTATTTTTCTATCTTTTTAAACCAATCTGAGATTTTTATTTATTTGTCTTTTGTTGTCTCAAGTTAAAAATATTACGACATAACATATTTATACATGTACATTTATGCATGTAACGGTAGCAAATCACGTGTGAAATTTAATTTTGGTTGAAATTTACAGGTTGTGAGTATCTGAGCTGGCAACAACGTTTTGCTCTTGATAGATTTTCAATACCTTTGTTATGGCAATAATTAATTATTTAACAATGTTTATGTTAATTAAATAATTATTTTCTTCATCATTTCATAACATTCATTGTTACAAACATGCCTACTTGATTTTTATGTGCTTATGTGTACTTCTTTATTAAGCATTCAGTGTTGTTTGCTTGTAGACAGGCCTTCTTTTTAGTATTTAGGGTTATATCACCCATGATCCACACTAGTTTAAAGTGTAAAATAGGTTATGGCCACTCAAGTGGATAGATCAGGAAAAAACTTATCCTTTGTCTTGTGATGTTGTCACTTCTGATATGTATTAAAATAAACTCTTAAAGATACCTAGACAAGTGATGGAAGAGAAGAAGTATTTAAATCTAGAAATTGATAAGGTTAAGAATGAGATATTCTCAGGTTTCACCATCATTGACAATCTTTTGTCATACAGGAAAATATATGTCTGTTGATATGATGGGAAATGTCACTGGAAGATCAGATGCAATTGGTCCTCAGGAACAGTTTGAGTGTGTCTTTGAAGAAGACAAAGTTGCTTTTGAAACATATAATGGCTGCTATTTGTCTCTCAATGAAGATGGGCAACTCTCTGCAAGTAAAAAAACTGTTGGAGAGAAGGAGACATTTCATGTTCGGACCAGTGTTCCAAAAGTGTAAGTGTTACTATTTCATAACCCTTTAACTCCTAAGAGCTGATTCTTGATTCTCCCCTCTAGCTACAACATATTTCCTTGTAAATTAGTTACAAGAATTTTAGATGGAGATTAACGACTTCTAGCTGATAAGATTGAGTATTCTCATTACCTGTTGCTGGATAATGTATAGATATCATTGGAAGAAGTTACATACTAATCACTTGTAGGAGTAAAAGGGTTAAGATATGAAAAATAAAAAATAAATACAGCTTAGTCAGTTTAGTTAATATCCATAATTCGTCATAATCGGGGCAAAGGGGCAAGTGCTTCTAAGGTTTGATGTAATGCTTACCCCTCAGTTTGACCTCATCATGTTTAGACACTACATTGCTACTGTATGCCATATCAAAGTTTGATGAGAGGCTGAAAAAAAGATTGTCAGTAACTTGAAATGAGTGACTGTGGATTGATGTTAAAATAATTTGGTATTGCTTCTTCTTTTTCCATAGTAAAGTGTGCACCAGCAGTTTACCTGAGGGAGAAAAAGATCTGCGGAATCATGAAATTAGTTTTGTCAAGAAATTCCAAAGTTTTCAAGACAGGAATTTGCGTCTAAGTGAGGAGGAGAATAGCAGATTGAAAAAAGCAAAAACCGATGGTAAACTTCATGAAGAAATGTTAAACAGGAGAGAAAAGATGAAAGCAGATAGATATTGTAAATAAATTGACAAAGATCTGAAGTGTCAATCATTGTCAGAGACACATTGATCTAGTGTTACAGTTTGGGGAATACCTTGTAACATGATGCATGGCATTACAAAGCCTTTTGTACTCATCTTGTGCCCCATTGTTGGGCTGCATCATAACTTTTGCAACATGCATGTAATACTGAACTTGTAAAATTAAAGCTTATAGGAGAGTTGCACTTAAGTAGTTTCATTGAAGCAGTCAAGCAGCTTATCAGCAGCCAGAAATGCTTGGAATCACTCATCTTTCAAACTTTTTTTTTCACTTTGCTATTTGAGGTACAAATCTACTTGTATAACCAGGATTTTTGCCAATCCTGGCCTAGAGAACTGGCAGAAATCACTGCTTTATGATCTAGTGGAATTAAGTAAATGATATTTTATGTGTAATAGCTGTTTTTATTGATAAGGCTAAGAATTGATGTATTAGTGGTTATGAGTTCCAAAATATTCTTCTCACCACTGTCCACCATAAGTTTAATTTTTGGATGTTATTTCCAACAACTTGGTATTGCAATAAGAAACTTTTTCTCAAGATCTTGCAGAAATGCACTTGCCACATACATGGATGATATATTTACAAGCATAAGTCTGGTAAGGTTTTATTGTCTTTGCTATTTAGAGATTCTGGCTTTTTTTCTAGCCCAGTGGGATAGATGGAATACCTGTTTGATTGGTGACCCTGTTCCAAAATAGACTTCTGTTACAAAATTTGCCTCTTCATAGTAGGAATTAGGTGTAGTTAGTTTTAGTATTCCACTAATCAGATCCTCACAAAGAAATAAAATAGAAAAGAGGTCTAACAAATAACATCAAATTTTTTATTGGAATTCCAGAAAAATAATTTGCTCCTAAAATAGTTTTCAGCATTACGCACAATACAACAATTAATTTCTTACAAAATGTTTGTCTTTGTAAAATTACTTCTAATCTGTTTCTGCAAAGTCTGATATTTACCTCATAATTTTTGAGAAGCAACCCATCCCTCATCTCTCTGTTCATTGTTAAAATCAATTGTAAAAAAAAAGCTATCAACTGCCTAATTTTACATTTATTATGGTTAAGTTATTCTTACAATTACACTTAATTTATGCCATAGGCTAATTGCTTGTTAGAGGTCACCCCCAAGAAGTGAGGATTTGAAATAAATTTTAAATGATGGGAAAGTTTTTCTATGTTCTTCTTGATTTATAAATTACAGGAAACCAAAGGGAACTGTTCATTCTTGGCCAGTCAGTTGCCACAGTCTTAGCAAGGCTCCTTTGGTACACAATTATTATTTGGTGGTAACAATGTACCAAGAACCCCCAGTTTCTTTTCTGAACTCTCTTTCTTTTCAACTGTGGATCGCTGATGGCTTTTCACCCGTTTCTCTTTCGTTGATTAAGTGCTAATTTTACTTATGCGGTGGTACCTGCAATTACTCTCATTACAAAACTATTAGATCATTAAAACATTTGTTACACATACTACATGTCCAACCTTCCTTTGCATTATTTTCTTATGTTATAAATGCTGAAATTTGGGTGTTAAATTGTAAATAAACTTAATACAAAAATTTGAAGTTATGAAGTAGTGGTGATAAAAATGTAAAATTGTCAGGTCATCACTATCCATTACTATTAATTTCTCTTTTATTCCACAGTCTCACATCAGTGAGAACTAGATGGCCAATGTCTTTTAGTTAGGTTCCAAACTTTCGCGACGTAGGTGTTGAAGCACCTTAGACCCTTAACCTTTTCTTGACGCGAAACCAATTCGTTTTGATGCATCTTACTACTTTGTACAGTAAATGCTTTGGCTCGACTACACCGTCCATAACTACTCTTCGTCACGCTATATCTTACAGTCCTCCCTTTCTTCTGAATATTTAGTCTCGACTGAAAGTTTTTGTGGTTCAAACTGTCACACCCTTGTAAAACTATCGTTAACAAAGTCTGTTATTTTCTGCACCAGTAATTTACAAATTTCTAATGCGTCTTGTGCTTGATCGCTCGTAAAAGCTTCCGCAGGGATCGTGTCGCCACGATGAAAATGAGGATATCTAGTTTGCTCGTAATAATTCTTGAGCTTGGCAGCCAGGAGGGCAATATCAGCGGGTGATCCATCCAACTCAGTAATCTCATAGGCAAGATTCAGTACATCGTGTGTTTCTAGTTGTTTCTCAGATATGCCGCAAGCTGCATACAAGGCGCCTTTGAAAACTTTCTCTGTTGCTTGTTGACATAAAAAGCAAACCAACGCAGAGAATTTTGGTTGTTCACTTTCTAGATGTTTTGCTGCGTTTAGGTCTTCTTTGGCTTGTTTCATCCACCGCTTGGCCTCGTTCTTTTGAGGGTTGGTGGACCTCTTCGAATAAGGAGTTCCTTGATGATTTTGTCGTTTAAACGTGTCATAAGTTTGCCTTTCTTGCCGAGCTCGCTGGTTCCACTGGTTGAAGAAATCATGAAAGCTGCTGGCTCCATCTTGTGTTCCCTTTTCCTTAGCATCTCGCAGATTGTCTCTCCAATTAGAAGGAAATAGCTTTTCCATTCTCTCTATTTCGTTAAGCAGGAATTGCATCACATCATTAGCAATGTCTGAGCCTATATTTTTGTCCGGGTGCCATCGGAGGAACAAACGCTTAATGACTTTCCTTCTTTCATTTTCAGGTAACTTCCAAGCCTCCCACAGGGTATCCTTGATTTCTTGTTTCGCCTTTTCAAGACGTTCATTTCGACTCGCTGCCCGGCGCTCTGATTCCTTGGGGTCTCCAGTAAAAATCGATACTTCACGAGAATCCGATAGTTCGGGTTCTGCATTTGGAATTTCAGCGTTTGATCGATCAAACTTGTAAAGATCAAGTACGCTGACTTCCACGAGGCGTGGCTCTCCAATATCAACGCGATATTTGGCTTTGAAGTCAAATCTGCTGGTTTCCATGGATCTCTTACGATTTGGCACTTTCCTCACCACCTTCGCGTACACGTAGAGAGGCTCAGAGTCATCAATTTGACCATCTTCGGTTCTGCGTTCCTTCTCGTAGCCAACTATTTCACCTTGCCGAAAAAAGTATTCGATGTCTTGCCTGAGCAGGTAGTGATACATCACCGGAATCTCAGATCCAAGAACAGGCTCCGTAGTGCGCGCCTCGCTTCCCATGAGATCTTGCGCTACACCGCATCTGTCGAGCGAGGGTAGGATCTCCTCTGGTACCCTACATGCAAGCATTGCTTGAAGGTAGATCTCCTTCTCTATTTGATTATGAATCAAACGATTTACCTGAAAGCAAAGTTGGATGTGGAGGGGATTTTCGTCTGTGCCATGCCTGATGAACAATTCCCACTCACCATTCTGTTCTTCTAAGAAACAGTCTTGGGTTTCTTGGCTATGTTGTAATGGTTTACCAGATTCCAAGTGAATCAAATGAGTGTCAAGTGATGCCATGCAAGTTACACTGAGCGAGCTACAAAGGACTTGTACCTGGTCTTTGACATCTTGAGGCAAATTCGGTGTCTGTCTTTGATGACAGATTACACGTAGAATTCCATTCACTAACTTCGGAGAGAGCAAAACGTTCCGGTATCTGTTTACAAATGGGCAGGGATCTGATCCAATAGTGCTGTCTGCTATGCATCGCTTATCTCTACAGGTAGGATGTATCTCTTCCCGCAGTAAATTCTGAATTGTCTTTGCCCTAAGACGCAAAGGTAGAAGACTGAGAAGGTAAGAGAGGCGGTCTGCAGTGAGTTCTCCTTCCCGACTGATGTCCACAAAGTCACCGGCAAAGTCTCGTGCACGACGTTCAAAGCTGGGACAATCGTGAAAGATCAGCTCATTTGATGGCTTGAGAAAACCTTCTTTGCTAGGTAAAAAGAGTTGGTTCAGTGAAAAAAGACATCTTGTCGCAGCCTCTTCGCTTTTTTCCTTCACTAACAGTGACAGGGTGGTGAAAAATCCATGTGTAGCTTCTCTAGCCACCTTTTTCTCGTTGGGCTCCATATGCTTATCTTCACACACCTCCTTTAGTCTCCCAAGGACATCAGCAAACTGTGATGGTGTTGGTTTCTCATGTGCTCCAAGTCTCTTAAGTACATGCTCAAAATGGCCGTACTCTCGCGGTACTTTATAAAAGTAAGGTGGCATCTCTGTTGTCGTCTCAAATGCTAATTGATTGCCTTCCACAAAAACGCGGCCTTCTTCAACGGGGATGCAAGGTGTTTTCCTGAGAATGTTTCCAATAGCTAGACAAGACTTCGTGCACTTGTCTGACAAAGTGTTACCGGAGCAATTACATTCACCTTTCAAGAAAGTGAACGCCTCGTAAATGACATCGTGAAGAAGCTCCCTTTGGTCTTTTGGGGTGTCTTTATGGACATTTCCACTGTGTGCTTTGGTTAGAAGAGCGATGTGATTGATAACTTTGTCCAGTGGAGGGAGAAGTGCGACTCCGAGGTCTTCCAAAACTTGTTTCTCGGCGGTATTTGGAGTGGCCCAGGCTGGAAGGAGAGGAGTGGAGGTCCACGAAATTTTCTGTTGTTCGCATGGTAAAGCTCCGTGGAACTCAGTAAAAGGAGGAATGTCTTCCTTACTTTTACACGCAAATTGAGGCTGCAGGTTTGTCAGTTGTTTAGATGCAGTTTCTGTTGCGACAAACTTTATAGTGGATACGACATGTAGAAAGCTTGGATCATGCAGGTCATCCTGTTGAAACAGACAAGTAACCAATGTTTTAGACACGTCGTTCAACTGAGTATCTTGGGACCTGGTCACTGCATCAGACGCTAAGGATTCTGCAAACTGGATAAACTGTTGCTGGGAAACACGGTTCTTAAGTCCAACTTGACGAAGGAATGGGAGCCAGCTTGGAAGGCTGTAATCTCCTGGTGGAAAATCACCAGGAGAGAGCAACTCTGTAAAGACTGGATTCTCAGGATCATAAAAATGGCTGACAGGGACTAGTGTGTCGCTTTTGTCTGGAAAAATACGTGCCTCACACAGGGCATCGAGTAAAATGCTCTTCTCACTGGAACTCTTTACGGTGAATAGGAGAGTATCTTTGATGTAGAGCAGCACTTCCTGAAGGCCTCTCTCTGCCATCGCGTCAAGGTTTGGCAATATGTATTTGACGAATACGTCTACTTGTGACAGCTGGCTGATATCGAGAGCCTTGTATAAAGGTTCTATTTCTTGAATCACCTCCAATAGTACACAACTTTCTTTTTCAATGCGCGCTTCGATGTCAGCCAGGGATACACACTGAGGCAGATCGACAACGTACGAGAAGGCATATGAATCGAGACTAACAAATTTCCCATTCAGGGTTTTGTATAGCGGCAGTTTTCTCAGTAGTGATTGGTTACTATAGACGGTAGTGACGTCTTCCTGCAAAAATCGTAGAAGTGTAACGATTTCGCCTTGACCAAGTTCGCATTTGAAGTCATCACCTTTAGATAGGTAGTGTATAACGCTGATAACATCTTGTCTCGAGTATGGCTTCGCCAGATGTGGGGATGCAATGAGTGAAGCCTCATCCTTGTCGACTTTTGGAAGAACTGAAAAATCCAGCTGAGCACTTCCAACCTTACACAGGATTCTCACCAACCTGTCTTCATTGTAAATGCGTGTACTCAAATCCAACACAGTTTTGCTGAGGGACAGAGGAGCTAAGGTGCCATTAGAAGTAGGAATAATCGGCCAGTCTTCAAGTGGTCGAAGAGTCTCGGATGGGTCCTCTTTGTCTTCGAAGCTTGACTGCCTTTCTTTGTATGTCAATATGATTAATTCCCACAGCGTCGTCAACCACTCAACTGATGGTGTGCAACTGTCACTTGGTTCCCATGAGACATGTTTGTCGCCTGCGAACCATTTTGATGGAAGAAGTTGAATCAAATATGGAGCAATAGATATCGTGTCGAAACGTTTAAACACTTTGGACTTCCAAATGTCATTTCTGGTGAAGTTTAAAAACAGCGGGATGAATTCCTTATGAACAAAAAGGTCTTTCTGAGAAGACAGCAGACTGGAAAATGGTGTGAGAAAAACTGGATTTCTTGAATCAAATTCTCTAAGTACTTCGTCTTCAGTTAGCAGAAGGGGCAACCCATCTAACCGTTGGAGGAAGTTGTCATCTCCCATGCAATACTCGATTAATAGCTTCAATTCGCTCGCTTGTTTGAAGGTGGTACCGTTAATAGAGCAGGGGAGCACATCTGTACTATCCCTGTGCTTCGAGATGACAGCCATAACATCCTCGGGACTGACGGTTTTCACCATTGCAGCGGCTTGTTTGAA